CCTTGCGGGGTCAGTGGCCGCGTCGCACCGCGTCGCCGAGCCGCGCGCTTCACACGGCGCGCTGGACAACGAAGACAACGAGCACCACCAGCAGACAAAGCGCCATTTCTCACCTAAAAGGATAAGCGCCTTCCGAAGGGCTTCCCATCGCGCTTCAAAAAAAAAAAACAAATTGTCACCTGTGGAATTGACCACAAATTAATTCATATGCTGTAGGTTGGCCCGTGCGACCGGCACGGGGACGAGGTGGTCTTCCCTCTGGGGGAGCGAGCGGCTCCGAAAGGTCGTTCCGTCGCTCTGTCTCTCTCGCACCCCGCCGGGACGTGCCCCACGAGTGCGAGGGAGACAGAGATCGGTCTGCCAGCGGAGCCACTCGGAACAGGGAGAAGGGACATCTTTACAATTTTCAATTAATTCAGGTATTTTCCCAGCCCCGTCACATGCTGTTGTTGTCCTTCTTGACGGCGCCTTCAACCTGACCTTTTCGCCCGTTTGGAACCCGCGAAAGAATTGAGAGCCAACCGTTCCGCCCCGCTCCTCTCCCGGACAGCGCTGCAGCGGTGGAGAGGTCCTGCCCGCCGTGTCCTGCGTGTCCGCGCGTCCTGCGGGGGCATTTGTTACGCCGGGAAATGCCTGAGATTGTGATCACCCTGTTGTTCTGGACGAGGCAATGTATCAAATCATTCCGGCAAAAGCCTTCACCGAATTTATTACAAAGTGAAAGACAAAGTGCCTCTGCGCTGCCGCGCTGCCCGGCACGCCGCGTCCGGCTTACGGGAGTCAGCTTGCGGGAGTACGGGAGTCTCAGGGGGCGTCACGAAGTCACGATGCTGCGAGCGGCTCATTCACCCTGGATCCGCCGGCTTGTCTCTCTCGCACTCGTGGGGCCCAGTGAATACTGAAGCCAACGCTTGACCGCAGCAATGGCATTCTCATGGCCTTATCCAACACGAAGGGACAGTCGACGGACGGTGTCAGAATCAAGTCGTTCGGTAAACCTTCCCGATTCGATTCGAATGGGACCCGAAGAAGGAGAGGACCACCCCCGAGCACCGTTCGGGTTCGGGCCGGGCCGAGCGGTGACGTGGTCAGATCGGATCGGATTGGGCACGGCGTGGCGATCGGTGGCGATCTGAATAGACCGAAGAAGGGGAAACTACACACATCTCACTCCACGCTACGCCACGCCACGCCACGCTACGACGCTACGGGACACGTGCGCTTAGGGCCCGACCGTGCTTGACTGAGGGACCGCTTCATCTGTGTCCGCAGGGGCGCGAGAGAGACAGAGCGAACCGTGGTTCGGAATGTCTTCTTTCTCTTCGGCCCCTTTCTAACGAAATTCGCGTTTCCGGCTTCGACGGGCTCTGAAGGCGCCGGGGGCCTAGGGCGGCCTAGGGCGACCGGGGGCGGCCGGGGGCGGAGTGGAAGGGGCAAGCCGCGCAAGCCGCGCAAGCAGCGCAAGCAGACACACCTGCGAGCTCATTGGTTGGCGGCCAGGAGGCGGGGCGCCGCGGCCCGACGCCCGGCCCGGGAAGGGAAGGGTGGGGGCGGGCCTGACTCGGCCTCGCGCCTCGCGCCTCTTCACACCTCCGCGATGGAGAGCACTGCCACGCCACTGCCAGGCACGTCGAGCCCCGCGAGTCGGGGAAGCGCGAGAAGGCGGGAAGAGAGCACTGCGTGACGTCACTGCAGCACTCAAACCACGTCAAATCAAACGCGACAACTTGCAAAATGACCGCGGCAGGCACCGCGCGCCGTCCAGGACTGCGCTGGGGTGGAGCGACAGTGGAGTGGCGCGGAGAGCGGACTCGGCCGCAGTCGACATAAACTGGAGAAAACGTGTACACCTTTGAAAGTCGCTGACGTGCAGCGCGGGTTCGTTGTGACAAGTTTACTAAACGGCGCGACGAGCAGGGTCATTGCGTTCCCCGAGGCAGCAGGCGCGCGCGCGCACGCACGCACACACACACACACTCGAGGGGCTGAATGGTGGAGCGTGCGCACACATTGACAAGGTGCCAGCGGGACGACAGGATGACAGGAAGACTGCAGGAGGTCGTCTCGAGTGTATCCAGTGAGCGTCCGAGCCGCGTCCTGCCGCGTCCTGCCGTGCCCCGCCGAGCCCTGCCCCTGCTATGCCGGGCTATGCCCCATTCAGGTGGCTCGCGACGCGGTCCCGCATCACAACATCAACAACGAAATCACCACTCGAGTCCGTCGCACCAGCCGTACTACTACTACTATGTCCTCGTCGTCTCGTTGTGTTTGTCTGAGTCTTTTATTGGCGCCGCATATGCAACACAGTCCTGCTGAATGCTGTTGAAGGCGAAAAGACAAGCAGAAGGTTCATAGCAAGTGAATACTGAAGCCAACGCTTGACCGCAGCAATGGCATTCTCATGGCTGCCTGCGGGCGATTCCCTCTGATCCATATTCCACCTGAAATGTGAGTCACGGTGTGGTTCTCACGGTGGGCTGAGGGGCATGGGTGTTGGTGTAGGCGCTGCGAGAGACCCGACGGATTGAGACAGACTGGGAGCAAGGGACTGACAGCTCCTCATTTGCTAATTCTCCACACAGACTCTCACGGCACAGCGCGGCCCCATCGGGTATCAGTCGTGCGGCCTCCGAGCCGAACCTACACTGACTGCGCCCCGAGCCAATGCTTTTACCACCTCGCGGGGGGTACGGTCCTGATTTACATGACTCCCCGAGTGATTCCCGAACGCACAAATTGCTGTAAATGCCCGCCCCCCCACCCCTTTTCGGCCGCCACAAGCCACTAACGAGCGCGACGGCGCGGCTGTCTCGGTGTTTCGGCACCGGCTGCCCTGCCCTGCCCTGCCCTGCCCTGCCCTTCGGTTTCCAACGAGGATAACCGGGAGACGGCCCAGGGCCCATCCTCCGGCCTTCCCTTCCCTTCCCACCCCCTTCCCCGGCGTCTGCGCAAGTGCTGCGTGCGAACAAGGCCGCCCCCGCGGTCCTCGGCGTGCTCCGCCAGCGGCCCCCGCGCCGCGCCGCCGCTTCGGACGCTGCGCTTCTCAGGGTGGCCCCCTCGGGTGCCGGTCCGCGGGGGGCAGGGCGGCGCAGGGCCTGCCTGCCACCCAGCAGGGCGCGAGGCTACGCCGGCTACGCCAGGCTGGGCAGAGGTCGGCCCGACCACACCACTGTACGGCCCTTCACGCACTCGCCGCACCCGAGCGGCAGCAAGAGCAGCAGTGCCCGGGGCGCCGACGCCGCACCGCCGTACCGCCCTCAAGCCTCGTTTCGTCGCTCTGTCTCTGTCGCGTTCTGTAGGGGTGCGAGAGAGACAGAGCGACGAGCTTACTCTTCGGAATCGCTCGGCTCACGGCACTGGTGCCTTCCCATGCCCACGTCGAGGAAGCCGCACCGTCCGGTATTCCCTCCACCTCCCCCTCCCCCGCCCCACCCCGGACAGCCCTCCCTGCAGCCCTGCAGGGGGTGGAGATCAAATTGTTCTGGTCTGTAAATTTGTGGCTGCGGCTGTGGGAAGTTTGAGCATGCGCTCTCGGTTTCACATTTTGGTGCCGTTGCTTTTTCCGCCAGTTTGTGAGATTAGAGAGAATTAAGAGTAACTGCACTAAAGAGCTGTGACCTATGCACACAGCTGGGATAGAAACGTCGCCGTCCACCGACCTCCACCCCGTCGACCGGCTTTTGAGATTTCTTTGCATTTTCTTTGGCTGTAGCGTAGAACCAAGGGCCAGTCTTTCTCCCCGGCTGCAAAAGCGGTCACAGAAAACATCTGCTTTTTGAGAAGATTCCTTGCGAAATGTTTTAATTCGGCGATATGCCCGCATGGTGGTGGACCGTAAACCCACAGGAAGCAGCCAGGTGCCAACTTGGCTTGAGTAAGTGGTTCATGAGGTGGGAAGAAGGGTCTGCGGGGGGAAGGTCCTTAAAATAATGGTATGCAAAGTAGTCCTCTGCGGGGGCTCCTCCGGAATCCGACAGCTAGCCCGGACAGGGGCCCACGGGGGCCCACGGGGGCCCAACCCGCACCCCATCACCAGCCGAGTCGCCTGTCTGGAGCGAGTGCACGAGCCACGAATTCTCCGATACAGGCAAAGGGAAAATAAAAATTAAAATAGACTTTTAAAAGGGGCGACGCGGCCAGGACGCGCCGCAGGATGGTTATTGGTCATCACGTATGAGAAATGGAAAGGAAACCAACAGTCTGCCCCCTCCCTCTCTTTCCCTCTCTCTCCCCCTCGTCCCCTGGGCCCTCGTGTACTGTCTTCTGAATATTATTATAAAATACGAGACAGTCCGGGGCGCCGTAAAACTAACCAGCATCGTGGCCGAGCCCGCCAAGCCCGCCCGGCCCGGCAGCCGGTCCGAGGTCCAGCGTCCGGCAGGTCCGGCACGGCCAGCACGGCCAGCCAGACAACTATGTCTTCGGACACGAACAATGAATCCGGTGAATCAGCTTTCCGATCAGCCTTCTTTTTTTTTCGTGGCTATGTTTTTTTCTGACAGCGCTGTTTCCGGTACATCGCGTGTAAGTGCGCTGGAACATGTCACTAGGGCGGGGAGGGGAATGTCGGGACTTGCCACGCCACTGTGACGATGACGGCCACGGCCGCTAGGCAACCAGCCGAGTCGCTCAGTGAGGTGTAGGATGTGTTGCCTACCCTGGTGGGCAGGCGGCACCCTCAACCGCGGTGCTTCATGGAGTGTAAAGCTTGACTGCTCTATTCCAGTCCAACTGCAGAACTGAGCATGCAACCTAATTTGCCTGTGTTGCACTGAACAGGAAGGAGTACATTAAGAAGTCAAGCATTGGATAATAAAATACATTTATTTATGTAACTCATTGATTGAAGCATCTAGAATGTACAGACACATAATGTGCGATCCAATACTGAAATAGCCCAGTGAAAATTCATTGATTGATAGACGAAAACAAAAAGTGGCTTGGGGTGAAACATTTGGATCCCAAGAATTTAAATGCACTGAGTACCCTATACTTCCATGAATGGACATTTTTTCCCTTTATTGGTTGTACAAAGATGACAGTCAATTTTATAAAGCTATATAAATCATTTTATCATTGCATCATTCATTCATTCATTCACAGTTATAATAATGTTTACTACCAAGTATCTTTATTTTAGTTCAATATCTACAACTGAATAATTGGGACATCCAATACAGTATAACACAAACAAATGTGACTCCATATCAAAGGTTCCATATCAAAGGCTCCACATCAAAACCTTAAAAACCTTCTTAAAAACCTTCAAAACAACTTAAGTTATAACTTTTAAAGATAATTACAAAACAAAACAGGAAAACAAATTACTAAAACATTAAATATGAGGGCATAGTATCATAGTCTGGCCAAGTTCACACAACTTCAACATTTGCATAAATTGTTTTGCTTCAAGAAAGTTATTAACTTTTGTCAGTTCTTTTTACACACAACACAAAAGGAGCTTGAAGAAATTTTATAATTATGAAAGTTTTACCACATCACCATTGGTATTATTGGAATGTCAGTCATCCAAGGACAATGCATCATCAAAGTTCAAGTCCTGTTAAAAAGATAAAGTACAAAATTAGTAAATAAAATTTTTTTGAAAAGATAAAGCCTTGAAATTAAATGACAGTTGAACACTTACTGATGGATCAATGTCATCAAGATCTAGGTCGAGATCTGAGTCCAGCGACTCATCTGAGACAGTCCCTTTAGGTGGTGCTTTCTGTTTGGTTTCTGCTGGGGCTTTCGACTCTTGAAGCGGTGAGGCAGCTGTTGGAACTAAGGGTGGCGGCATTGAAAACGCAGGGGCTGGGCTTGGCTGCGAAGAAGTGGGGATTAATGGTGGCGGCATCGAGGACATTGGTGTGGAAGGTGGTTGCACCGCAACAGGAGTAGGAACTGGAGCAGGTGATGCATGCACTGGGGCTGCAGCTGGGACAAATGGTCTTGCAGGTGGCATTTCTGCATCTTCCATTTCTACAAAGACATTAAAAAGGCAAAACCAATGCTATAAGAGGCAATACTAATAAAAGTTTTTCTCAAAACAGAATAACAATAATAAAATTCAGCCTACCCTCTGTGACATTTGAATCTTCTTCTGGCACATAATTAAACTGACCACTGGCTTCTGCTGCTTTCATTTCAGCAATAGGGTTCCTCTCATGATTAGCCTGGTTAAAGAAGAACCAGAGTTAGAACAGATTGAATTAATCAAGGGCATGTTTGTTTTTGCTATTGAATGTATACATACCGGAGTCAAGGTGTAAGCTGAAGCAGGTAGCTGAGTATGGCGTTCTGCTCGCAAAAATTGTTCTGTTTTGAGGGACTCCAAGTGACCAGGGAAAAGGTTAGGGTAATCCTTGGGGTCAGCCAACGAAGCCTTTTGATTTTTGCTCTTTAGAAGCTCGCGCCACAGACCGACAACCATGGAGACTTTGCTTGGGAGATACGTTCTGCAATATTACAAGATGTTATTGAAAATCATATTAATTATCCATTGGAAAAATTAAGTTGTGTTTCAGTATACTTGATTTTATTTACCTTGCAAAAAAGGCTGCCTCAGGAATTCGATTAGTAGCAATAAGAATATCTAAACACTTCTCCAAGTTTCCAAGCATGAAATATGAGAGGAATGAAACATTGTTTCTTCCGAGGGTATCAGCAGTCTCAGCCACTTGCTTCATAACTGTAGCATTTCCTGAAAACATAGAAAGTGAATGCCATGAGTCCAGGCATAAATTTCCCTACAGGCAGATAAATGAGTGCTCAACCAAGAGCAGCTTCCTAGTAACACTGCTTCTACAAACTAACCTGCAGACGTGGCCAGAAGCAGGAGACCGCCGTAATCCTGTGCGTGGTGTAAGCATTCCTGAGCAAGCTCCAATTGGCCCATATTCAGAGCTAATTCTGAAAGCTGTCGCCATTTTTGTTGAACCCCTGCCTCCCGTGCAAGAGACAAAGCTGTTTCTAAGTCACCCAACTGCACGGCTAAGTCAAACCGATGTTCTGGGTCTGTTGACACTGCTAAGGCTTGGTGTTTGAAGCCCTGCTTTTCCAAAAAGTGAGCAACTCTTGTCCTATACTGTTGAGGTATCGTGGGTAGTACTCGATCTGCAGTTTCAAAATCACCTCGCATGACTGCTGTTTGATATTCTAGCACTGAAACCAGGAGGCTGTAACAAAATCATTTTAAAATTATTTTTCAATTTACTGTGCTTTTTGGATAGATACAATTTTTTATTTTTTTTTAGCAATACCTACCTATATGATACAACATTAAGTTCTTTATCACCAAGATACAATCTATTGTCTCGAGCAACATATCCCAGGAGATACATGGTGCGATCTAGGTGAGAGACTGTAACAATTTCTCCTCCAACATAGTAGTTCACACGGTTCACGCTGTTGGTGTAGATAAAACAGTCACCCACCCACAATCCTGTCCTGACACTTTCTGGCATTTCTCCAAGAACCTTCAAGAGAGAATTAAAATGTAAGCAAGGTAAAATATTTTACAAAACAATGATTAATTTTTTTTTTAAATTTAAGCAATGCAGGAAGAAATATTCTTACAGTGAAGGCTTCTTCACATCCATCTTCACTCATCCCTTCCTTTGTTTCTAATGCTTTAGCAACAACACTTGCATCATAGCGAAGGATGAAGTAGCTATCTTCAGTTGCTAAACAGGCAAGTTCTCCACTCTCTGACCAATACACATGCTTTGGCTGGATATCAATTCGTCGGACTAATTCAAGGCTTTCCCATTCATAGAATGACAAGCCTGAAACTGAACGGACGCCAAGCAAGAAACCACCAAATATGCCTGAAAGAAAATTAAATCAAATATAGATAGAAGAAAAAGAAACAAACAAGAGAAGTTTAAAAAAATTATTTTATTTGATACCATACCTTCAGCTCCAAATTCCGGTTTGAAAGATTTGCGCTCCTTAAAGTTTTTAAACACTTTTACAGTGGAGGATCCTTCACGAATGGCATACTCAGATGAATCTTGAGCCCATACAAACTCCTGGGCTGAGCCAAAAGCTTTGTTACGCAGAGCCATGGCAGTGTAAATGATGTATTCTCCATCTCCACAAACAACCACAAACCTAGGAGCAAAGAAAGAAGAAATTTAGAACTCAAGATAAAGAATTAATCATGGTTTTAGTTCAGAAATCTTGGCATTAGTACCACTTACCTTCCATTAGGGTTGTGAGCAACTGTCTGAGGGTAGATTTCACAGCTTCCCATGTCTTTGACAACAAGAGGGAGACGCTCACCATCCTTGATATCGTCCGTTTCACCCATTGCCTTCAGATTTGCCTGTTGTATTTCAGAGTGACGGGCCCAGATAATCTTGCCACCATTCACATCCATGGAAACTGCTGGTTCTTCCCTTCCTATTTTCACCATGATGCTTCCTTCATCATACCTGAAATTACAATGCAACTACTAAAATCCTGGACTCCTCATTGGTTCATGTATCATAGATTTCAAATAAAAAATAAACTTACCCAAGAGCAACATTGTTGGATCCTCTCATGCAAGCAATGGTCCATACTCTCTCAAGACCATAATTGAGAGAAGACTCAAGCCTGTAAGTGCCAGAATGCCAAATACGTACTGTTCCATCCTCAGAACCAGTCAACAGGATGGGCAGAGCAGGATGGAAACAAACTGCAGGGATAAAGATGATTACATAGATTGCAACAAACAGAATTAACGAGTAATATAAAGAGGGACAACAAACCTGATGAAATGTTTTGCGCATGGCCTTCCAAAGTCTGAACACAAGTTTTGTTCTGATAATCCCAAATTTTAACAAGCCTATCATCAGCTCCAGATATTAAATATGGCTTATCACCACCATAATAATAATCCACACAATTTACACCTTTCTCGTGACCATCCAGGGTGAAATTGGGAGTGTTGGACCCAAGCTGCCACACCTTCAAAATAGAAAAAGAGTTTGTTAGCATAGGAAATTTTCAAATGAGGAGTTTTGCTCTGGCAATCAAAGCTTACCTTTACGGTACGGTCCAAAGATGCACTAGCAAAAGTGTTGTTATCCTTAGGATTGAAAACTGTCTGCATGACATAATGGGTGTGTCCTTCAAAAACTTGTTGGCAGGCCCATTGCTTTTCCCAGTTCCACAACTTGATAAGCATGTCATCTGGAAAGTGATAAAATGCACAATCAATGCACATTCAATAATAATAATAATGGAAGAGGATCAGTGAAAAACTCACCACCACTTGTGAGGATGTAGGGCTGTGTTGGGTGCACAATGATGCAACGAACATAGTCAGAGTGAGCTTCAAACGCGTGAGCCCGCTCTAATGTATTGTAATTAAAAACACGCACTTGCATGTCATCTGAACCAGTAAGAATCCAATTTTTACGTGGTACAAAGCGAGAAGCTCGCACAGGAACATCACACACCTGTAATGTGAATTAAATGCGAATTAAATCAAAATGGTTGAAGAACCACAGACAAATATCCAAATACTGCAAGCTCACTGGGGTTTACCTCAAATGATTTAACTAACTGTTGGCTTTCATGATTCCATACATGAACATTGCCATTGTAGAGAGATGCCAACATCCATGGCTCTGTTGGATGGAGATCTACACTCTTCACACGGTCAGACCGTGCAGTCAGTTTACGTTTTATATCCAGTCTGAGAGGCTGCAACAAATAGAGCACCAACTCAGTAAATAGGAGGGCAGTTTTTATCAAATGGCAAGAAAAAAATTTTCTGATGAAACAGTAGGAAGTAAATATGCACCAAAGAAACAGAGGGTTATGGAGTATGTGATGTAGGTGTCATTGATTTCAAAGCACCAATAGGAAATGAAACTAAGAAACACTCCTCAACACATCAAAAAAATTATTTTCGTCCTAAACTGAAGAGCCAGAACTAACTGCATCTCGAAATGACAATCATATTCAGTAACAGGCCGGGCGGATGACAGCTCAGCTGGTAACAGATTCGCCGAGAAGAAAGGCACGTGGCGCAGCCAGGCGAAATGCAAGTGCTGGTAAAATTCAATGCCGTTCGGAAAACACTATTAATTCAACGAGACGGGATAGATAAAGTGGAGATTCATTATCTTTACGAGAAACAGCCGATGGATGAGGTTATAGTTGACCAAGGCACACGTCAAACACCGTTTCAAGAACAGAATGAAAGAAGATAAAACTCTCTAGAAAGGTGTCATGCAGTGCTAAGATCATACCATTTTCGTGTGTTAAGAAGGCACGCGACTTAAGACGATATTTCAGTGATTTGGGTGTTTTGACACCATTTGCTATGCTTATGCTGTAAACATGGACGTGGCTGCTACTGCTGCTTCAAGCTGTCAGCAAAAGAGAAGGCGGTGATATATAGATACCAACAGACAGCGTTAATCACTGACAGTGGATCGAGTTTCTAGATGTCTACAGTACAAATATTGTCGTTCTATATTTGTCTGAATGAAATGCTTTGTATTTTTCTGTCCATTTTCGGCCGCCTTCACCCTTTTCTGCGAAGCCCAGCAGCTAGACTAGAGCGGAGAGCGGTACGGGAATTCCAGTTGGCCGTTGTGGTCTTCCGGGGCGGTGTGTTGTTCTTGTTGTTGTTGTTGGTAAACACTTGTTTTTATCTCACTTAACACTCTCAACCCGTCGTCGGCGTACTGCCGGCTTCAGTGAGTCCGTCCCATTGAAGCGTCATTATCAGTCGCAGTCGCCCTTCTTGGCGTTGGACTTGAGACTGCCAGTGTCGTTCGCCGTCTTGGTTCGTCGTCGCAATCCTCAGAGATCCTCAGACGCAGTAAAGGATGGCGGGCACCTTGACCAAGCTGTGCAAGTCGTTGGGGCAGGTTTCACCCCAAGCAGTCAACTTCTCCGCCCCTGCAGTCGCAGCATCCCGGCGCCACTGTGAGTTGATTGGGCGCTTGCTGCGCCGTGACCCCGAAGGAGGAGCCGCGGCAGTGTCGCGGACGCGGCTCGCCCTCATCCCTTTGACCTCCTGCCCTTATCAAATCAGCGATCCCGAGTCCTCAGCCTCCAGCCTCCCCAGCCCCCTCATCCCCCCCTCTTTTTGTCCATTGTTTTGCCTTTCGTTATCAGTGACTTGCCATGTACGTGGCAAATCGTACCTGCACTAATGTCCTCTGGAGTTCTTTACCCCCCGCTACTTTTTTTTTTGGGGGGGGGGGGGTTGTAAAGGTTTCTAGAGGGATTGCCTTTGTCCACGCGAAAAGCGTTGCGCTGCCTGTTGCCGGCGGGGACGCCGCGGCCGCGTCGGCGAGCCGACAGCGCCGACAGAGAGAGAGAGTCGGGCCGGCGTGTGGTGCGAGTGAGAGAGACAGATAGAGCGCGTGCGCGGCGTGTGGGTGGCATAGGCATAGGGGTGGGGGAGGGCCTTAAGCAGCCTCAAGCTGTGAGGGTTCGCGGGGGGTCGTCCTTAAAGCTCTTGGCGCCTCAGCTACACTGGTGGCGAGCTGGGCCGCATTCCCCCTCCCCCTTTTTTTCTGGTTCCAGATTTTTCGCCCTTGACGTACCCTTGATGGGGAGGGGGAGGGGGACTTGTTCTGGACAAGAATGCCGGCTGGTCAAGGAACTCGTTCGGCGCGGGTCGCGGCATCATGGAGTGTACAGTGCGGGGGCGCGGCGTGTGTTTTTAACTTAATTTTATCGGAGCTTCCCTGGGGCATATGGGGGTCCATGACTTTGGGGTCAAATTTTTAAGTTAAAATTTTTGTTTTCAGATGGCAGTGTCAAGCGTGCCGAGTGCACCAAACCAGTGGTGGAGATGGACGGTGATGAGATGACTCGCATCATCTGGGCCAGCATTAAGGAGAAGTTGATTCTTCCTTACATCAAGGTGACATATTTATGTTAAAAATATTCGCATGTTGCATGTATTATCTTCTGCCACTGAAAATTATGTAACCTTGGAAGTGAGGGAGGTGCTATAATTTGACACAGTATCCCCTTACACTACACACTGATAAGATAAGATGACATTGTCTGTACCTCAGCAAAGGGAGAGGGAGGGTACTTCTTTGTTTCTTTCTTCTTTCTTTTTCTTCATTAAAGCGACCACTGTCTCTTAATTCTTACAAAATGTTGCTTGGTTTGTTACAGGTAGAGTGCCTGTATTACGATTTGGGCCTGCCTTACAGAGATGAAACCAATGATCAAGTCACCATTGATGCTGCACATGCTGTTCAGAAGCACCACGTTGGCATTAAATGTGCAACAATCACCCCAGATGAGGCCCGTGTTGAAGGTAAGAATGTAATCAAGCTTATCAATCGTTGTGTTCTTTTGCCCTCTTTATTGACTTTTGTTTTCCATTCTTTCAGAATTCAAACTGAAGAAAATGTGGCTTAGCCCTAATGGTACCATTCGTAATATCTTGGGAGGAACTGTATTCCGTGAGCCTATTATGTGCAAAAACATTCCCCGTCTTGTCCCTGGATGGACCAAGCCAATCGTCATAGGGCGCCACGCACATGGTGATCAATACAAGGCTAAAGATTACGTGGTCACAAGACCAGGCAGGGTGAGAACTGTTTTTCTTCAGACTTTAAATTATTTGTGGTCCTCTTTGTACTTGCTTTTCTTAGTCATTTTAAAGTACTTTTAGCATGAGGTATTTTTTTATTTTTTTTTAGATGGAGCTTGTCTTTACTGATGCTTCAGGGAAGACTGAAAGACTGGAAGTTTTTAATTTCCCAGGCAGAGGAGTTTCTCTTGGAATGTACAATACTGATGACTCCATTGAAGCTTTTGCTCACTCCAGTTTTCAGGTGAATATTTTAACTCTTTAACTCTTCCCTTAGGAATTTGTTGTTTATTAGTATTGATTTTTTTGCATTTTACCCTCACTTTTTTCTTCCATTTATTTTTAGGTTGCTTTGAAAAACAAAATGCCCCTTTACCTATCAACCAAAAACACTATTTTGAAGAAATATGATGGAAGGTTCAAGGATATCTTTGAAGAAATTTATAACAAGTAGGTTATACACATTTTTTTAACATTTCAGAATTGTTTAGGATGATTTTAAAATTTTGATTTTATTATTGTAATATATAGGACCTACCGTTCTGACTTTGAAAAGGCTAGAATTTGGTATGAGCACCGGTTAATTGATGACATGGTTGCTCAAGCTTTGAAATCCGATGGAGGCTTTGTGTGGGCCTGCAAAAACTATGATGGTGATGTGCAATCTGACATTGTTGCTCAAGGATATGGTACGTATGTTTGTTCTGTATTTTAAGAGGGTTTTCAAGAGTTTCCATTTATTTGTTTCCTTCTCTTACAGGCTCTCTTGGCTTGATGACATCTGTTCTAATGTGCCCTGATGGCATAACTATTGAGTCTGAAGCTGCCCATGGCACAGTAACTCGCCATTATCGGTAATTAACATAAAGATTGTCATAGAATATAATTTTTTAATTGGTTTTAGCTATAATGGCAATTCATTTACTTACAGGCAACATCAGAAAGGTCTTCCAACTTCTACCAATCCAATTGCGTCCATCTTTGCCTGGACTCGTGGGCTGGAGCACCGAGCCAAACTGGATGGAACTCCTGATGTGGCTAGGTAATAAACTTTTCTTCCCGGTTTTCGTTGTTCCCTATTATTCAATTGCACTAACTTTTACATTTTTCTTTTGTATCTAATTTTAGAACTGCTAAAGCCATGGAAGATGCCTGTGTTGAATGTGTGGAAGCTGGTGAGATGACCAAAGATTTGGCAATCTGTATTCATGGCATGGCAAATGTTAAAGAATCAATGTACCTGAACACAGAAGATTTCATGACTGCTGTGCAGAAACGCCTTGACCACAAACTCAAGAATTGAAGCTGTTAGCATGAAAGTTATGCCCACTTTACTAAACCTCTCATTTTTTCAGAAATGTGGTCTATCTATCACAATATTGATTTCAAATATTTTCTGAGGTGTGGGCACATGCTGTGTGGAACCATCAAAAGACCATGTTTTATTGTTTTGAGATTAATGTTTTAAATACGCTTAGTAATTATGCCATAATTTAGGAAACCAGTATCTAAAGTTTGATGGAATATGAAGTGCTACAGAGGGATGATGAATGGCAAAAAGTTACTTGCCCTCCTCTTTAATCAATTGTTAATGCCTAAGAAATGTCCATTCCAGCTTGGTTGTCCTATGTCTTATACTTTTTTTTTCTCAATCTCTGTAAATAAAAATCAACTTAGTCATAATTGGGGCTACGCTCCTTTTAAAAGGAGAATTTGTTCCTGAAGGTTCCTATGATGAGACTTTACTTCCCTTGAGATTTTTTTATGACATTATTCATGTGCTGTCATCAACAAACATGCCACATTTCATTACCCTTCTGATGATTATTTGATTGTTTAAGCCACAACTTCCAATGTTGTTTCCTTTGTAAGATTTTTCAATCATCATCCACCTACTTCTGTGATAAGCACAATGCTTTGTAGTGTTTGATATTATATTGGTTCCCAAGATGAAATAAACATGTTTGTAATCATATTTTGAAACAATCATATCTATCATTATATTTGTCTATTTGATTTGTCACAATTTTTTAAAAGAATAAATGCTAAAATCTTCCAGTGTGTGTTCTGTTTGTTAAAATATTCATAAATACTTAGAGATTTGAAAAAGAATTGTTTAGGAGACAGTCGGAATTGAAGATCAAGGCTGGGTGCTGCTGGGGGTAGGAGTCTGAACAGTATCCAAAGGGCAGCAAATGGCCAAGTAACTGGAAAAGGAAGTGCACAAAATGTCATAAATGGGCGTACAAAATCAAGTGTTGGTAAGATATTTCATGAGTTTCACTTACTCTCCAATAGGGCATTGGTATTTAACAAAGTCTTCTATTCTCTCTACAACTTGTCCAAGAACACAGTTTGTGAAGTGTCTACAAACTCCACTTGTACTTCCTTCAACTTGACAGTTCTGTGGAGGTTCTGGGTCCGTCTGTAATTTCACCAAATTCAGGAAGAGAATTAGTAAACTATTATCATGAGGGTGACTAAAACACTACTTCAAACCAATCACCTGGTTGCTTGCAATTTTGAACGTCTTTAGCGTCCCATTAACAGTAAGTGGGATGGACCCCTTCTGCAGGGAATCCTTGGGCAGCCATTTTACATCAGAGATGTTTGCGAGCACCGGTCCAGCTGCAAAGAATGGAGTATATATAAATGAAAAACCCTCTAGGATGGCCAGGCTGTTAGATACAAGCACGCCACAACACAATATTCAGACCATGCATGTGTAAACTGATCAAGAATTAAATTTTGAACGACTCAAATGCTGCAGCGCAAGCAGAGGGCAGACTTGAGATCCCTCCTCGGGGAAGATCAGCCCGATGGATAGGCTGACCCGCAGCGCACGGCTGCGCTACGGAACTGTTGCCCTCACAGGCGTCCAGGCTCGCAGCAGCCGTGCGCTCGGTACAGGAACACGGCTTTGTTCAAAAAGAAAACTACTTTTTCATTTTGCAAACCCTAATGCAATAACTTTTTAAAACTTTTCTTAAAGGAAGGTCTAGTTTACTGCATGCCGAAATGCGCATGCACACTTCATCAAGCAGGAAGCCGATCCCAACCCACCAACGCATGCGCCAGAACCACCAAAACAGCAAGGTCCAACTCACAGTCAACCCTATCTAAGTCGTAGCTAACGTCAACTGGGTCCTCCTCCTGCGCTATAGCCAGTGCAGACAACTTAGAGCCCAAAGCAGGCACTCCTGGAACATGGCAAGCAGAGAGGCATGCGTTGCAGCGAATGAGGCGGTATTTACAGAAGCGTCAGACGATTTCTAGACGAGTCACTCAGAAACACGCAGAGCACGCTCCCCGGGGAGATGCCAGCTCCGGGCACTCCAGGGCCAGCGCGCTGCAGCGGGGGCCGGGGGAGAAGAGGCCGTGTTATTGCAAGAAGTAGTCGGAGCGGAAATGAGTAGAGTGCAGTGGCGCGGTGAGCCTTGTGCGTCCGCCACCGGGGTGGGTTGGGTTTCGGCGGCGTGCCGCGCTCTCTTTCTCCACTCACAGGGTGCCTCCGTCGTCGCGGCAGGCGTCGCGGTGGTCGTCGAGATGGGGGATGGCGGCGGTGGCGGCGGCGGGGGCGGCATCACCGACAGCGCCGCCCCAGCCGCAGCCCCGGCGGCGGCGCCGGGCGGGCCACTAACCCACGAGGGCTGCAACCGGTTCGCCAGCATGTAAGTCTTCTTGGAGAAGAGGGCGACGGGACGGCCGAGGACTCCTATAGGGACGTCGCGTGAGTCATTCAGTGTGTTTGTGTGTGAGAGAGAGACAGAGACAGCGCGTGTGAGGCCACACTACTGTACCGAAACACCAGAACAGCCCGGACTCGATCAGCAAGCAGCTAGAAGGGAAGCCCAGCTTGGTTAGGGAAGAGAGAGACACACCGCACGCGGAAGGGAGAGGGGAGGCCCAGGAGGGCCGGCACACAACCGTCGTGCTGCAGACGGCCTGCAGCACGGCATGGCGGCTTGGCACTTACACGGGGGCCTGGCGGTGGTGGTCAGAGCGACGCTCAATGGCTCGTACTCCTCCGTCTCGAGGTGGTCCACTTGCGAGCCGAGGCCGCCGACGACGGCCTGGGGCGCCTTGGGCGGCGGACTGAGCGACAGGAGGTCGGGGGAGGACAAGATCGAGGCGGCGCCGAAACGGTTTCCGGAGACTGGGCATGCGAGAACACGTCAGTGACTCGTCAGTCGGAGCAGCGGCGAGACCAAAGAAGACAGTCGAGGGGGCAGAACCCTTGCACTGCTAACTGCAACGCGCGGGGCAAGATGCTGGAGAGGCTGGAGGGCAGTCGCAGGCAGGCAGCGGCACACTATCGAATCTGGACCAGGGCATCAAGCGGCAGGCCGACAGGCAGTTCGTTCCTGCGACGCGCGGCGCGCAACGCAGCGCAAGACCGCGGCGCCACTTACGACTGGCTGCCACCGACGGGCCCTCGTCGTCGTCGGCATCGTCGGCCGCCCACTGCCAGGCCGCGCCGTCGTCGCCGACCTGGGAGCGCGCCGGGCCCGTCCGAGACATCCGGAGGCTGGGCTCCGGAGCTTCCGGGGCTGTGTCCACGGCAGCGTCCACGGCAGCGTCCACGGCGTCCACGGTGGCGAACTTAAAGGACTTGGACCGCAGCCGGGTGCAAGGTGGGCGGCAGCGCGAGGCGGGGCCTTGGGCGGGGCCTTGGGCGGGGAAGCGCCACGGCCGCAGCACGGCCTGCCCGGGCGGCGCCAACCGGGATGGCACTGGAAACGAGCAGGCATGCAAACAACCTTTCCAAAAGGCTGCCAAGCTGTCGCGGAAACAAGTCAACGCCGCCAAGCATGCAGTGTCGCACGCTTTGCCACCCGTGTGCGCTCAGACACCATCGGCTAGCGCGACGCCTGAAAAACATGAAGCCAGGGCCCGCGCATTCGCTCCCTGGTCCGCGGCAGGCGCAAGCCCCCCGGTATAAACCCCAAGCAGCGACGAGTTCTCGTACCCAAGGACAGGAGGGTGGCGTGGCCGCCGTGGCCCACGCGGTCGAAGGCCAACTGTTGCCCCGGGAAGGCTGGCATGGACAGCGACTGGAGGTTGATTGGCATACTGTTGCCGGTGAAGCCAGTGGACCTGTAGGGCACAGGGTACCCGGGGAGCACAGAGAACCCAGGCGGCCCAGAGGCCCCCAAGCCAGAGGCCACGCCGCCCCAGCCCGGGGGTGCCGGCGACATCATGGCCGAATGGTGGCCCGACGACAACCCCAACGGCATGGCCCCCACTCCCGCGCCTAATCCGCCCGAGATGAACATCGGCGACACCAAGGACGGCCGGGCCAGACGACTGACAAAACCTGTGCGCAAGGGTGAGGTCAACAAACGCTTCCTCGGCGGTCACGGCACTGTGGAGGGCTGCTTTGAGGGCTCAGAAAGACAAGTCGGCAAACGGCACTGATTAAAGTAGGCAACATCACGCGGCAGCGCGGCGGAGACTGTTTCGACCTACCTCCTTGCAGGGCTTCGGCTGTGGCGTCCACTGGGGAGCATGGAACAGAAAGTTTCAGTCAGGAGGAGTTACTGGCATTGCGATGGCCGGAAAGGCAGCAGGCGACACAGGGCCAAATGCTTACCGGGGTTCACGGTCATGGCGTCCGTGGCCTTCGTCTCGTTGGGCTTGACCACCACCAGCGACGTGAGGGGGGTCACGAAAGAGTACTGCCGACAAACAAATTCGTTTTCACCAGGGTTGTTCGTGGACTGCGTTACTCCTGCAGCATCTCAGGGCGTTACCTTAAGTGCGAGCTTGAGGGCGCGCTTCTTGGGCTCCTCCTGCTGAAACAGGCTCAGGTCCAGGCCGTCCGCCGGCGGGCTGAAGCTCGGCGTCGTGGGGGCGGCGGGGGCGGCAGTGGGGGTGGTGGCCGCCTCCACGGTGCCGGGCTGGCCGGGCTGCACGGGCAGCGCCACGGGGGGCTGGGGCGGCGGCGCCGGCCGCACCCACGTCGGCACGATCACCTCGTCCTTGGCCACGCTCGCGTCCAGGGCGTCCTGCTTATCCAGCAGCTGCTTGATGGTCAGGTAGGCCCACAGCCTCTCCAGGACGGACGCGTGGCGCGGGCCCTGGGTCGCGTTGAAGAGCGGGCCCTCCTCGTCGAAGGGGTAGATGGTGAGTGGCTCGTCCGTGCCCACGGTCTGGATGGCCATGGCAAAGTATGTAGTCAGTCGCGCCGATGCAGTGTGGTGCTCTGTACTCTGTGCACTACAGTGCAGCGTAGCAGTGTAGCGGTACTCACGTGGGGCGCGTAGGTGACGAGCTTGCCGCCGTCGGTGGTGCCGAGCACGTTGCCGCCGACCTCCTGGACGCCCTTGTCCGCCGTCCTGCCGGCCACGATCAACTCCGTGCCGTCGAAGAAGGTGCGGAACTGGAGCTGCGTCATGGAGTCGCGCTCCACCTTGTCGGGGAGGTACTGGAAGGACACGTTAGCCAGCAGCGGCGACGAGATCTGGCGGTAGAAGTTCTTGAGCTGCAGGGACGCGTCGGCTGCCTCGTAGATGGTGCGGGCGAAGCCCTCGTTGGCCAGCGACACCTTGCGGAGGAACTTGACGTCGGCGCCGTCACCGAACGCCAGGCTGAAGATGGCGGCGCGGGGCTGGTGGTTCAACTCGCTGATGCCCGAGGTGATCTTGGAGGGCACGGTCTGGCCTACAGTGGGGTCGCCGTCGGTCAGGAACAGGATGATGGGCTCCAGGGGCTGGTCGCTGTCGCTCATGGCGGCCGAGGTCTTGCCGTCGCGCACGCAGAGCAGGGCCGTCTTGAGCGCGTCGAAGATGTTGGTGCCTGCAAGGCAAGGGGGCGTTAACAACGGTTTTCTATACGCCGCGGCGTTACACATGCCGAATACTTGCCTCCGTAGGCGGCCATCTGCTTGACGATGTTCTTGGCCTTGGCGATGTTGTCCTTCGTGGCGCGGTAGGCGGGAGGGCGGTCCGCGGGGGGCGCCTGCGTGGTGCTTGCGTCGCCTGGGTAGAAGCTCAGCTCGCTGGGCCGGTAGGTGGGGCTCTCTGACGGCTTGTCCAGGTTCCACACCTTGGGTGGACAACGCACAGACATTAAGTCAAGTCACGCAGAAATACATGACCCACACTCGAAAAAGGCAGAGGGTAACGAACCTTGATGTCACTGGAGAAAGCGATGAGGTTGAAGTAGTCGCCCTCCTTGAGGTCGTCCAGGATGGCCGTCATGGCCTCGCGGAGCTGCTCGATCTTGCGGCCATCCATGGAGCCGCTCACGTCCAGGACGAAGATGGCGTGCTTCTTGAGGGGCTTCAGCTCCTCCGGCGAGAAGAAGTGCACGAAGTAGCCGTCGTTCACCACGACCTGGCCGCCGTCCGCCTTGCGGTCCACGTCGTACTGCACGCTGAACTGGCCGTTGAGGCCGTTGTCGCCGTGCTTGTCGCCGCGCGTGCTGTCCGAGGGCTCAAACACGCCGTCCCACGACGCGCTGTCGAAGCCGCGCCGGCCCACCTTCTCCTCGCGCTTCTTCTTCTCCTGCTCCAGCTTGTCCATGATCTCCTTCTGCTCCTCCGCCGTGGGCCGGAACACGACCTCCACGTCCTGCGGCGTCTTCCAAGCGATCGTGGCCATGCTGTTGCCTGCGGGGGCGCATCTCAAACTTTAGTTAAACTCCCGGAAACCTTTAGTTAAACTTTCGGAATCCTCTCGGCGCTTACCCGACGAGCACTTGGCCGGCGACGCGCCCGGCTTCGCGCCTTCGTCGCAGTCCTGAATGTCAGCGTCGATCTTGTTGCCGGAGGTGAACTCTGGCACGCGCAGCTTGGTGATGTTCTTGTTCTCCTTGATGTGCACGCGGACCAGGAGGTCTTGCACCACCTGGCGGCAAAGGCAGCGTTCAGTAGCGCCTTGGCGGCACCGGCGCGGCGACGCCTCCACTCACCTGTCCGGGGTTCAGGGTCACGACATGCTCGTACTGCCCCAGCTTGCGCGTCAGCAGCTCCTCGTACGTCAGGTTGAACGACACCTTGTTCTGCTTCTCCACGTTGAGCGAAACGGTGAACGAGTTCGAGTCCCGGGCGCTGTCGAGAGAAACGCCGTTGGTCACTACTGGCCTTCGTCATCGTGGTGGTTCACATCAACGCCTACCTGACTGCCACGTGGGCCGCGGATTGGCCGGATGCCACCGCCGCGTCGTAGGTCTGCTTGGCCTCCTCCTTCTCCTTGACGTACGCCTTGTACACCTTGCCGTCGACCTCCCTGGACAAGAAGGCCGAGTTAGCTGGCGTCCGTGCTAGCAGCTTGGCGCGGCGCGGCAGGTACTCACATGGCGAACGAGGAGATGAAGGCAGTCTCGGGCAGCACCACCGCGAACGTCACCTCCTGGCTCTTGTTGGCGGGGTTGGCCACCCTGCTGGAGACCACGGTGTGCGCGTAGCGGTACTGCACCAGGGAGTTGACGTGGAGGCTGCGCACCTGGGGCGGCGGCGCTGCCTTCTGCGAAACGAGACCAAGCTAGCTGTCTCTCTCGCACTCATGGGGGTGCGAGAGAGACAGAGCGACAAAGCACCCAGCAGGAAACCGCGGACAGCGCGGAAGCCCTTGCATACCTCTTCCGTGGGCGCGTCGGGGGTCGTCGGGGCGGCGCTGGCGGGCGTCGACGCCGTGGTTGTCACGACCAGGACGCCGTCATCGGGGCGCGGGAGGGAGGCCGATGGAGCCGGCCCGGCGCACAGCACCAGGGCGGCCAGGAAGGCCACGCCCGACAAGTGCCCCATCCTGGAGAAGGCGAAAAGGAAATAAGAAGAAGACAACCTGTAGTGTCTCCCAGAAACTAGGTGCACCGTGAAGCCTTTTCAGGGGATGCGACGCGACAGGTCTTGGCCTAGACCTTACATTTGTTGGCCGTGGCCGTGGCAGTGAACCTTGCCGGGCCACGCCGACACCGCAGCTGAGGTACAGGCACGCAAGACAAGCTCCAACCTGGGAGTCCCAAACCATCGCGTTCATTTCTTTCTTCTTTTTCTGTTCGCGATATTTTTGTTCTGTCGAGACCCCAACCCAGCGCGTTGCCGGCGCGCCATAAATAAAGAAAAAGAAACAACCAAATTATTCATGTTTCGCAGGCGATGCAGAGCACACCAGCGGGAAGAGAGAAAAACCTGTCCGCGGTCAACAAACTCCAAGTTCCACACGGCTTTCCTTTATTTAATTTATTTAAATACCGGAGAAGGCGCTACTTGGAGCCATGGCGCCAGATACTCGTTGGCAGTTTCCATTATTGAAGTGGCCTTGCTGCCCACGGTGGGCCATGGCCATCCTTTTAGGAGAGACCCGGTTAGCGCTCAGCGCGGGGTAACGAGATGAGCCACGCCGCGCTACGCTCATTGGGCTTGGGCGCTTTGGGACGTCCAGTGTGCGCACGCGTCTCCCGGCGCCTCCTCGGAGCTTCGCGCTTCGCATCGCCAAGTCCAGCGTCCGTCCAGCGAGGCTGTGCTGGTGCTGCCGCTTCAAGGCCGCGAGGTCGGTCCTGCTGCCTCGTCTCATCTTTCCCACAGCAGTGTAGGATGTTTCGGCTTTCGGCGGGCGACCGCAGCAGCGCAGCAGGCTGCCGTCAGCACACTGTCAGGCTGTCGGCGGCGGAGCTGTAGGGCAGGGCGACGCGACCCTACGCCGCTGACCCTTCCCTTCCCGGTCTTCCCGGCCTTTTCCCCGTGACGTCATCGGGCCAGCCGCCCGGCGAGGCGAGCCCAGACCGCCCAGACGGGCGCGCAACGCGCACCTACGCCAACGGAACCATGTTTGTGTTGACATGCAGTCAAGGCCGCCTCGGCGTGGTGCCTGTGGGGACCAGGGGGCCGAGGGGCGTGGGGGGCAACGCGTGACCCCTAAGGTGACCGCTGAGGTGACCCCTGACCCGCCGCCGCCGCCGTGTCCGCGAGCTACAGGAGTGCGCCGCTGCTGCAGCGCGCCCACCATCCGTCGCCTCTCTGCCACCGCCGCGCGGGCCGCAGCCTGGCCGCAGCCTCACAACGGCCGGCCAGGCTGGGCCAGGCAGCCACAATCAACCAATGCAGCGAATGGAGGCCGGAGGGCGGCAACGCGCCAACGAACACAGTCTCCTTCGCCTCACCGCGGAGCAGCGCGGAGCTGTCCCTGCCAGAGGAGCCTTGGAGCCAGCGGCACACGCGCGCCTCCCTGGCCGCGCCGCCACGCCACTCACCTGCAGGACGGCGGTGGCGACGTGGGGCGACGCTGCTCCTCTGCTGCTGCGGCTGGCCAATTGCGGCGCGGTGCGCTGCGGCGCTGCTCTCCTCCAAGACCGTCGAGCGCGTGCCAGTCAGCTGCGCAGCGCCCACTATCACCAAGCACGACCGTCAACCGGCGAGTCCAGCACACGAGTGGCGCGGCCGACCGAGGCGAGCGCGGCGAAGCACGGCGAAGGCAGCGAAGCCAGGCAGGCACAAGGCGAAGCAAGACGTGACGCCAATGGGACGCGCCTCTGGCAGCCTCTGGGCCGGCCGGCACTGCCAGGGCACTGCCGGCACCGGCAGGCAGGAGGCGGGGCGGCGGGGCGGGGTGCCGGCCGGGCCCAGGGGGTGAGGGGCAGAGGGGCAGCCTCGGTACCCGCTGGTACACGCTGGGGACTCCGCCGTGACGATGGAACCGGTTTCCGCTTTGTTTTGAATACTCATCTCCCGGCCAGCCGCGCCGCGCCGCGCCACGCCACTGACGCCACGCCGCGCCGCGCCACGCCACGCCACCTAGGGCCGCACTTGGTGTCTTCTGTTCCACCCATGTGTGGGGCCCAACAGACCATCCTAAACAGTGACGATCTCAATGCAACACGAACCCAAACTGTGATGATATTCGGTTGCTTCATTGCTTGATGCGTTCGGGGAAGTCCCCCGCCCAGGCCAGGAGTGCGGTACTTCCCCGCTTATCGTTGGACCTATACTCCGGTCCTGCCCCCCCCCCCCCAGCCGATGATCTGCCTGGCCGTTTTCGGTTTGTGAATCTGCAGCACTTGCCGCGCCAAGTTTTCGAGCAACGGCCACTTTTAAAATATTGACAGGGATTGCGGTTGAATCGTTACTTTCTTATTTCCTTATATTCCAAGAACGCGCTATCTTTATCTAGTCAGTCAGTCAGTCCCGGTTATGGTACAGTCCGAAAGCGCCTGGCCACGCCACGACTCTGCGTCTGGGCGGCCTGGGCGGCCTGGGCGGCTGTCGTGGGACGCGCGACGCACGCGTCACGGGGGAAGCCCCAGCAGATGCCTGCGTGCGCAGGACGCACAACACGTGTCTGGCATGTCCTCCAGAAACACGAGCGCTGTGGAGGCAGAGCAAGGCAGAGTGGAGGCGAAGCAAGGCGAAGCGGAATCTGTCCCACGAGCACGGCCTGTTTGTTTACCTGCGGCGGCACCAAGCGGCACTGAGGCAGGCCGACTCAATTTGGTCCACCGACTTCGCTGCTTCGCTGCGGCGGTCTGGCACATGGGCACATGCAAGTGCCGGCCGAATGCTGTCCGTGGTAGGCTTCGACCCCCCCCCCCCCCTCCCGGGCATGAGGCCCCGAAGAGGCTGTCTGACCCCCTTCCCCTCCCCCGCTTATCGAAGGTCAATGCTGACATGCTGACAGCGTAGTGGCATAGGCCGAAACGGAACCGAATCGCCTTCCCTCACACAGTCATTCGAATTATTTTCGACCAGGCCTCTATCGCACAGCGGAAGAACCAGGAAACGAAAGCAGGCACCAAGTTTTCGGACGGCACCCTGCAGGAGCTGTTGAAGCAAGCGGCCCTCGTGACGTCACCGTCACACGGCGGCCACCCCGCGCCACGCCCTGACGAATACGAGATGCCGCTCCACTGGACTCGGTCAATGATCCATACGGACCACGGAGCCGCCAAGCCGCCAAGCCGGGACTGCGGACGGTCTGCAGACGTATTCCGAGCATCGCCTTCGTCGCTCTGTCTCTCTCGCACCTACACGCCGCCCTCCATGAGCGCGAGAGAGACGGAGCGACTGGTCCGACTTGAGCCGATCGAAAAGGGCCGTGTTCGCGTTCGCACTGTACCAGTGTAGCAGCCAGCATGCCGCCCGGCAGGCCGTCCACTCGAGCCGGGCTTACTTTACTTGTGGTGCACTTGCACTCGTCGCGCGCAACGCGTCGCTGCGTCGCTACGCCGGACAGGCAGGCACCCCCACTGCCCCGCCTGCACAGTGGGCGGCCTACCCGGCCGAGCCTAGGCGCAGAGCGCGGAGCGCGGAGCCGCGGGGAAGTCCAAGCGGCCGACGCGCAACGCGCAACGCGCGCTAGCACCAAGCCGTCTCCAAACTGCCATAAGTTGCACCGAGAACGTGGCGTGTGCGTGTGTGTGCGACTGTGTGTGTAAGTGTGGGGATAATGCCGCGTAGGTGTGCGTGTGAGAGCGAGAGCTCCTCGTCAGCGCGACCCAGAGCGAGGCCCCGTCAGCGTTTCCACCGTCGGCCAGGTCTTTGGCACCGCGATGAAGCCACGGCGCGGCGACGCGGCGTCAGTACCCGGAGTCAACGGAGTGCGAGACGTCGTCGACGCCAACCCCGCTGCAGCACCGCCTCAAGATCCTCAGGATGCACCGCCGTGCGCTGACCCTCGTCGTCGTGGCCTGCTGCGTCTGGTGAGGCTTTTGGTGTTGACTGTCCCCGCATCCCTGCATCCGCTCGGCTGCGCCGTCGTTCCCCGACCGCCGCTCACCTCTGCCGTGTTTCAGCGCGAGCCTGGCGGTGGAGGAGGAGTGCACGGACGCAGATGCGAACGCCGTGCCGCCGCCAGCGACGACACTGACGCCGTCGCCAAGGCCGCCGTCGACGCCGAGACCCAGCGCGACGGCCGCGCCCAGGGCGGCCACGGCTACGGCCACGGCCACGCGGCGGCCGCGGGTGACGCTGGCGGGGGTGCGGCCCATGAAGGACCGCAGCAACTCGACGGAGCCCATCCCCTGCACGTGCGGCATCTTCCTGACCAGCCAGTTCAAGGCCGCCGGCCAGCCCACCGGCACCCCGGCCATCAGCCACGAGTTCAACCGCGCCACGCCCAACACCGCGGCGGGCATCCGGCAGTGCACCACGGCCTGCGTCGACATGGTGAGCAGGGTTCGAGTCCCGCCAGTGCTTGTTGTTTTTGTTGCCGCCGCCTTTTGCTTTTGCATGAACAAGCATTCCGTGTTTGTTGACAGATTGTGAAACACCTGCCGAACAGTAGCGCCATCATGTGCTCCAGCATCGAGAGGGACTGCATGAGGGAGAAGGTGAGGCGACGTTCTAGGCGGACCATTTTCTGCACCCGCCATGGTTACTTGAATTTCCTAAGATAACGTTCTTCTTTTTTCACTGGCCAGGCCTACCTCTTCATCAAGAACTCCCGCAACAAGTGGCTGGCCACGAGGCTGTCGGCGGGCAAGGAGTTTTGCTGCAAGGGCGGCATCGCCATCAAATGCCCCAAGAAGTAGTGACCGCCGCCCTCTGTCGAAACCGCTCGGTTGTACCTGTTCATTTTTGCTCTACAAATTTCCACTACTGATAAGTCCAATAAAAGTCACTTGTTTTTTTAGAAGCTGGATTGTTTCTTATTTTGGATAGAAAAGGTGAGGAAGGAACGTCCCAACGAAATAAATCAATTGCGGGTCAGGATTAATTGCTGGTGAGAGACTAAAAATGGTCACATCACGCTCAGTAATACTGGTGCAGACTGTTCCACATGAACTAATTGTTCAGCTCATCTCCTAAAAGCACGCAGACATTAGTTTTTCTTTCTGGCGCCGCGGTACTGAACTACCTCGCTGCAAGGGCCCAACACAAATTTGTCACACAAAAAGAAACGATCTTTTGCATTCTCGTTGCGCCCGTTGAGGCGTTTAATATACAAAATGGTCCAAGAATAGCCCGGTGTCGGCTGGTCACACCGCACCGCGGCCCGGCCGCGTAAAGAGATCTGCTGCTCCGATTCCCGTATGCTAAGCCGAGGCCCCCGGCGGTCTCGCCAGAAAGGGAATCTGCCGCCACACCGCAAGTTTCTGGCGCAACGCGCGACGTGGGCCGCGCTGCGTGTGCTGCGTGCGTCGCGACTCGCCGCCGCCGCAGGGCTGCCTGAGAGCAGGCAGCGCGGCCGAGCCGAGCGCCTAACGAACACAGGGTAGGCAGACCCGCCGAACGCTCCTGCGTCGCGGGGCGCGGTGGGGCCGAACCATTACTATTAGAGGCCAGCGCTGAAGGCTGGTTCTTCTCCAGTCCTGCCTCGCCCCAGTCCCTGTCCCTCCCCGCCGGCCTTGCCGCTCGCCCGATAAGCCCTCGCGAGGACTCGGCGCGGCCACTGCCGTCTGCAGCCGCTCGAATCGCCCATTTGGGGAACGTGCAGATCTGATAGGCAGATGGAATTGACGGCAGCACGGCGGTCGCGGCGTTGCGGGCAGCAGGCTGCCAGCAGCCCCAAGCCGAGCGATGCGTCGCGCTGTCTCCGTCGCACTCATGGGGCTCTCCGTAAGGGTGCGAGAGAGAGACGCTCTTCTGCATCGCTCGCCTGGACGGAACGGCACGCCGGCCGCACCGATGGCCGCCAGATAAGACTATGGACGGAACTGTAGGCTGGGAATTTACCTATGCGGCATTGCATTCATTAAAAAGAGAAAAGAAGCAGGGGGAAATCGCGCAATTTTAAGTTTGAAAGTGGCGTTTAAGAGTCGCTAACGATAGGGTTATAGCTACACCAGCGGTTCTCAACCTTTCTCGGCTCGCGACCCCAAATTTAAAGCCAAAAATTTCCGCGACCCCCAGGAAAAATTTCGCGACCCCACGGGACCCCTCCTTTAACATGCCACGGCGTCTGATCCGAGGCGGGCATTTTGCTCCCTCAACGGGCAACTGGTCTTTGGACCTTCCTATAGCATGCCTTTGTTACGGAGTGCAATTATCAGTCTTAGTTAGGGAGCAGTATTGTCTCAAAGTTGGCCGAAACGGTCAGCAGTGTCTTTGAAAAATCGTGTTTTGGGCCGATTTTAAGCAGCCACTGCGTCTGATCCGAGGCGGGCATTTTGCTCCCTCAACGGGCAGTTGGTCTTTGGACCTTCCTTTAGCATGCCTTTGTTACGGAGTGCAATTATCAGTCTTAGTTTGGGAGCAGTATTGTCTCAAAGTTGGCCGAAACGCTCAGAAATGTCCATGAAAAATCGTGTTTTGGGCCGATTTTAAGCAGCCACAGCGTCTGATCCAAGGCGGGCATTTTGCTCCCTCAATGGACAATTGGTCTTTGGACCTTCCTTTAGCATGCCTTTGTTACGGAGTGCGATTATCAGTCTTAGTTTGGGAGCAGTATTGTCTCAAAGTCGATCAAAACGGTCGCAAGTGTCTTTGAAAAACCGTTGTGACTATTTTGGTCAACTTTGAGACAATACTGCTCCCAAACTAAGACTGATAATCGCACTCCGTAACAAAGGCATGCTAAAGGAAGGTCCAAAGACCAATTGCCCGTTGAGGGAGCAAAATGCCCGCCTCGGATCAGACGCAGTGGCTGCTTAAAATCGGCCCAAAACACGATTTTTCATAGACATTTCTGAGCGTTTCGGCCAACTTTGAGACAATACTGCTCCCAAACTAAGACTGATAATCGCACTCCGTAACAAAGGCATGCTAAGGAAGGTCCAAAGACCAACTGCCCGTTGAGGGAGCAAAATGCCCGCCTCGGATCAGACGCAGTGGCTGCTTAAAATCGGCCCAAAACACGATTTTTCATAGACATTTCTGAGCGTTTCGGCCAACTTTGAGACAGTACTGCTCCCAAACTAAGACAGATAATTGCACTCCGTAACAAAGGCATGCTAAAGGAAGGTCCAAAGACCAACTGACCGTTGAGGGAGCAAAATGCCCGCCTCGGATCAGACGCAGTGGCTGCTTAAAATCGGCCCAAAACACGATTTTTCATAGACATTTCTGAGCGTTTCGGCCAACTTTGAGACAATACTGCTCCCAAACTAAGACTGATAATTGCACTCCGTAACAAAGGCATGCTAAAGGAAGGTCCAAAGACCAACTGACCGTTGAGGGAGCAAAATGCCCGCCTCGGATCAGACGCAGTGGCTGCTTAAAATCAGCCTAAAACACGACCCCAGCATCGCCGCGACCCCTTAAAAAAATTTCGCGACCCCGCTTGGGGTCGCGACCCTAAGGTTGAGAACCACTGAGCTACACTCTGAAGTAACAACCAATATTGAAAAACAACCTGTGCGACAACCTGATGTTTTCTATTAGTAAAAAGACCACCCAAAACCTTTTTAACCGTCCCATCCTGGAAGTTCCAGTCAAACGCCCCAAACATTGCCTCCGGCACACTGCGTAATCGACCCGGACCCAACAAGCGCGCCTCTTATAAACAAATAATCCCCACTTCTCGGTGGAGAACAATCCGATGGACGGGCGGATGTGTGGCAGGCGGGCAGGGCTGGCAGGTGTGGTCGGGGTGCCTGGCTGAGCCTCTCGCGAGAGGGGCGGCTGGCATCGGGCTGGCATCGGGCTGGCATCGGGGTGGGGTGGCTTGGACTGGGTCACGGGTTCGCCACTATTTAAACCTCGGGCCGCGAGGTGACGGTGCACAGGTGTGACAGAACTCATCGGAGCAGCACCGCGGCCACGGAATGAAAGCTGCCCTCGTAAGTTGGTCCAGAAGTGCCTCGACTCTCACAGTCAATCAGCTTCTTCTGGTGTTTCGTTAGCTTCATTGTTTTTCCATTGTATTGTTTCAGCTCATCGCCCTCCTGGGGCTGGCGACGTGCTCCTTGGCACAGTACGCCGCCCCCGTCGCGGAACCAGTGTTCGCGCCGCCGCCGCCGCCACCCCCTCCGCCCCCGCCCCCTCCGGTTCCAGCTGTCTTCGCACCCGCACCCACCTACGGCCCACCGGCGGTTGTCGCTTTCGCGCCGCCGCCGCCGCCTCCCCCGCCTCCGCCGCCGCCGCCTCCACCCCCTCCGGTTCCAGTGGCGACCTACGGCCCACCTGCAGTCCTCGCCCCAGCACCCACCTATGGCCCACCACCGGTCGTCGCTCTGGCACCCGCGCCGCCTCCTCCTCCACCCCCACCGCCCCCACCACCCCCTCCGGTGCCTGTCGCCACCTACGGCCCACCAGCTGTCTTGGCCCCAGCGCCCACCTACGGCCCACCGGCGGTCGTAGCTTTCGCGCCCCCGCCCCCTCCCCCTCCCCCTCCTCCGCCACCGCCGCCACCCCCAGTACCAGTGGCTACCTACGGCCCACCTGCAGTCCTCGCCCCAGCACCCACCTACGGCCCACCACCGGTCGTCGCTCTGGCACCCCCGCCGCCGCCGCCGCCTCCTCCCCCACCTCCGCCCCCGCCCCCAGTCCCCGCCGTGGAGTACGGCCCGCCGCCGGTGCGCGCTTTCTCCACTTACGGCCCTCCCGCTTTCTAAGTAAGTGTCGTGCTTTGGTTTCAACTTCCAGTCCCTCCCCGCCCTCGCCTTGCCTAACTTGACCCACCCTGCAGGTCGACGCGCTGCCGGCTGAATGGCAGTGGACTTCGAAGCCGCTTGGACTAGTCGACTTCCCACCGCCTGCCCCGAAGCCTCATCAGAGATCAATTTGTCATTCCTCATGTATATTTATCAATAAATAAATCATCATCACAACTCACATATTTTGCAATTTTCTCGTCAATTCCCTTTGTTTGCCCTGGACAATGATTCATGCACTTTCAAATAACGAATTTGCGAAAAAAAAGTGAAGAGGGCTGGAACGAGCACAGTTCAAAACACGCCAGTTCGGCTTCGCTGGTTAGAGCCCCGTAAGGCAAAACTAAGGTGAATATTAAAAAAGAAAATAGCTGAGTTTCTTGAAAATTGTACGTGTTGACCACAACCCAGGTGTGCGAACAAGTGTTTTCTCTCTCGAGCTTTGATGCGTAGCTGAGCCTAGCGCGGCTGTCGCAGCTAGCTGCACTTTGAGGGCTGGGGCGTGGATGTTGCCTATCTATGAGGGCGTGGGTTGTGGCTTGTCGGGCTTGTCTAATCAGGCGTTTTGGGGATGTGACAAAAGTAGGAAGGGGTAATCCCAGTACCACCGAGTCGAGTCACTACAACCTGCTACAGCCCCTGTCACATGTTTTCCGAGCGAGCTTGGAATGCTTTTCAATGGGAAGATAGGATGTCTGTGCACAAGTGAATGAAATAATGCCAAAAGAAAGTATATGGAAAATGAATTTATACAACTTATATACACAGAATAAATAAACAAGACGTGTCTGCACTGCAGCGCTAGCGAGCGGTCGTGTCGTCCTGCAGCTCCGTTGGCCGTCACGGGTTGCTATCCTCCTCCTCCTGCTGCTCTGGAGCTGGAGGTTCGTCCTCAACCTTCTTCAGCTGCTCTCGGGCTCTGGGTTCGTTCTCAACCTTCTTCAGTCGTTCTCGGCCTCTGGGTTCGTTCTCAACCTTCTTTAGTTGTTCTCTGCCCCTGGGTTCGTTTCCAACCTTCTTTGGCCTTTCTCTGCTTTTGGGTTCGTTCTCAACCTTCTTTCGCTGTTCTCGGGCTCTGGGTTCGTTCTCAACCTCCGTATGCTCCTTTCGGGCTCTGGGTTCGCTCGCAACCTCCTTAGGTTTGTCCTCGCGCTGTGCCCGGCCTCGGGGTGCAGTCAGTTCGCTGGTGGGGGTCGGCGGCGGCGGGGGCGGAGGCGGCGGTGGTGGCGGCGGTGGCAGCGGGAGCGTCTGGGGGTTCTGGTTCGGCGGCCTCTGGAAGCCGCCCCCTGCAGGACGACCGGGGCGCTGAGGCTGCGGGCGCGGCCGCTGCACCTGCGGCCTTGGCCGCTGCACCTGGGGCCGCTGCTGGAACTGCTGCTGCACTAGCGGCTGCCGGTAGCAGTTGTAGTAGTAGCGGTTGTTCTGCAGCTGGTAGTAGCAGTACAGCCGGGGCTGGGGCTGCGGGCTGTAGGCGTAGTACTTGGGGCTGTAGGCGTAGTACTTGGGGCTGTAGGCGTAGTGCGCGCCGACGCGCACCCACGCGGCGGCCAGCGCCGCCAAGGTCAGCCACCAAGGCACTCGACTCTGGATGACAAAACACAAAAACGGTTGTTGCACTCCTCGTTGAACCACTGAGTGGTGCCGCACGCCTGCGCACGCCCACTGCTAGCGAGTACTCACTTCCATGACTGACCACCCTGCAGACTGGAAGGCCAGCCGGGGAGGGACGACGCTTTATAGTCTTCCCATCCGCATTCGGAAAGGGGTGAGGCGGGGCGGGGCGGGCGGGGCGGGACCGGCCTGTCGAGGCGGGTGGGGCGCGCGTCAAACGAGCGCAAGAGTCGTCGTCACCTGATGACTCGCCGGCGCCGAACCCGCGAACGCACCACCAGAAATGACAGAAATAGGCGGGTATGTTTTCCGCATCGCGAGGCCCGATGCGTAGCAAGTGGTCGGAAGTGCCGGGCCGGGCCGCTAATCCGGTTAATCCAACCAAAGCCGAGAGGGGTCACGCCAGCGCCATCGTGACGGCACCCTGATTCCGAACAGTGCTTCGTCGCTCTGTCTCTGTTGCACTTACGGGGCAGTCCGTAGGGGTGCGAGAGAGACAGAGCGACGAAAGGTGACGCTGCAGGCGCGAGGAGGCAGACCGATGGACGCCGCCGCGGACTTGGCCGGGAAGGGTGGCGAGTATTCCCGGACCAGACACTGAAGACTGATTCCGAGAGTCCTTTTCCTTGCTCTGTCTCTCTCGCACCTGTACGGCACGCCCCATGAGTGCGAGTGAGACAGAGCGACGAAAACGACTCGGGAGGCGGCCGGACGGGACGGGACGGCTGCACGCGCTAATCGTTGCACCTGCCGTGACCACAGAGTCGCCTCGCCACGCCTCGCCACCGCGGCGCTCCAATAACGGCCAGCCTACGCACGTGGGTTCTGCCCTGGCCCGGCCCTGGCAACATCGCCCTGCACGCTCTCGCCGCTCTGTCTCTCTCGCACTCATGGGCCGTTCCGTAGGGGTGCGAGAGAGACAGAGCGACGAAGCGATGTTCGGAGTCAGATTGGTCACGGGCCCCTTACGCCGTGTTTTCCAAGTGTTCGGAGCATGATTTCGTCATCCGCGGGTTCTCGAGCAAAGTTGACATTTAAAAAAAGTAGCTTAGCTTTATTTTTTGAGGAAGGCACATATATACATACACTTGAACGCAAAGCTCGCTTCAGCAAAACAATCTGTTATCGCTAAAAATAAATTAAAAGGAATACAATACATTGCCAAATGTTTGGCATCTGGGGGAATGTGGTGGGGGCGTGCTTCGCGTGCTTCTACTTGATGGACTTGGAGACGGCGTTGGCCAGGATGCCGTGGCCCGCCGCCCGCGCCAGTTCGGCCGCCGTCCGCCCGCTCATGTCCTTGGCGAGGACGTCCACGCCCGAGGACACCAGGAAGAGGCTGGCGGTGGTCCTGCCAAGCTGCGCCGCCTGCAAAAGTGACAATAATTCAGAGCTCGCCCTGAAGGCCTCAAGGACGACGTGAGCGTCTCAGGATGCACTCGGGTACTCACCACGTGCAGGGGCGTCCTGCCGCTGAGGTCGCGCTGCCCCAGGTCCGCGCCGGCCAGCCGGAAGGACTCGAGGCGTTTCACGTCGCCGACGGCCGCCACACTGGGAACAAACCGCTGGTACAGTCCACTCCAAGATGACACCTAGGTTTCAAAATGACCGGCGCGCTTCGCGCTCACCTGCACAGCTTCTCGCCCAGGCCGGGGTTGGCGGCGCCCAGGTGCGCGCCGCACTGCCTGAGCGCCGAGATGACGGCGTGGCGGTCCATCTGCACGGCGTCCAGCAGGGGCGTGCGGCCGTACCGGTCCTTGGCGTGCACGCGCGCGCCGTGCAGCAGCAGCAGCCGCACCGCGTCCAGGTTGCCGTCGTAGGCCGCCACGTGCAGCGGAGTGCGCCCCTCCAGCGTGGCCGCCGTCAGGTCGGCGCCCTGCGGAACGACACGTTAGTGTTTGTGCGTTCGGTACAGTGTACGCGCACGAGGCTGGAGACCCACGGCGTCCATGAGGGCGGCCAGCGAGGCGGCGCCGGTCTGCGCGGCCGCGGCGCACGCCACGGCGGGGATCAGCAGCGTGGCCACCTTGGCGGGCTCCACGCCCAGGGCGCGCACCACGCTGTCCAAGGCGTCCCAGTCGGCCAGCATCTTGGAGGGGCTCGTCAGCTCGCCGCGCAGACTGCTCCGGAGTTTCTGTCAAGGCGGCGACACGTTAGCACGAGGTAAGCAAAATCAGCAAGTCCGCCACGCTCACGCCTACCTCCTTCTTGGTCTCCAGGTCCCACTCGGACTTGGACAGCACGTACGAGAGCTTGGCCAGGGACGCCTCGGGGGTCATGTCCGTGCCGGGCACCACGCCGTTGTCGTACAGCACCTTGCCCATGGCGTACACCTGCGCCACCTGGCCGTGCATGCACTGGGTGCAGTTGACCAGGATCACGCCGCGGTCCGACGCCTCCTTGAGCGCGGCCAGCAGGTCCTGCCGGTTGCCGGGGATGTTGCCCGAGCCGTACGTCTGCAGGACGGCGCCCTTGAGCGGCGGCGCCAGGAAGCTGCGCACCTGCACAAGCAAAGGGTTGCTTCCGGGCGGGCAGCAAGTACAACACTACAGGGCGGCTCCAGATTTTTTTTTCGGAGGGGGCGCGACACACTAGGCGGAGTGCTATGTTTGTTGCCTACCTCCAGTGCGGCGCCGGATCTGATCCAACCCCCTTAGCCACCCCTCTGGAGCCGCCACTGGAAGAGTGCAAGCAGGCTTTGTGGCCGCGGTACCTACACTGTCCGCACTACCTGCACCTTACCGTGTTGGTGGAGATGTTGGGGAAGATCCGCAGCAGCCCCACGTTGCTGCTCATCTTGCAGTGCACCGTGAAGGGCTCCGTGTCTTTCGGCCGGTACACGCGTCGGTAGTCCACTGCATTTCCAAAGCAAACGTTACTCGCTGGAAGAGGGAAATAAAAGCCGCTCCGGTTGACTGTTGGTCTGCCTACCGTCGATGTTGATGCCGATGGTGGCGAGGGGCGGGAAGTTGGGCGAGTCGAAGGCCCTGAGCGAGTCGGCGGACACCTTGACGGTGCGGTTGCCGCGCAGCAGCCGCTCCCCGAACAAGACCGTCACCTCGGGGATCACGAAGCCGCCCGCCAGCATCAGCGACACCAGCAGGTTGTCGCGCCCGTCCGAGCGCAGCTCCCACAGCGGGATCTGAAAGACAAACGCGCATTCGGGTTCAAATACCGCATCTTTTCGTCCATTTTTTTTTTCGATTTGTTTTTAGTTTGTTTCTGTGGTTTATTTTGTGTGAGACGCACTTGTGATCCGGTGAGGATGACAGTCTTGCCGAGGTTCTCCAGCATGAAGGACAGGGCGGAGGACGTGTAGGCCATGGTGTCCGTGCCGTGCAGGACGAGGAAGCCGTCGTACCTCTCGTAGTTGGCCTGCAAAAAATATGCCAATCTCAATGGTAACTGGGCGGATGATTGACTGTCGCCCACGCTGCCTTTCCACCCACCTTGATGTCCGTGGCGATGCGCACCCAGTCGTCCACGCCCATGCAGCTGGAGTCCAGCAAGGGGTCGTACTCCTGGATGGTGTAGAGGACGCGGCGCCCGTCGCGGCCCGCCCTGCAACACCACGACCGTGTCCTTGACGCTGTCCTTGATGGTCTCCTTGACGTTATCCGCGACGCGGGGCCAGCCACGCGCGCGGCTTGTAATAGCGTTACATATTGCGCGCGCAACTAGCAGAAAGACCGGCGGCACGTCTAACGAGCCAGCCAGCCGCCACCGATTGGCGCCCACGCGGCCCGCCGCCCGCCGCGCCGTTTAGCGGAAGGCTCGCTCTGTCTCTCTCGCACTCACACGGGACGTCCCAGGCGTGCGAGAGAGACAGCAGGCCGAAGGGTGTGGTGATTTGGTCGTACTCACGGCAGCACGAGCGGCGCCTCAGGCCCGTCCCCGAAGCGCAGCTTGGCGTACTCCTCGTCGTGGAAGGTGGTGCTGCTGCGGAGGCGGCCGGCCAGCCTGTTCCGGAGCGGCGCCAGCGCTGCGAAGGCAGAGGGAAGGGAAGACCAAGGTTCAGCGCCCGCTTATTTTATTTGCCTATGCCTTTAAAAAATTCCGTTGGGTTTTAGAATGAGATGTGTCCTGTTGCATGCCTAGGCCTCCAGCGATTCCAGTTTTGTTTCGACATTATTTACGACCCAAGATGCCGCCAGCCAGCCTCCCACATTCCTTTCCTGTTCAATCCGGAATCGCGAACCTGAAAAATGCGGCGTCTGTAAACACACGGACGTGTCACACCACTCCAACTCGATGGCACATGGCGCAAAGTTTCCTGTCGCTGTTGTCATCTCGCCCGTGGCGATAAAAGTTTATCACGGGACTGAAAATTGATTGTGCCTCTCTCTCCGCCCCCTTCGCGCTGCCCCAGCCTTCAATAATAAACAATAATGCAACGCCCCATGCTAACAGCTTTTGCCCGATCTGACGCACATCGTTTAGTAAGTGCACGTGCGATCGCACTGTCAATTATTCCGAACAGTGCTTTCGTCGCTTTGTTTATCTCGCGTTCGAGGGACGCCCCGTCACGGTGCGAGAGAGACAGAGCGACGAGGCAACCGCGGCGCTACGCAACGCCGACCGCGTGCACGATGTCACGATGACCGCAGGTGTGCAAATACAAGTCGCGCTTCGCGCTTCACTTCGAGCGTCGCGGAAAAGTCTGCGGGACGGAAAGCCACGGACAGCTATCGCGGATATCGCACGGAAAGCGGAAAGCCCCCACAAAACGCCGGCCGAGCGACCGGCGCGACCAGCGGACGCGTGAATAGGGAAGTAGGGAGCCCGGTGGGGAGAAGAAAGGGAAGTGCGGACTTGTGACACATAGTAAAGACCGCTCTGTCTCTCTCGCACTCACGGGGCGTTCCGTAGGGGTGCGAGAGAGACAGCCACGAGATGGCTCTGCGGAATCAGTTCTTGTGCCCCTTGCACCACCTCGTGCACCACCTCGTGCACTTGCCCTGTCAGCCGACCTTGCGTCCAGACGGCCTTTGATGCTGGCGTCAGCAACGATGCAGGCCAGGCGATGCTGCACTGTGCTGCTGCTGCACTGGACCGGGCCGCTTGCCCCGCCGTTACGCGCCCCGCCCTGATCCTCTTGGCGCCGGCGTCACAGCGTCGCTACGTCGCCCAGCTGAGCTGACTCACCGCGAAACCCATCTTGTACCTGCGGCCCAAACACGCCATTATCTGCCAAGAAATCGGGCGGGGTGCGGGCGGGCAGGGTGGGCAGGGAGGCTGGGAGGCTGGGTCAAGGACGGTGGCAAACAAAAGGCGCCCTCTCGGCGGTCGCTAGGGTCGCCACACGGCGCCACCGCCCCACGGGCCGGCTGAGGCTGCTGCCTTGGCCCCGAAGCTCATCATGTACACCGTGCCCCAGCCCAGGGGGCACCCAGTGACCCTGCACGCGGCGTCAGGGTCACTAGGGCCCCCGATAGTGAAACAAGGAAAGCCCGGCTTCATACCTCCGTCGTCGTCCCGGACCATGCCGATGGTGCCCCCCGTGTACAGCACCAGGACCCGGCTCTCCATGCAGTGCTCCATGGTGTCCAGCGTCGTGTTGCCCACCGCGCAGCCCGTCCCGTTGGTGGCGCCGTGGTGGTGCCCGTTGGCCGGCCCGCCGTTGACGCCGTTGACGCCGTTCACGAACGGCTTGTCCGACTTGTCGGCATCCAGGACGAGGCCGAGGATCCCGTTGTCGTTCTCGTCCGTCTTCAGGGCGGCGAGTTGTGACCCCGCGGGCGGCTTCATCGGGCAGCGTCCGTTCAACACGAAGGAGCCCTTGTCGGCGTGCAGGGCGGCCATGGTGCTGCGTGCTCGTCGCGGAGGTCGCGGAGGCAGTGCCTGCGCAAGGTCCGTCTGTCACTTCGCCTCCTGGCGGCCTGGTCCACGCTGTCCCTGCGCCGGGGTGGCTGTGCTGGTTGGCGCCGGCGCCTGCACCGTACTGGCGCACTGGCAGACGGACACCTGCTGTCCGCCCTGCCCAAGGCTCTGCAAGGCTCGCTGTTCGCTGCCTCCACCTCGGGTCCAGTCCCCCGTCCCGAAGCCCGCGGCCCGGTCCTGCCGGCTGCCGGCCGATGTCCCACGTGGTGCGAGCTCCGCTGCCCCGCTCCGCCTCGTGTCGTCTGCTTGTCGTCTGCTAGTGGCGACCGGTACGGCACCGCGCCGGCCCGCTGTCCTATCACGCCGCGGCGGGACGCCCTCTCCTCTCCCCCGCGCAACTGCCGGACCGGAGGACGAAAGCTATCGACAGCGGATCCCGCGAATTGGACGGCACCGAAACGCGGAAAGTCGTGGACTGCGGCACTGCATGCGAGCTGCAGGGAGTGGGTCATGGGGTCCCCCCCCCCTCCCATCTTGTACGAAACTGACGCAACGCAGGGCACATACGGACTCAGACAGGGGAAGGCGACGAAGGGCTATTCTTAGCCCTGTGATCATGATCCCTGAGGCTACACCGAGGGAACTCCCTATGGAGGCTGAGTGATGCGATAGCGTTTGAAGCAGCAAAGAGCAGCTGAGCCTCGACAACAATTAATCCGTTCCTTTTATTCTTGGTGGAAACTTAGATTGGCTAAATACAAGAGGTTCGTCTCGGCTTCCTGGGTAACAATAAACATCGTTTTTGGTTTGAGCTTCCCCGTTGTTCCCCGTCAAGAGGCTATTATAGCCTAGATGAGAATTCAAGCGGAACCGTCTTTGCTAAGTTTTTCATACTGAAGGTTTTTTGGCGCGCAACTCTTAGCTGCTTTGCCAGCTGTTGTTGTTGTCGAAGTTGTATGTTTTTATTATTAATCAAGTGACAAGCAAGAAGCAAGCATGGCAGACTTGAAATTGAGGAGACTAGTGTCCTCTGCTTTTAAATTGAGCGGATTTACTCTTAGAAGGTAATGTCTTTGATTCAAAATGCAGAGAAAAGTCGTTGACTTTTTACCTTTCTAACCCTCTACTATGTTAATTATTATTAAACTAATTGTGAATTTCAGTGAGGCCTGCTCATTTTTAATGGTTCAATTAGAACCACTGAGTGATGGAGAAAGGAAAGAGTGGCTGGACAACTTGACAGACAATATCCAGCGACAGCCATTGAATTCTGCCACTATTGAGAAGGAGCAGGTTGAGCGAGCCATACAGGTTTCGTATCCATGGATATTATCCTCAATTTTCAGTCTGTGTGAATCTTATTTATTTAATTCCAAGTTACTACCTCGTATCAGGAATGCTGTCGGAGTGGAGCTGATGATAGTGAACCTATTCTATCAGTTATAAGTGCCTTCGAAACTCCACGGTTCACCTACAATGTAGACCGCAAAAAGTTCACACTAATAACTGGACAGCCACCAGAAATCCTTGGGTGTGCTGCTGATAAAGCGAGACTATTTAGAAATAGGTATTCCTGATAAACAAGTTTAACTTTTCTATAAAATTTTGTATTGAACTCCAATTTTTATTATTCATTAATTGAACAGGTTCCAAATCATTCATCAAAGAACAGCTCGTCATCCTTTGTTTGCACCTTCTTTATCTGAAACTTTAGGAGATCTTGATGAAAATGGGGAACCAAGAGTAAAGAAATATAAATTGTCACCTGTAGAAAAATTGCTTTGTACATCATCAAGGATAGCAAATGCTGTTGTGTTGGGCATGCTTACTCAACTCAAGGAGGGGAAATTCTACATTGAAGACCCTACTGGTGCTGTGCAACTTGACCTGTCAAATGCTGTATCCTTTCCCCAAATTACCTTTCTTGATTCTTATCTTAAATTATTAATTATTAATAAGTTTGTGGCAAGTTAGTCCTTAACTGTCTTTATAGAGCTATCATCGTGGTTTACACACCGACAATGGGATTGTATTAGTGGAGGGTAGCTATGAAGACCGTATTTTATATGTGGACGGGATCGGGCAGCCACCTGCTGAGCTTTCAAAAACAAGCCGGTAAGTGTTTTACTCCCTCTTTCCTCAGTGATGATCCAAATTTAAAAGGAGGCAAAGAAAATTTTATTCTTATGCTTTGATTTGTTTAACTTTCTTAACAGAGCATATTTTGGAAATATCAATACATTTGGGGGACCATCTGAAACATGCCTTAAAAATTCAGCAAAATTATTAAAGATAGAGAAAAGCAACGAAGATGGAATGATCATTTTTATTGCTGATGTTTGGCTTGATCACTTGAAGGTAATCAACTAATTTATGTGCATTCAATTACTAATGTCATGACTACTTGTCTTTCACTTATCTATCCATAAATTGACAGGTTATGGAAAAGCTTCGTGCCATGTTTGAGGGTTTTCTTGGCTGTCCACCTATTGCATTCGTTTTCATGGGAGACTTTTTATCAGGACAATTAGGAGCATCTCACTGTTCAGAATTGAGATTGAAATTCAAGAGACTTGGTGAATTATTGGTTCAGTATCCCTTGCTCACAGAAAAGTGCCATTTCATTTTTGTGCCTGGCCCCGGTGATCCTGCAGGACCCAAGATATTACCGAGGTAACAAGAAGAAAAGGGTTGTGAATGAATGATGGTTTGACTTGAACTGAAGTGTGAATCTGTCATTCTAGACCACCGCTACCAAAGTTTGTCACTGAAGAGCTTTTGAAGAGAGTTCCTAATGCCATTATGGCAACAAATCCTTGCAGATTGCAATATTGCACTCAGGAAATTGTGGTAATAAGAGAGGATCTTGTTACCAAAATGTGTAGAAACAATATACATTTTCCATCAGATGGGGAAATACCTGACCATGTAAGTAGTTCTCTATACGTACTTTCAATGTGCAATGCTTATTTATCTGTGATTAATTATAAATGCTTTCTATACGAATCATTTCTACAGTCACCACATTTTCTGTGTTTCTGCCCTCAGTTTGCTCGAACAATAATTTCCCAAGCTCACCTTGCACCACTTCCTCTAAGTGTGTGTCCTGTTTATTGGCCAATGGACTCTGCTCTACAATTGTACCCTCTCCCAGATCTAATAGTTACAGCTGATAAATTCAACTCATTTTCCACTGCTCACATGGAGTGTCAGGTCATGAATCCTGTAAGTTATCAACATCCATTGTTTCAGCATCCAATTAGAGAATATGTCTCATTTACCTTTTTTCTTTGCAGGGTTCGTTCCCAAGAAGTGAGTTTTCATTCAAAGTGTATGTGCCTTCTTCCAAGACAGTAGAAGACAGCCAGATCCCCGATGAAGAGGATTAAAGAGAAATCATAGCACTTACATTGTATAACTATTTTTGAACATGATATTTGTACATAGTCTTGAACATGTCAGTTATTATTTAATAAAAATTATGATTTTTACCATAAATGTTATTTAGGGTGCATGATGTGGAAATTATTAGAGGCCTCCACAGTGATTCAGGGCCACATTACCAGAGTTAATTTAAGTAATCAGCATCAACAATCATAAATATTCTTAAATTCACTTCAATTAAGTCTTTGCTTCTTTTCAGGGGGTGGTTTCATTCTTGGCTGGGTGCCTGGTTCACTTTTTACTTCAGTTTTGATTTCAGTCTTGATTTCTGACTTTACATCAGCACCTGCGGTAGAATTATCATTAAAATCAACTCAAATAATTAAAATATACAAATTACACCTTTGATAAGATGAGCAATGTACCCTCTGCTGGAGCGGTGACAGCTCTTGGCTGAAAAGCAGGCTCTGGGAATTTTCGAGAAAGTTCTGCCAAGAGCATATGGACACGATTACGCTGGAAATGAGAACCTGCTTGATCTTTAACCGTTTCTTTCTTTGATAGTGCAGCTTGTCTCTCTCTTTCTCGACTTTTCCGATCCTTGAAGTCCCATGAGTATCCCTTTGAGGGATGATAACGTGAAAATGAGCTTGCTTCATCAAATGCTGATTGAATGTGATGCACTGTAGACAACTTTAACAAGACATGAAAATGTGATGGAAACACAAATTGAATGAGCATCTTTTTCACAAGATGAAAATACAGTGTCTTACCAGTCTGGAATTCAGAACTGAATTTAAATCAGGTGCTTGATATATTATTCCAGCAATGATATGGTAATCCGCGATAGGAGTGGCTTGTGCAGGAGTATGCCGATGTTGTTTGCGTATAACGTATAAAATGGGCTCTTGAACATGCAGAAGTATATATTCTAATCCAGTCATATTACTGATGATAAAAATAAAAAATTGTTATAGCAAAAGACGTCAACAGTTCAGGTAACGATAATTTCACATCGGTAAAACAGGAGCTTACTTCAGTTGATCCATCCCCAGGCGCTGCATACGGACAACTTCATTATTACACTGTCTGTCATAAAATGGATTACTCCTTTCAGAAAAATAATCCATGACATTTGCTGGATTCAGCATAGGAATCCAAGCGGTGTCGTGCCATGATAGTGTTAGTGGATTTTCTGCAACAACACAACTATTAAGTAAAAAGGAATCACAGAATTGTAAATCATTTTTTTTTTTGTTGAATATTGGAAAATTTTATACATTTGCTGAATGAAATTGAAAATGAATAAAATTAGCAGACGTCAGACAACCGCAGTCAATCTTACCAGGTACTCCCGCTAGTCTGCCCGGCATCATGCTGTTTGGTGCGCCAAAATGTTACTTGAGAGTATCACTCACGGCCGCAACTAAGTTTCAATCAATTTAGTTTCTTCAATTCAGGAAAACCCTTAACATACTTCGACCGCTCAAAGTGCAGTTTGAGGTTACAACAATAAAAACAAAAACAACAACAAACGACAACATTAATAAAACAACAACACGAGCACCGCCTTGAGGATTCAGTCCGGGTTGTTCCGGACTGTCTGCAGCAGAAGACTTCTGAAGACTTGTTTCATTTTATGAATAGCACGCTAAGAATGTACTGAAGCTGAAAATGAGCCTCTCCAATATCTTTTCTAGGTAACTTTTAATTTTTTTTTCGCCGTCAATTCCTTAAGGATGGTTGTCATGAGAAAGGCGTGGTACGGTGCGGTTAACTAACCTATAATTCTTCATTAACTACTTAATTTTTGTTCATTTATATTTGAATGATTGAATATTGTCAGTTATCAAATGTCAAAGTTTATCCTTTCTTTCATCTTTTGGAAATATTTGGTGTTGTTATCACACCGTGAAAAAGTGTTACAAATGTTATGTGCCCAGCAAAGTGGTTGTTTGGTGTATTTTTGTCGCTTTACATTCGAAATTGTGAATCAAATTCTATTGTTCTTGTAGATTAGCTGTTGGGGCAGGGAAACAGTATGGTGCTGTCCAGACAACACGCAGTATTTCCGTCAACAGTCCACTCTACTTAAGGCCCACACAATGCTTATAGTAAGTTCTATCCTGACAGAACGTGCCAAACATTACTTTTCTATTTCCCCTAAATCATTTTTTTTCTGTGTTTATGTAAATTTACAGCAAGGAGCCATTGAAGAGGAGGAAATTTGTCCTCGATCAAAACACCATAAAAGTGAGGGACGAAAGAAAGAAAAGGAAAATTGAGAAAGAAATCAAGAGGCTGCAAAAATTTACTGCAACTCTGAAGCCAATTGAAGAGCAGCAATTACCTTTGCACATCCAAGATGAATATGAGTGTGTATTTATTCTGCCTTTTCAATTATTAGCTTGAATCTATAGGCTTACTTTAAATCTTTTTGCCCTTCTTTTCAGACAACGGCAAAGACCAGAAACAAAACTGACTCCAGAAGAAGATGAACGACGAGCATTATTAATGAAGCAATGGAGCCGTCATCGAGCTTTGGAGCATAAGGCTGATGTACGAATGATTGAGAGGATACAGTATTCGCAACAGCTAGCTCTAGATAAGCTTCGAGAGGAGTCAGAAGAGTTGTATCAAGCTGCAATAAAAGTAAGTCCTCCTCTTTCTGTCTTCAGTTGTTTTCTATATAACAAGTATTTGTTTTTATAACTTGCTTTGTATATTTTACAGATTGATGCAGCTTTGGTGCCCGTGACCATCAAAGGACCAACAGTAACGCCACCTCTAAGAGAATACGATAGCCCAGATGGTGATTTCAATAACACATCTTTTAAATGGGGTTGAATGGCCTGAAGTGAACATCCATTTTTCTGTACTGTACCTTAAATTTGGCAATTCTTGTTTGAGATGGTTTGAGTTCCATACAGATCACCTCAACACTTTAGAAACTTACTGAGGTTTCTAATGTGAGTGGTTAAAATTGATATAATTTTTGTAGTGTCTTTGGAAAGTTCAAATAAATGTTTATAATGGTGAAAAGTGCGGGTTGCCTACTCGGTGCGCCAGCCAGGTGCTGCTGGATCTTCCCCCCTCCCTCCTCAGCGGGCTTTGCAAGCTTTGCTTGGCACTTCCCCCTCCCCTTCCCTGCCGTGGTCTTTCTCTTCCTACGTCTTCCCCTTGACTCGCCACACTCGCCGCCGCTCGCTGCAAAGGAGAAGAAGAGAATGAAAAGTTGCCGAGCTGGCTCCGACGCGAGCCGCCTGCCGTCTGGTCTGGTGTCTGGACTGGCCGGACTGGCCAGCAGTTCGGGCTACTGATTGTCTATCGGGATGTCGACGTCGCTGTGGCGACTCTAGCGACGCGGCGGGTCAACTCAGCGTTGTGACGGCCGGGCCGGGCGGATAGGACCGTCTCAATAAGCCACAAGGTCAACTCGACGCGAGCTGAGGGCAGGCTGCGCGCTGCGCAGGCCCAGCTGGCAAATTTGACTGCTCGTGTATAGCGGCCCTCTGCTCGCCTGCGCCAGGACAGTGCCGTAGGGCGGCAGAGCGCGCCGTCCGGCTGGAACATGAAGGAGTTGAGCATCCTGGTGGCAGTCACCTGCATAGCAGGATTTGGTGAGATTTTTAGCAGTGTCATGTTGCTTTTGCCCAGGGAATTCCCCTTGTTGTGGTGAAATCAATTGTAGCTGGTAGGTTTTACTGGTGATTTTTAGGTGAAAAACATAACATGTTGTTTTCTTTTCAGTGTGTGGTCTTGATCCGCAACCAACTGCTAATGTTTGGCAGACAGCAAACCACACTAGACCTTGGCAAAATCCTGCATGGGCCACTCCAGGTAGCCAGCCACCAAGTGGTGTGACAACTCCCCAAATTCCTCGTGGAAACACTGACTGGCCCTCTCTTCCTGGTGCAAATCAACCCTCGCAACAACAAGGTCCTACTCGATCTTATAGCAACGTAGTGAGCCCTGTCAACCAAAGACCACCAAATGCTGCCACCTCTCCAAGCCCTCAACGACACAACTATAATGGACAGCAAAACACTCAGAGAAACACACACTATCGACCCACACAATCATCAAAAACCTCTTCTTCACAGAATATAACGCAACCGACTGACCGTGAACTTGAAGAATTGTCGGAAAAGTTATTTAATGACGATCTTAGTAACACTGGGAGAAATATTCGACTCAGTATTCAGAGCCGTACTCAATCAAATTCTTTAGTTGACGAAGCTCCTCAGCCGTAAGATTTTTGTTGTTTCCATCAATAAAATTTACAATGTTATTCAACAAAGTTCATTCATGGTAATTTTCCTATTTCAGTTTACTCTCTGTCGATGGTGAAGCACTGCAGAAGCCTACAATTAAAGCTCTGAGGCAACTTTATGATAATTACATTGCTGACCCATCATTTGTAGAGTCTGTAACAGCTGCTGAACGACAAGAGGAAAGTGAGTTTTTGGACAAAGTTCTTGATACCACAGTCATGAAGGAGGCTATGGATTTTCTCTCTGACAAAGGTAACCAACCTTATGGGTAAATGCTATTGAAATTGGAGAATGCAAAATAATGCCAAAATGAAAATTTCCTTGCTTCCTTATTTCAATTTGCAGGGTTTGTCCAGAAAAACAAAAAGGCATACAAGGATTTACTGAGCTTGCTTTGGTTTACCATGTATTCAAGGGGAGGTGGAATAATAGGATCAAGTGCATTTGAACATGTCTTCATGGGGGAGCTCAAGAGAGATGAGGTGGGTGGTCTACACAACTGGATCTTTTTTGCAAATGAGGAGGAAAACCATAGAGTTGATTATATGGGATATCTCAAGAAACTTGACCTTGGGAAGGTAAGTGATCATTTAGATACACTAACTTGTCTTAATCTATAATGCACCTAACTAATCATTTTGATTATTTTATTATTTCAGAAAAGTAATCTTCTCAAAGTTCACTTCCGCTGGTCCAATGTTATCAAGCAAGCTGGATCAATGTTTGTTGGAACAAGTCCTGAGCTGGAGATGGCACTGTACACAGTATGTTTCTTCACTCGCCCTGATGACCGCTGCCCCTTGAGTATTGGGGGGAAAACTTTTGGAATTCAAACAAGAAGATATTACCTGAGAGGTAACCGAGGAACTGTGATTGGGACTGCATATCCAGTTTTTTAAGTAATGAAGCTTACAAAAACGATTGAGTGATACCCAATGTATATGATGTCATTAGGATCAAGCAAGGAAATAGAAAACATCCTTCTCAACTAAAACAAAGTTGCTTTTATTGAATACAGAACACTAGAGTATGCTATCAGAAAAATGTATACCAGAGATTCCTCAAACACAATAAAGAAAAATAAGTGAATGTAGTAAACATAAAACAAATAACAGCCAATTTGAGTAAATATCCTTATACTGAAACATGGGTACTTTACCAGAGTGAAAAGAAATAAAACAGAGGCTATCACCAAATTAAGAAAAAATGTACAAAATAGGAATCTATGAAGGTCATCTCCCAAAATACATTCATTTACTGTATTAGAATTCAAACTACTTTTACGAATAACATCAAGAACATGCTACAGTTGCTAATTTGTTTTAACCCAGAAGTGGGCAAGCATAAGCACACATTTAAAGAGAAAGAATAGGAAAAGAAGAACATCTAATATACAACTATTTGGAAAATTTTAACGTCCAGTACAATAAATGTTGAAGTATGAGTTAGGTCATAAGAAAGGCATAAAAATTGACATTACACCTCAGCAATTATTGAGATCATTAAGAAGTTAAAATGGACACATTGTTTCTATACAAGGATTAGCATACAGAAGTTGACAATCATCCAACTGCAGATTAGAAAAAAATAACCTCAGGTCAAGATATTTAATAAAATCCATAAAAATCCACAGCATCAATTTCATTGACAGTGAGACCACAAGCAATAATACAATACTGGAAAAGATGCCTTTGATTTCGTTTTTAACATAAAAAGGCACAATGTGAGATGTTCCAAAATATAAAGATAAGTGAAAGAAAAGTACAGATTGTTCCAGTAAAATTTTTGACATTTCTTGAGAAAACACTTAGACATGTGCGAGCAAAGTAATGGGACAGTGATCACTGCCAAAAACTTCATTTCTGATGATGTTGTCACAGATGTTCGGCAAAAATCGTTCTGATGTGATGAAATAATCCAATCTCCTGTAACAAAAATGTAGTTGTAAAAAGTGTTGAGAACACCTTGTTTCACAGCCACAGATCAAGAAACTAATAGAGCTGAAAACTAACCAGCCAATGTTACGTGAACGAGCATTATTGAAGTATGACCAGAAGGAGTAAGCACTCTTCTTGTCAGGATACAAGCTTCTGAAAGTATCAACAAAACCTTCCTTCAGCAGGTCTGTCATGCCTTCTCTCTCTTGAGGGGTAAATCCAGCGGTTTTTTGGTTCGTCTTAGGATTAGCTAGGTCTGAAACAGGACAATATTACAAATATTGAGATTCAGAAACAAATCATTAGGTTGAAAGGGGATAATGACTCAACAAATTTTCTGAGATGTTACCTATTTCAGAGTGAGCCACATTTAAATCTCCACATAAAATTACAGGTTTCTTTTCGTCAAGTTTCTTAAGATAAGCTCGGAATGCTGGATCCCATTCTAAACGCCGAGGTAGTGTCTTTAAGCCATTACCAGCATTTGGCACATCTGTAAAAAACAAATAAGCCGTCACTAATATTTAAAGCAACAAAACAAAATAATACACAGTAATATAAAGTGCACTAACAAGTATTCACAAGGTAGAACTTCTCATATTCTGCAGTGATCACACGACCATCTGCATCAAACTCAGGTTTATCAATGCCGTATTTCACTTCTAAAGGCTTAGTCTTAGACAACACAGCAACTCCAGCTTGTCCTTCTTTTTCACCTATGAAAAATAAAGTCCATGATATAAGCAACATATCAAGCAGAGAAAATGGAGAGTACCCGATTTTAATTAACCAACCTGATAGCCAATAAGTCTCATATCCTTCAAATTTGGCCTCAGGGGGTAGTTTCTGCTCGGAGCACTTCGTCTCTTGTAGACAAAGAATGTCTGGCTTCTCATGCTTAATATACTCTAATCCATTTTTCTGAAACAAAGATGATCATAAATCAGAACATTTGATGAAACTGAAATTTAAATAAACAGGCTATAGAAAATTACATACCTTGATCCATGCTCTCAAACCAGCCACATTCCAAGAAGAAATCTTTAAATTCCAAGAATCTCCATCTTTAGTTTTGGCATTTGAAGTAAACTCAATAGAATCATAATCTGTGTCTGTTTTGTTCAACAAAGTTTTTTCCTCAACTTTGGCCTTTTTGGCTTGTGGTTCCTCTTTGACATCACCTGTTGCCTCTTCACCGTTCTTGTCAGCCCTGCTCCTCTTCTTTGGATCTTTATCTTCATCCTTACCCTTCTTTGAAGATTTCTTTTCATCATTTTTGCCCTTCTTAGATGACTTTCCTTTGCTGTCTTCGTCATCCTCATCGTCCTCCTCTTCCTCTGATAGTTCATGCTCAGGTCTGGGCTTATCATCTTTTTCCACTTTTTCTTCCTCTTTACTATCAGACTTATCTTTTGCGTTATCATCGGTTGATGAGTCAGCTGTAGCAGATTTTGGCTTAGACTTAGGTTTTTCAGATTTGCTTTCATCTTTTTTATCTTCTTCACTATCTTCCCCAGCTTCATCTTCCACATCCTCTTCTTCCTCCTCCTCACCTTCAGAGGATTCCTCTTTCTTGGATTTTTTTGCAGCTGGTCTACCCCTTCCTCGTTTAGGAGAACTCTTTTCCTCCTTCTCAGAAACTGAATCTTCGTCTTCTTCAACAGACTCTTCCTCAGAATCAGACAAATCTTTGTATGATGTGTTTTTATTTGTCCTCATAGACCGTGTAGGTTTTCTTCCGCCTTTCTTCCGCTTGCTAGATTCTTCAGCAGAAGAGTCATCGCTACTGACAAAGTCAGACGCTTCTTCAGAATCAGAGACATCTCTTTTCCGGGAGCGGGCTGGGGCACGCCTGCCCTTCTTCCCCCTTGCCTTGGGCTTTTCTTCCTCGGACATTGATTCTGACTCCGATTCCTTCTTGCCCCTCTTGCGAATGGGCTTCTCATCCTCAGAGTCGGACAAATCTTTGTAGGATGCAGCTTTGACATTCCTGGATTGTCTCACTTGTCTCTCCTTCCCATTTTCTTCTACCTCCTTCTGAAAGGAAATTTTTAGAAATTAGAGAACAGCCTGGACAATCAAAATTGGCAATAGACATACTTGCTTAAATATATTTTACTGACATTAGTTACAGAAAATATGGAACGTAAGGACAGACAGGTCTACCGAGGCAAGACATTGAACATGAACCACAAAATTGAGGCAACAAAAGATGTCTTTTAAAAAATAGGTGTACGCAGCGGTGTCCGATTCAAAGACAAAATTTGGAAACATATAGATGAGAGTGTGACAGCAAATATTCAAGGTCTTGAAAATAAAAGCTTCAGAAACGTGAATGGGTCGTCCCATCAAGAAGATATATTAAACCTAAACATCTGCCCAACCAATAAATGTGCTCACATCCTTAGCCTTAGCGCTTGGTGGTTAATCCGGTTGAGCATGTACACAAGCCAAACCAGTACTTACTTTTGCTTTCGCTTTGCCTCTTGGTGGCATGTTTGAACAAACGTAAAACTGCGCAGCGGCTCTGGAGAATGGACGGGACTGAGAAGCGAAGCTTTGCCGAACGAGTGCAGACACTGAAGTTAGAGAATGAGACCCTTGAAAGTATTTTCCGGGCACAACTCCCAAAATGCAGCACTGGCTCCAAACAAAACGGCAAAAGGCCGCGCAAAACATGGGCCGGGCAAGCTACCCGGGGCCTGTCCAGTTAGCTACCCACGCCATTCGGACAAGATGGTCGCGGCGGTCACTCGGCGCTGCCACCAGGAAAGAGCAGTTCCGTATTTTCCATTTTCACACGAGACTCAATGATTAATTTTTGTCCACTGAGAATTTCAGGCCGGAAAACCGGTATTTTTCGAATAAAGTCAGTCACTACGGGTGGGGTGTCATTATCAACCTCTCTCGCTTGCGGGTTGGTAACCCTGGAGATAAGTATGCAGGTGCAGTAGCAGACGACGTTCACCGCATCTTTGTGTCATTTAATTACATAATTTAAAAACAACGACGGTAGTGTTCTTCTGATTGATCGTGTTGTGATTTGAGGTATGTTATTTTTTTGTATATCTGCATGTTCATCCATTGTCTGGTTACTCGTAAAACGGCTGTCATAACAATAAGCAGCAGGTTTACTTCACAAAGTGGAAGGTTATGCACTGCTGCAATTAAACAAATTAAAGCTAATTCACGATGCCAATGCCCTAGTCCATCAATTTTTGTAAAAGGAAAAGTATGCCTTTGCGTTTTTTCTTCTCAGCAGTAAAAGTAAAATTTATTTTGTAGACTTAACACAGAGCTTACCTCAACACATCACTATAATTCTGTGTCACATTAAAGTGCCTTTTTGATTTTGTTTTCCTTTTAGATGGTTCGTGTTTTGACTGCTCACCATTTTGCCAGTCAAGATATACAAACCTGTGAGGATCCAGTAGCAGTTGCTGCCGTCCCACCTGACAAGTGAGTGAGAAGCATAACGAGGCTACAGTGTGGCACCAGCAACGATCACCAGTTTCAACAGACACGGTTGACTTGCATTATGACTTCTTCTAACTATTTTTTCTAATGAATACCTTTAAATTGTCCAGACTTCTCATAGCATCAGCTGACCATGTTGTGGAGGTACGAGATCTCTCCAAAGGTGGAGAGGCAGTGTCAACGTTCCCCACGGTTGACCTTGTCCAGCACATGGCCTACTGCTCGACAGGTAAGTGACCCGATTCCACCGTCCTCAGACCCAAGGGACTCAGTCGTCGACATGTCACACTATGGCCTCACCTGAACCTGATCCAGGTAACTACGTGGCGACGCTGGAGGGGTCCCCGAGCGGGGCCACTGGCGGCCAGGGCTGCGTGGCGCGCGTGTACTCGCGCTGGGACGCGGCCGGGGCCCCCGCGGCGCCCGGAGCCCCGGGAGCCCCCGCACAGAGCCAGCCGATGCGCGCGAGGATCGCCGGCTGCGTGACGCCGAGCCCCGTGCAGGAGGACGCCACCCTGGACATGATCGAGCTGCCCGTGAGGGGTCGCGGCGGCGCCACGGCGCTGGCGTGCTGCCAGGCCACGGGGAACGTCCTGGTGGCCTGCCACCGCATCCTCGTCTTCTTCCGCTACATCGTGCGCACCCACGAGTCGTCCAGGTGCGTGCTCGCTGCCCGCTGCGCCAGTCTCGTTTCGTTTCTCGGCGGCAGAGCCATTCCCAACAGGGTTTCGCCGCCCTGTCTCTCTCTTGGCTCACTCTCCGGAATCAGCGTACTTAAAACTAACCATTCTTTCTCTTTGGCTCGGCCCCAGGACGCGCTACATCGACTTCGAGGACACGGAGGTCCGCGTGTCTCTCAGCTTCCCGCCCACGCAGGCCTTCCTGCGCGAGGAGCTGGCCGTGTGCATGGGCAAGCACTCCCTGCTCGTGTTCCGCCTGTGGCACTCGCAGTCCCAGGGCCAGGCCCAGGCGACCGGCTCCTCCAGGCAGCAAGAGAACCCCAGCGAGGCCGGGCAGCGGCCGAGCAACGCCAGCAGCCTCCACGGCCCAGGCCACGGCCCCGGCCACCGCCCGCTCAACCTCAACCGGATACTGCAGGTGGAGCAGGAGGTGAGGCCGCGCGTCACTTAAATCGAAGCCTGCTGCTCGACTCGATGGGTTCTCTGTCGCTCACGACCCGGTCCCTTCCAGGTCAACTCTGGCCGCCGCGTGTGGGGCACTGGGCCCGGCACGGGGGTGTCGGAACTGGGCGTGTCGCTGCCCGTGACCGTCCAGCTGCCGGCCATCGCGGCGGAGCGCGCCAGCCGCGGCCACTGCAGCCCAGGCAGCGGCGTGGTGCACCACAGCAACCCCTTCGTCTCGGACCCCGCCGACGTGGCCGCCAACGTGTTCGCGGGTTCGGGCGCCGGCGCCGCCTCGGACTTCCAGGTGGAGGCCCTGCTGCGGTTGCAGCTTGCCGGCGACCCTCAGGTACCACACGTTGTGGTGGATCCCACGCATGGAACGAAAACAAACATTCATCTGAAACTTGATTTTTGTAGGGTGGCCACGGCGAGGAGTTCGGATGTCTGACGCTGCAGCCGCTGTACCGCCGTGAGCCCGCCGCCTCCGCCTCCCCCGCGAGGGCGTCTACCGGTCGGCGCCAGGGCGGCCAGGGCTCCGCACGTCAGACGCAGTCCCCGACTCGGCGGGAGCGGCCCAGCGGCCCCGGCGCGTGGCTGAGCTCAAGGCACCGCGCGCAGCTCTGCGGCGTGGCGTGCCTGGTGGCCACGCAGCAGGAGGGCTACCTGTACCACTTCCCCATGGACGGCTCCGCGCCCGCCGCGCACCCCTGCGTGGCCGTGTACCCCTTCACGGCGCCAGTGTCGCGCGTGGTCCTGGAGCCGCTGGCGCTGCACGCGCTCACGGACACGGGGCTGGAGACGTACACGCTGCGCTCGGCACACCGCTCGCTGGCCGCGCTGCAGGGGGTGTGCCCGCCGGCCGACGACCCCATCTGCCTGATCGGTCTGCGGCCCTTCCTGGGGGCACGCCACCTGCTGGCGTCCGGCCCGCACCTGGTGCTGCTCGCCACGTCCGAGTCCAGCTCGCCGCCCGTGGCGGACGCCCCCGCCGCCGCCAGCCCCTGGACGCTCTACTCGCTCAGGCTGCCCACGCCAGAGGTACGCGCCCTGCCGCCTCCCTCGCGCCCCCGTGGGGCACCCCATGAGCGCAACACTGTGAGCCCACGTCGTTGCAGGTCCTGTTCTCCGACATGGTGGCCGTGGGCGAGAGCCACCGCGTGGCCTCGCCGTCGACCTACTGCCACCTCCTGGGCGAGGCCCACTGCGTGCTGGCCTCGGCGCGACACCTCAGCGACCAGCCGGGCGCGACGGCCTCGCCCGTGGCCAAGGTCCTCGACGAGAGCGAGGAGGCCCTGCAGGTGAGTGGAGAGAAAAGGGTGGCCGTGTCCGCGGTGGTTGCAGCACTCCAACAATGCTCTCTGCTGCAGGCGCTGTACCGCGAGTCGTGCGCCTACCTGGGGGACTTCCACGTGATGAGCGACGATGCCGCGGACCGCGACCTGGCGGCGCGCTACTACCGCATGGCGCGCATGGAGCCGCAGCGCGTGCTGGACCGCATGGCGAAGCACGCGCAACGCCTGGGCCAGCCCGTGGACCACAACGGCCACCGCGGCCAGGCCCAGGACGACGGCCTCCTCGACAGCGACGTGCTCTGCGCGCAGCTGCACCGCGGCCAGGTGCACTACCTGGAGGCCGAGGTGCTGGAGGCGCGCCAGGGGCCGAGCGGGGAGCCGCTGGACGACCAGGGCGCGCGCCAGTTGACGTCGCAGCTGCTGGAACTGCTGGAGAAGAGGCGGGAGGGCGACGCGGTGGACCCGGTGCGCCTGGCGACCCTGGTGCTGCGGGCCAGGCTCCTCAGGGAGTACGCCGCGTCCAGGACCTTGGCGCTGCTCCGCTCCGCAGCGCCGCCGTCAGCCGCTGGGTGAGCAAGGCGTCCCGTCCGTTGCGCCGCCACTGGTAAAGACCTTTGCTGACTCGGAATTCCTTGTCGTTGCAGCAAGACCAAGGCGTCCGTGGTGCTGGCGCTGCTGCTGCTCGAGGTGCAGGTGGGCGGCGTGGCCAGTGGTGCGGCTAGCGCCGCGGAGGTGCTGGGCCTGCTGCAGGCTCTGCCCTCGGCCACGCTGCTGCCCGAGCTGGCACGCCACTGGGAACTGCTGCTGGACGGCCAGGGCCTCTCGGAACTCGCCACCGTCCTCATGGAGCGCCGGCCCGCCGACATGGCCGCCTTGCTGGCGCAGCTGGTGGAGGCGGACACCATGCCCCTAGCTAGGATACTCAAGGTATTATTCCAGTTGAAGTTTAAACTGATGCCGCTGAACTTTGGAACACCACTTGGAATTGAAATTGCTTTTTCGTGTTTGAAGATGATGCTGGACCACCTCTCGACGCAGATCGGCTCCAGCGGGTCTGGCGGCTCGGTGGTGAGCGTCGTCTTCCAGCGATTCCTGGAGGCGTTCTTCGCGTCCTTTTTCGCGGCCAACGCCGTGGACTGCCTCATGGACCTGGCCACGGAGGAGGCCCTCAAGGTGAGCGCCGCGGTGGTGACCTCCCTCCACCACGCCAGCGAAAAACACTTAGCCTTTCTACCTCTGCCTGTCCTGTTTCGCAGATCCTGGTTCGGTCCTACCTGAGCGACCTGCAGACGCCGCCCGCCCCTCCCAGCTCGCCGGGCAGCCTGGCGGCGGGGGCGCGCTTGGAGCCGCTGGCGAGGGTGCTGCTGGACGAGGACCGGCTGCCCTTCCTGGACGCCATGCCGCCCTTCGCCGCCGACCTGAGCGAGCGGCTGGCGTCCCCCGTCAAGCACGCGCCGCCGCCGCCGCAGCACGGCAGCGAGAACAAGAAGCTCAGCCTGAGGAAGCTGCAGGTAACTGGCGATGATCCTGGCGAAAAACGGGAAGCTCGTTTCGGCCAATTTCGGCTGCCACGGCGGGGAGGGCACGGCAGGCGCCAGGGTAGGCCAGCCCGCACAACTCGCTCGTGTTACGGGCTTGCCTACCCTCTTGTTCGCAGGGGCTTCGCCTGCAGACCGATGTCTCATTTCGAAGGTTCGTGTCACCGCTGTCTTTGTCACTCTCATGTGGCGTTCCGTAGGGGTGCGAGAGAGACAGAGCGACATCGCTCGGCTTCTTCGCCTGCTTGCCCGCGCGTGACATGGACAGGTGTCGATGGGTTGTGTAGCGAGCGATTCCGAAGACGTGGCTCTGTCTCTCTCGCGCCACCACGGGGCGCCCCATGAGTGCGACAGAGACAGAGCACTCTGGGGTCGGGGAGGACAGCGGGGCCCTTTGGGATGTGCGGGCTGACATGCACTGAGCCGCGCGGACGCGGGTTAGGTTGTCGTCGAGAGGGCTGGTGGTTGTGTCTGCGTGTCGGCGATACGCTCATGGCCTGAGCGAGCCAGTAGGACTCGGCCTGTCTGCATGCTCTGGTGCCCCACATAAAGACCGATTTATTGCAAACCTGCTGCATCGCGGCCCCCGGTCGGCCGCAGCCAGGATGGCCTGCCCTATCGATTTCCCGGGCCGGGGAAGGGGAAGGGGAAGGGGAAGGGAAGGGCTCCAAGGGCTGTGGTGGCGCGGAGCACGGCGGCTACCAGTGTACCTCCTCGCGCGGCATGCAGCCCTGGCAGCGGGCTGCGAAATAGGCTCACGAAGCGAAGGAACGCCACGGAACGGGCGCGATCTCTGCTGGTGGTTGCTCTGGTGGGCCGAGCGCTGGCCTAGAGAGCTACCCTGGCACGGCAGTACCGCCAGACTTGAGTTTGCCCTGACAGCGGCTGGGCCGGGCGGGCAGGCACAGTGGAGCTGCCGGCACTCGCATGCCGTTTGCCAGAAAAGCGCGACCGGCAGCGCGAGAGCCGACGTCGCTGCTAGAACCGCGGACCGCGGCACCGTGTCAGTTCCGCGCTGTCGTGTATGCACTGTACAGCCGGCCGTTCTAGAGCGAGCAGCCACCTCCTCGCGGCCGTGGGGCCCTGGTGCCTCCGAGGGAAATAGGCTCACGGACGTTGCGCAACGTCACGGCCAGGCCTTGGCCAGGCCCTCCACGTCACGTACTCGGCGCTAGAGGCCGCGCCGCACGGCGACCGGTCGCGCCGCATCGCGCGCGTGTGTGAGTGTGTGTGTGTTTTTGACACTTTTCGTTTAATTTGTCTCCTTCCCAGGCCGTGCTCTGCAGCAGCCGCCTTCCCCGCGCGTGCGTCATGGAGGTGCTGCGCTTCGTGCGCTCGCAGCCCAAGCTGTTCGGCAACCTGTCCCTGCAGGCCCTCTGCCTGCCCGTCCGGGAGGCCGTGGCCGTGCTGCTGGACTTCTGCCCTCAGGCCGTGCTGCGCTACGCTCAGGTAGGCATCGCCGCGGCCTCGACCACGCACTGCTCGGCCTGCTCGGCGCCCACCGCGAGGCGCGGCGCCCCCGCGGCCTGGTGGCCTGGCGGCCCGGCCTGGCGGCCCGCCGGGGCCCCAAGCCCCACCCTGTGGCGCCCCAGCGCCGCCGAGCCGCCATGCTGGCCGCCATGTTACCGGGGGGGCCGCCGACTTGGGTCGGTTGGCAGTTGGGTTCCCCCCAATCCGCGGCGCGCAGAACAGCGCAGGAGGTAGCCTCGCGGCTCCGCGGCTCGGCGCCGCTGGGGCGCCCTGTACCGAAGCACTGCGACGCGACGCCTTGTCCCGTTAGGCCCCACCACCCATCGGGCGCGGCTGCCGGGCAGGCCTGGCTCGCCGCTCGCTGGGCTGCGGCGGAGACGGGCATTGGACAGGCTGGCGGAGGGGAAGGGGGAATGGTCTGGTTCCGCGTTGGGTTGTGCCGACTTGGAGTGTGGATTCGCTCCTCGTCGCCCGGCTCACAGTGTACTGTACTGTACACCCTGTCGGCAGGACTTGTTCCGGACGGAGGACGACTGGCGACATCTGCTGGCGGGCCTGGACACCAAGCGGAAGACCCACAGCCAGAACCAGGCTCTGAGCGCGCTGTACCAGCAGACCATGACAGGTGAGGCGCTCTTTTTATTTCGAGATGATGGGGCAAGGAGGTGACAGTGACGTGAGTCATCACGGGCCTGGTCTCGCCGCCGCCCGGGCTCCGTGTGAGTCTCGCCGCCCAGCTCTGAGCGCCTGTCGAGTCGAGGATAGGCCACCCGCGTGCGCGCGCGCTACGCGGAGCTGCCTACCGTCGACTTGGCGGGCGCTACGCGGAGCTACGCCCGGCGCTTCGTCGCTCTGTCTCTCTCGCACCGATGCGGGACGCCTCACGAGTGCGAGAGAGAGGCCCTGACTGTTGTTGTCGGCCCCCAGACGTGCTGGACCACCTGGCGCACTCGGTGGACGTGGACACGCTGTGCCGCCTGCTGCATCTCGACGTGGCCCTCGACGTGGCCGGCGCCGACCTGGACGTGGTGCGCGCGCACCTGCCGCACCTGCACACCTGCCAGCGCGTGGCGGGCGCCAACGCCGTCAGGAACTACATCGCCTCCACCAGCGCCGCCTTCCTGTCGCAGCTAGACCACTAGCCCGTCGCTTGCCGCATCGCTTGGGGGAGAGCGCGCCGCTCCGTGGTGACGGTCACAGCCGCGTCCCGTCCCGTTTTTTGATTGGACGTGTTTCTATGGAGACACGCGCGGCCGTCATGCTTCTAGTCGCTGAATGTTTCTGGCCGCGTGCGTGTCGACGCTATCAGCCCAGCAGAGCATTTTGGATCTGTTTTTATTGTTGTTGTTTATTATTGATTTGCCGGTCTGGTGTGGCATAATAGTGAGGTGAAAAAAAATCACAGATGAGCTTGGATCTCAAGAAATTGTTGTATACGCGGGTATTAATTTATGTACGCTGATGCACTGCCTTGGTTGTTGTAAACTCTTTGTTTGACTTTATACATAGCTCTAAGTGTATTTTTGTATTAGTTACCATTGTTATAGCGCTTCTGCTTTATGACAGAAGTTATTCATCTGTGATTTATTTGAGACCATTTATAGTTAGAGCCTCCAGTTTGTATTGACTTTTATACTTTCGTCACCGTCCAGAGTAAAGTGTTAAAGCGTGGTGTGCCATACAGTGCACCGTAGGGAATGCCCTTTCTGGCTGTCACAGCCTGGGTTTTCACTGTAGCTGCGGTTTTACATATCGCTATTGTTGTACTGATTGCTTGAAGCACAAGTGTGATTGAGTCTGGTTTCGCTATGAGCGCTATGTAAGACGTTTTATACCTATTAAATTAAAGCTACATTTCATTCAGAATCTGTCAATGTTTTTATTTATTTCTGTACAGTGTACCTACAATCGTGTTCTTATTAAATCTTATAGTTTTTCACAGTATTTACCTCTGTAGAGAATTGATTAAGTTTTATTTTAGCTCCAACAGATCGTTAATACCATTTCAAAATTTATAAATGACTAAGAATTCACTTATAAAACCGGAATCTAGCTAGAGAGAACTTTTTCATAAACTAACTCATATGAGATTATACGTAATTCCGTAGCTTCTCCTCAGATAAATGTTTATTTCTAGACTTCACAGTGCTAATTTGCAGTTTACTGGTAATCACCCAAACAGCAAGAATCCATTTAACACAGGAAAACGTTCCGACGAGCCCCACTTTTGATTAAGGCTTCAAAACATAGTATTGCCCCTCACAGCCAGCAGACATGTTATTACTACAAATGAATACTCGGCAAAATTAGCATGATATCCTTCAGTATATACAATGTACGATGATGTAACTTTGAGCATGTACTTAGAACGTGTCGAATACATTAACACTGGCGAGGTTAAGCCAAAAAGCTACTCGCGTAACGGGGTACATTCCTTCTACTATTCGAAGCGGTGGGCAGAACTGCCACCCGAAAACACTCTCAGGGAAGCTAGGGATACATTAACAACCTCCAAATAGAGTCAAATTAAAATATGAGCGTGTCGCTACGTGCCGAAGTGTAAAGGCTGACAAAATGGGGCCGGAAGGGGGACCGATTATTGTCAGGATTAATTTAGAAAGGGGCTGGAAAGGCAAAGGGGCTTGTAAAGTTGTAAAGGTGTAAAGGGGGCGCTCAGCCAGCTTGGCGCCAGCCTACGGAAAAGGGGAGCTACAAATACCTTGAATATGCTCGGGCTTCTACCAACTTGGACAATGTACAGGCCAAAACCAAGATTTTATTTATTATTATCCTCTAGAATATCGTAAAGCTTTCATAACATTAAATGTAAAGTTTCTTCGAGCCCATTAGATTTTTCTTTAAAATATCTTTTTTTTTAAATTAATTTTTCTGTTTCGTCAAAACTTGAAGAGCGGAGGCTTTTTGAGTAGAAAGGCTTAATTGATTTGTCAAGCCGAGATAGAGAAGAAGAGTGATAACGCTGTCGACTGCTCGTCCGATGTGAGTGCGGCCGGCGCGGGGCGCGGTGCCAGGCGCAGTGCAGCGGGTCGGGTGGGCAGCGCGTCTTACGCCGGCTTCTGCACCTCCGCTGGGGCCGCGGCCACGACCACGGGAGCAAGGGCGGGGGCGGCCGGCGGTGGAGTGTCCGGCATGAACTTGGCTGGAGAAACACCAGTGCAGTTAGAAAAAAAGGTCTTCCACACGCATTCATGGTTTTAGTTTTTATAGCATCTCAGTCATTTAGTTCAGTTTCAGGGCGACTTTGGCGTAAAGAAGGCTTCTGAGACTGTTCAAGAACGGTATAATGTTTTGACTTAGATTTTATTTGGTTTTTAATTGGCAGTGCTATCTGACTAAATAGGCCTTCTAAAAAAAGTTAAGGCGCTCGGAGCCCCTGTGAGACTGGAGATAGGCTGTCCCGTTAAACACGAGTGTTCGGCGGGCTGGCCTATCGTCCAGTTGGCGGGCGCTCGCTACAGCTCGGCTCAATTTCACGCCCCAACTATGATGCAGTTTTACGTTTTGGTAGATGCCACGGTTCATCGCAACCACCTGTTCTCTTTAATCCATGTAAATTATTTATTTATTCTGGAAGAAAAACTGTGTTCCGCTTGAATCAGACTATTTTAAATGGCAAAAATGACAGTCAAATACTTGAACGTCCTATATTTCAAAGGAAAAAAGAAAGTGTATGGTCAGTATGTCAATGTAATATAGTGGTCCTGGAACCAATCACTGAGAAGGTGTATATAGACAGACACAGGCAAAGGAAGAACATATAGACAGACACGGAACAGATAGGAGTTTTTGTGTGTTGGTCACATCTCGGCTTCCACCTGGGCACCATCTGTGTAGGTGTGAATGTCTGAATAGGGAAAAACAGAACTCAATAACAAAAACAATTGGAAAGCAATTATAAACAAAAGATAATAAGTATGGGTAGCAGCTGTGAAGTTGACTGGTTTTGTAGATGGTGCTGAAATATATTTTTACGGTATTCGTTAGACAGTGTCACAAAACGAAAAAGAGAGAGAAAATGAATGTAAAAATGGAATATGTGCGTTGAAGGTGAAAATGTAGTATGAAGTGCAGAAAGTACTCACCGGTACCTGAGAAACCCTCAGAGTGTGTGCGCCTTGTGGTATCTAAGGTTGGCAGGCTTGAGAAATGCTATCACCCCGGAACAAACACACCGCATTGACAAAACAATAATATATTTATATGCACTTTATAATTTGATACATAACATGCTCTGACGTTTTTCAAACGACAGAGTGACACAGTACTCAACTTGGGAGCAAAACAAGCCAGAAAATGATGCGCTAAGTCTGCAATCACGTTTCAAACGCTAAACCTTTTTTTTTCGATCGATCGTACGGCAAAGTGTGCGAATGTCGCTTATGTTCTATCTTTAATCTATCACCAGCACCAGGCGTTCTTTTCATTTAAAAAAATTATTATCATAGTTGAAAAACAAGTAATAAAAGGGGCGATAAATAGCATTCCTTCCCTACGGTTGGTAGCAGTGACACGTTAATGAGAACCTCTTATCATCTATTGTACACATAGTTTAGCTTGGTGTTTTACAATATGTTTGCCTTTAAGTTATAGAATTCTGTACACAATAAGAACAGTGCATTCCTATTTCCAATCAAACCAGATTACACATATTTATATATTTATATGTCTAGCTAATATTTTCATACATCTACCTGTACCGTCCTCTTACGGAAATTTACAATTTGGGGCCATAAGTACGATATGATAACCAAGCTATACACTTTTCATATTTGCAACGATTATTGGAGTCCTTACGCAGGAGAGAAAAAAGTTATTCTATTGAAGAATCACGATAATAGGAGGACAACAAATCATTTGGGAAAGAAAAGGAAGAATCCTAGTAGAGGAGTACGGAGAAATAGAACCTATGATTCACCTACAAATCCATTCAAATCTGGCCCGGGCGGAGCGACGCGTGGCGAGGAGGAAACAAGCATCAAGCTCCGAAATATCAAATTTTAACAAAAGAAAAATAATTTTAGCTTCTAACTATTCTCATACACCGAAATTTCCGTCAGAGTACCTAATATATATGTCCTTTTTTGTCTTTTTTTTGTGTCCATTTTTTTTCGAACTTATTGAAAACAACGTTAACACCTTATGAAAAAGAGAATATCCTGCGCCAAGAAAGTAATGAAGCTAGTTTTGGTGCGCTCCGTCCGGCCCGCCCTGCCGCCTTAAAGAGTCCTGCTCGGCCCAGCCCGGATCGAGCACGTGTGAATTCGGGGCGAGAGTGCTGGCGACGAGGCAACGAGGCGTCTCCCTGCATTAGCTGCATTAGCCAACCGCCCAGACTGCAAACAAACAAACACGTTGTACTTACGTCTGCCAGGGGGCAGCCATCGGCCGTGGGTGGAGGAAGTCTCCACTGGAGACACCGAGGGGGGGCTCAGTCCGTCGCAACAGAAACAACAACCCCACAAAACAATTTGGATTTTAAAAAAAAAGACAAAGAGATGTTTGTTACAGGGGTGACTGACGTGCTCCGCGCGGTCCCGGAGTTCTGCAGCCTCGCCGACAAGGCTTGCGCCCGGCTGGACTGGACTACCTCAGAAGTGGGGCTGCAGAACCAAGGGACACCGCGGGGCGCGTTCCTCGCCTTGGAGGCAAAGTTGGACGAATCGGAGACGGCGAGCCCCCCTCTGGAGAGAACTATCGGAAAATGAAGAGGGAAAATTCTCAATAATCTACTGAGACTTTATGGAAGTAAAGTGAAATCCCATGCTTCTAATGCAATTTTTCTTTTACTTTCAGTCATACTATAAGGCTTGTATACGCAGCTTTCTACGTTCATAATTTTTGAAAGTGACTTTTGCTTCTTGTCTTTGAAACATTACCGGATTTCACAACTAGCCGTCGTTTGTAAACGGCGGAGTCAAATTTCCAATACCGTGCAAAATCTACGAAATTAAAAAAGTGCAGCCTAGGAGCCTAAGGACGTGGTGAATTGTGCCGACACGATCTCATTGCCGTAGTAATTTGTTGAAGTGGTAACGGAGCGTTAAACGGAGTGGCGACGGCTACCTCGGGGGCCTCTTCCTAATCGAAGGAAACCGATTACTCACCCGGGGCAGCCAATAAAAAGGGACTCCACCGGCATAGCTTCAGCACACAGACACACTAACACACTGACACACGCGTGCACTATGACAACAACACAGCAAAAAAATAATTGTGAAGCACCTTCACATCAAATTACACATTCCACACAGAATAAAGCAATGTTCTTGAGTCACTAATCACATTGTGCTCCATGCAGAGGCATTCTGGCGACGCAGAGCCACATGGAATCATCATGGTCGAAATAATTGGACTCAATGAGGTATCCTCCAAGGAAAACAAAATGATCAAAAAGTGAATGGATAGTCCATGTGGCATCTGCGTTCCAGACGTTGCACAAAAATACGTAGAAGAGAAATGAGAAGGAGGAGAAGAAGAGAAGAAGACAGAACGATGGCTGTGCGCGGCGCAGTGAGAATGGTCGGTTCGTCGCGACACATCACGCGGACGGAAGGAACGGACTGTTTACTTTGTTTCTGTACAAAATATTCCTCTACGAAAAAGAAATAAGTGCGTGACTACGCCGCATGATAGGGCGGCCCGCCAGAGGCCTCGGCGAGGCGCGCGGCGCGTCTACCCACACAGATACAAGTTTGCTCCACGTACCGTCTCCTTGTACGCCAAAGTGCCAATCTGCATTCAAGCAAATTTGCCTGAAAATAAGAAGCAGAACAAACGTAAGAAGGGAGAGTGGGCCGAAGCACACATGCACCCGGCCATCCCAGCCCAGAGGTGCCAACGTCAGCGCACAACGATCACAAAAACACGGCGCGCAAGATTCTGCTGAACACAACACGGCAAAAACTTGGTCGAGGACTGTCCAGGCTGGCCTGAGGCATTGGGCCAAGCATTGGGCCTGGCCATGGCTGACCTATGGCTCCACGACAGACAGTCCGTTTTGCCGCGTCCTGTTCCAGGCTCTTATGGCAGACACAAAAGTGGCGGGTTCGACGCCGGGCGGCCGCGGATGCGTTTCGCGACTTGCAGCCATGCAAGCCACACTCGCTGACGGAAGCACACAGAGAGAAAGCATGCGGACGAGTTGTCCCAGTGAGACATGACCTACCGGTGTGTTGTGTGCTAAACGTGTCGCCACGTACGCTGTCTACAAGGGTACAAACAAACAGAACGAAACCAAAGAGGAGAGGAAATCGTCGAACAAATATGAAGACAGAAGGTGAAGAAGAAGAAAACAGGGTAGGGAGTCGTCGGTGGAACAGCAGGAAGGGACAGAAAAGTTGCAAGTCCACGAAAGAAATCAGTACGATGTGAGTCTCACTGCTAGACAGTTCTAGAATAGGACTGGTGGTAAAAAAGTTGGTTACAGCTAGGAGTGAGGTAAAGGTAGAACGGGAAAGGTAAAAAATGACAGCCTGACTATGTGTGTGTGACTGGGACACCATCGCCCTGCGAGAGTGTAAGTAAGACAGAGACAGAAAACATCACACACAGACATAGCTAAGGATTACATAAAATGGAAGGGTGAGCTCTAACCTCAGTCGCTCTCACAGACACAGGGGCTAGATTACATGAAGTTCGCTGGAGGGAAAGAAATGACACAAGTGAAAAAAGGTAGAGAGAAGCCCCGGCGTTGCCAGGCGTTGCGTTGCCCTCCGCGCTGCTTGTGGCAACGAACACAGTCATGAGACGAACACTCCCTAGCGGACCAGTACTCACCCACAATGATGGCTAATATCACAAGCCCAATGACCCCCATGATGATCATCATCTGAAAAGAAAAAAAGCATTGACAGCCGTTAAGCGCCACAGTCGAGGAAACGAGATTACACGACTGTCAAATAATTTTCATGAAGGAAGTTTCTTGCCTTGAGATTTTGGAGCCAGAACTTTCTCTTGAGCTTGCCAGCCTGTTGTTCGAACTGCGATGCGCCCTGCTGGAGCGCGTCTGGAAAAAGCACGGAAACGGTTATTTGAATTATCTGAACTTGAAATGGGCGACCCGAGCGCCGTGCCGGGTAGGCAGCCCCAGCGCCTCGCACAGCCGTGCGAGGCGCCCTGCCTTAGCCCCTTCCACCACTTCCACACCCACCTGCTCGATCGTCCAGCTCTGACAGCTTCTGATCTCGCTCCAGCACCTTCTCGACGTTTGTCTTCATTATGTCCACCACCTGAGGGCCAAGCCAAACAGTGAGTGTCTGCGCGCCTCGTCCCCTGGAGCCGGCAACGAATGTGTGGCTTACCTCGTCCACCTGTGCCTGGGTTTGTTGTAACCTCCTCTGCGCGGCGATCTGCTGGGGGTTCCTGGGACCCCCGACGATCTCGCCATCGCCGCCCGCACCTGCCGCAGCGCCGTCCGGAGCAGACCTGGAGCGGAACAACCACAGTGCAGACTGCCGTCACGCCAACACCAAGCGGCCGAGTGGCCAAGTTCGCACGGTGTGCGCACGGTGTGCGCACGGTGTGCCCCAACGCATCAAAGTTTCACCACTGTCTCGCCGAGAGGGACTCATCAAGCGATCGATAGTCGTGGAGGGATCTCGGCCATCTCGGCGGGCTTTGAGGTTATGGGGGCCGGGCCCTTGCAGCCTTGGGCAGCCAGGCCCGGGGCTTGGGGCTCGGGGCTGGGACGGGCGCTCGAGACCGCCGCCCTCCGCCGTCGAGGGACTGTCACACCACGTCCGCAGATAGCCGCGGCGTGCGCGCAAAGTGCAGCAGCACCTACTCGACCCGCTGCGCCGAAGTGTCAAAGCGCCTCAGCGCCTGTTTACCAGACTGATGGATCCGGCCCTGATTAGATTCCCACTCGAAGCACCCCTCCGAACACCGCGTGCGAACCCCTGAATCACCATCCACCCCGATCGTGGGTCACTCATCCCCCACCCCCCACCCTCCGAAAAACAGGAAAGAAATAGCAAGGAAGCTAAAAAGGCGGAGAATCGGTGACGACGAGGGAGCGCGCGCTGAAACGACACACTGGCATTGCATTCGATGCCCCCACCAGCATGCAACATTTTGGCAGTGCCTGTTCTATTGTCTCCGGGATTGGCCACACCAGGCCACGCAACGCGGATGCACCTGTGACCTTTCGGTTCGGACCCGCCCATCAACGCAGCGGGGCAGGCTGTGGCTGGCAGCAGTCAATCGCCCACAGCCCCCTGGCCCTCCCCATGTCCCTCCCCCGGCCACTTCCTACTTCCCCTCTTCCGCCGAGGCCGGAAACTTCCGCGGAAACAGGAAATTCACCGCCACTCGTCCCTAACCCCACTTTGCGAGGGGCCGTTGTCCGGCTCTGCTGCGCTACGGTCGCGGACTTTGGGACTCGGGGTGCGCGACCACGGCCCACGTGCGCGGTGAGCGCGGTGAGCGCGGTGAGGGTGCCGTGAGGGTTACATTGCTATCCGCGCCCTGCAGCCTGCAGTGCAGTGGCCTGCAGCCCGATGTAACGCGGAGGTCAACTGTTGATGATCGATAGCTCAGCGCTTCGTCGCGACACCTTTTTCGCGCGGGCTGGGCGAAACCGTGGCGAGGGGCGTCTAACGCAGGGATGCACCCCGACGTCCTCGTCCACGCCGCCCAGCCGTGAGGCCAACACCGCGACCTGGACACACCAAGTTCACCCCGCTGCGCCAACGGCAGCCAACGGGCTGGGGAGGAGGGGAGGGGGCTGCCCTACATATGACACCCTCAACCCTTGTCTTGGGGTGCAGTCCCACGGGCCGCCACCGTGAAGGCCTCTGGCGGGGCCTCGACGGCCAGGAAGCCGAGGGCGTCGCCAGGGTGCCCCGCCAGGCCTGAAACTCGCTTTGTCGGAGCCAGTGCACAAAAGAGGCACTGGCCCGCTTCGCGCTTCGCGCAGAGCCACGCCGCCATGGCTGCCGTGCTGCCGCGGGGAGAGCCTCGCTGCACCCTCCTGCCGAGTCCTGGCCGCCGCCAAGCTGTCCCCCGCCCCGGCCACTCGCGCGTCGCACTTTTCCACACTCGTACTTACATTTCTGTGGAGTCTTTTCCTAGTTTCGGCGACCAAAGTTGAGTTGAGCTGTAGGGCTAGCCGCGACACACCAGAGACCTTGCAGTGAATTCTGGCCACTGCTATTGATGACTCCAGACTGGGCCTGCGCACATCGGTCGGATTCGGCTCGGCTCGGCTCGGCGCGCTCGGGGTTCGGGCCCGCGCCCTTCCACGTTCGAGAAATCGATTTCACCACCCCCGCCACTCCCCACCACGCCACCCCGTCCGTCGGTCGTGTCCGCCCTCCCCTCCCAGGATGCGGGTACCCGACGGTACCTGAGGTACTCGCCGATACCTGTCAATGCGCTCGCCCCTCGCTTCGAGTGTCACCTCGCTGGTGTCCCGAACGGAACTTCCCTCTAAACCTCACTGAGTCCTCTATCTTTTAAGGCGACAGCGCCAGGCCGCCAGGCCGCTATCGGTACTGATAGCACTCAAGGTGCGGTCTTGCACAGGCCGGTCATCTCGGCCACCCTGTGAGCCTGGCAGGCTAGCCGTCCACGCAGTAGGCAGTGTGCGTCATCGGCCCGCATCGCGATCAATATTGGAACCAAGCGAGCTAGCCTCGGGCTTGCTCCACGTCTCTTGACTCGCCCGTCGCTGCTCGTCAGACCATTCCTTGTTGACCGTATACAAATTTTCTTATTCCGCCCGTTTCCAATAGAGGAACAAGAGGCTCGGCAGGGACTCCAGTTGGCGCCCTTCTGTTCGGAATGAACGAGGAGCGGCTTCCTCCACCCCGAGTCCAGGACCTCTCCTCCACCACCCCTCGCCCACACGGCCTGCCCGGCCTGTACGCAGGCACTTCGATTTTCCGACGCCCACACGAGGGGGTGGAGGGCGAGCCAGAGCGAGCAGCGGGCGCAAGCCGCGGCCGCCAAGCCTCCACGCCAAGCCAGCGGCCCAGCGAGTCCCTGGCCAGTCCCTCCCTCCGCGAGCATCAACAGACATCGGGACAGCTGGGTCCACATCGGCCACATCCTCGGGCTCGTGCGGCCTGGACATGGGCAAGCTCAACAGAAAAGACGTGTCATCAGCAGATATGCTTGGCGGACGGCGCAGGACGGGCGTTGGCCGTGCATCTCTCAGCATGCGCCCCGTGAAGACAAAGACAAGCGGTCGTCTTATCAACTCAGTGAGTAAAAGTCACATGAGTGGTGGCGTTGCGTTGTTGCGCGAGCAGTCAACCACGGCTGCAGTAAGCAGCAGCAGTGGCAACGAAGCGCACACACACGGTATACGTTTTTCTCTTCTTTCCTTCTCCTTTTCTTTTCTGTCCGTTCCTTTCCGTTTGTTTTCTTTTCACGCCTCCCCACCTCCTTCTCCTCCTTCCCTTTTCTTTCCTTTTCCTCTCTCTTCCTTTTAATCTTTTTCCTTTTTCTCTTTTTCCGTTTTACCACCTCTTTACAAGGCCTCGACTTTTAGCACGGCCGTGGTGACGTCATCGCACCGCTTCTCCGCCGGAACTCTTAACTGTTGCTTCAAGGAACGAAGTTTGCCCTCGATTACTGTCAGTTGCTGTGCTGTAGACGTAGGCGCCCTGTCCGTCGCAGGGGAAATCCAGTTTCATTTGCTCGTGGATTGTTTGTGAAACAATCGAGGTAAGCGAGAAGCGATGACAAACTCACTTTTAAAGCTGGCATTATTCTGACCATTAGTCGACGCCATGTCAGTTTCGTGTGTTTGACATTGCGAATACCATTTGTAATCAACAGGTTATGTACTGTTCTCGTTTACAGATATACTGTGGGTGTCATTTTTGTTTGCTTCTCATTGTACCATCGCCTTCATTTCCGCGGCGTTTAATCAAGTTCATCGAAATATAATGTTTACAGGATGATCAGGGGTAGGAAGTGGTCAATGGTCATGAGCCTGTCTCTTGACATTTTGCCATCTTAAATTCCATTGTTATTATCAACATTGTTTATTTATGTAATTATGCGTGGTTTCAAAGACATCTGTGCCCATTCTCCTCCATAAACGGACTATCTAAACTATCCAATATTAACTGTATGAATGGATCATTGATAAGATAAGATATTTTTATTCTATAACTTTAAAATAATAGCAACATTAAGATACAATATTTTTATTCGATAACATTTCCCACCTTGCAACTATACAGGAGGTGAGACTCAGTCCCCATCCAGCTGATTATCGCTGAGCGAGCGTGGCTAGCAAAGCCCTCTTCTTAGTCTTGTAACTCTCAAAGTTCGACTGACACAGTGTTAATTTTCGTAATGTCTGTTAGGTTTGGTTTTTGTTTAATGTTTGTGTTTATTTTCTTTGCCAACAGGAAAATGGACAGGTCAGGCGGATTTTCAGGCGGTTCAGGTGCGGGTGGTCCCCCTGGCGCTCAGCAGGGCAACTCTCAAAAGAAGCTGCAGCAAACTCAAGCACAAGTAGATGAGGTAAGGACGTTTTATATTGTATAACAATCAGGACCTAGGTCATGTCATTTCCTTTGTTCTTCGAAGTTGCATTTCTTCTCTATATTTAACAGATTATTTCGGTGTGAGAATATTGTCATTGTTTTATTGCTCCTCAATATTCTTTTTGTTTTTTGAATAACAAATTTCTTGGATCAATTGGATCAATCAATTTTTTATTTGTGCTGTATGTTTTATGTGCTTGTCTTTCAAGGCGTTATCTCACACCAAGGATTTCCTTGTTCTATTAGTTGACATTTCTGTTTCTGAAATATTAAGAAATTTAATATAAATATACACACAACAGTAATAGCTGAGGACACTCATCATTCCATACCACTAGAACCTAAGGAGGCAATTTTAGAGCTTAGTTACATTTAGATTATAAATTTCAATTGTTGAAACCTCCTGTTCTTAGGTTGTTGGCATCATGCGTGTTAATGTGGAAAAAGTTTTGGAGCGTGATATGAAACTGTCCGAGCTGGATGACCGAGCAGGTGAGATTCATTTTTGACAATGCTGCAGTGCATTTCTGTATTCATTTAGTTCAAGATCTCCCTACGTTGTCCATTTAAAGTAAATCAGATAGATGCCGCAACAGAAATGCCAGTGGTGGAAAGATAACGCCTCCTGAGATGATAAGCCAGTTATGATGTAGACATTTTTTTAAAAATGAGTCTTCTAATGACTAGGTGGTGGATATTATGAGAGATAACCTGGAGCGTGTCCTGGAACGTGATGAAAAATTGTCTGAACTAGATTCAAGAGCAGGTGAGGACACCACCACAGGCTTCTGATGTGCTTCTATCTTGTCACTTCCCAATTTATGTCTTGTGCTTGCTGAAAATGTTTAGAGTCCTTTTTTGCATTAACTCAGTAACTGAGCAAGACTTGTTTGTTTCATGATCAATGAATTTTCAGATGCTCTTAGAATGGGAGCGTCAGCATTTGAGCAACAAGCTGCTAGACTGAAACGCAAGTTCTGGTGGCAAAACTTGAAGGTAAGAATCCAGTTACTATTTAGACATTAAAATTTTAAAAAAGAGTTTTGTTTTAATGAAAGAAATGTGCCCTCTTTACATTCTCAGATGATGATAATCATGGGTGTGATTGGAGTAGTCCTACTCTCCATAATTATTAGTGAGTATTCAACTGTACACTATCAATTCTACATCCTTTACCGTCTCTTTTACATTGATTCCAAACTTTATCTTTTCAGTCTGGATCGCATCTTCCGTTGGGGGTTCAGATAGTCCAAGCCAGAGTCCGCCGGCTGTTACGCCGTCCCCTGCCCCTTCAGGTTAGCCGTACTTCAAGGAACAGTGTAACATATTGATATTGCATTCACGCTCACTTTGCTTAAACCTGATCTTGTGGGAAATTTTATTTGGCTGTTTTATGTAAGAAAAAGTGGATTTTAGTAAGCGTGGATTATGTGGGGTTTACTTTATGTTTGAGAGTTGCGTCTCTTTATACATATTGCTTCATGGGTCTCATCCCATAACGAGGACTAAAGCTTTGTTGACTAAAATTTTTGTTTATTAAAACCATTTATATTGTTAGTTTATCATTTTTATATTGTATCGGTTAATATATTGGTTAAAGAGTAAGTTCTGAAGGGGGTTCATGACAAATTCATATCAAAAATAAATTTGTGGTAGCATTTACTAGGGATTTTTTAATAGAAACATGTGATATGTGCTTGTGTCCATTTGTCAATTATTTTGGAGCATTTGGGTGTGCATAATGAATCCTTTTTTTAAATATGGCTTGTCTGTAAAATGCATACTATCTAGTGGCATTCAGTTCTTGTTGTTTGAACACTTTTGTCAGTATAGGGAAATTGATTCCAGTATTCATTCCAGAGAGTCAAAATTCTACTCCCTACTATAAATATAGTGAGTCAACTTTTGTTTAAATAATTCATAAATTGTATTTTTCATCCATACCAAACAATTATACATGCTTTCATAGTCTTTGTTTTTCAATGTTTTAATAAAATAAAAACAATTGAATAAAGTTATTTACATAAATATGGACCTTACAATAGACTGTAAACCAATGCAATGCAGCATGCTAACAGCAGAATTTGCTTGTATCAATGAAGTACACCCCCTATTGGTGGGATAAGAAGTGACTGGCCATTATCATGGATTCCTCCATGACACTTGCATTATGTCAGATCCAATGATGGTTCAATATCTCAACAATTGGAACTATTTCACTTCAATAATAGAGAACAACCACTTTATCACAACAATTACTGTGGGGGACCGAAACAAACTATTACCCAACATAGAACACTTGTACAAAATAATTTATAAAAACAAAAAAACAACATTACTGTTTTGCTTACAGAACACAGTCTGAATGAAGTAACAATTCTATGCAGCATTTACAGAACATAAGCATATGAAAGAATCCTCATAACAAAAAGTCCAATTTACAATTCAAATTCACATAAAACACAGGACCAGATAATAATGCACCAACATGGTGCAACAAAATAAATACCAAGATCATTCATTGTACCTTCCTAGATCATACACAGAATTCTCTTTATCCTCATATGGTGAAGGGCTTAAGTAAATTAAAAAAAAAAAGATGGTATCATGATGGTATCAAGCATCGGCTTGAGAAGACTGGGGTTCCAAACAACTAAACTTGATGACACTTCACTTAAAGAACCCTTCATTGAAAACACTAATTTACAAAACTTAAATTTGAAAACACCTGATTCCCTTGAATACCTTTTCAGTCAGTCACATGCACTTATAGTGCAATTTATAGATAGTCGCTTAAAATGTGAAACAAGTACCCTAGACGAAATCCTACTTCGTAGCAGGGTTTCAAGCTAAGTAGAATTGAATTGAGTGAAAATAAATAATAGTTTTGGAAGTATATCATCCTGTAAAGAATTGTTTGCACCAAGAAGCTTGTCCTTTCAATGAAGCAGTAACAGAAACAAAAGGCTCAAATCTTAAGTGAATTTTGATTCTAATGGTCATGTTATGGGTGATACGTAGTTAGATAAAATAAATTTGTAAAATGTTAAAGCTGAAATGTACATAAAGGAAAATGGTTTCTGAATTGACAAAATAGAAATGACCGGAAAGTTACAATATTATACAAGACCAAATATGGGAGAGAGCGATTTTTCAGTCGTCCTCTTCCACATCTTCATCTGTAGTATACTCTGAAATGTGTCCAGCTTCATTTTCTGGTTCCTCTTCGTCATCTGACATGTCCCATTGAGGATGCTCAGTTGGCACTTCAGGAGCTTCTTTCACATCAAGCTGCAACAACAAACACTCATGTCAGAGTTCTTTAGACTATTTAACCACAATTCTGCTTCAGTTCCAAAGCTCACCTTGATTTCCTGCATCTGGTCAAAGCCTAAATAGGAGTCAGACCGCAAGCAAACATGGAATGTGTACATTCCTGTCCACCGAGGGGCTGTAAACCGCAACTGGATCTCTTCAGTATTCACAAGGGAGGTAACATGATAAGGAGATGTTAAAAGAGTATTGCTCTTTCGATCAGATATATAGACCCACCAATACTCCTGCTTGTCCTAAAAAAATGGTAAAAGAAAAAAAAGAAACATTCAATAGTTGTGGACAGTTAACACTGTAAAGTACAGATGAGAAGAAAAAATCCAAATTATCACTTACATCAGGGTAAAGAGGGCAATGAGTGGGATGAGATATTTTACTTCTCCCTTCTAGTGCCTTTTCTCTTTTTGATGCTTTGGTCTGGAAGCGTTCCCATTCTGCATCGTCCTCATCATCATCATCATCCCCAGAAGTCTACAAAATTGACAAAATCTCAGTACAAGGTAAAAAAAAAGCTCAGTGCCGTATTGGAACAGCAAGAGGAGTTGCAAACCGTAGACCAGATTGAATGCATCATTACCTCCTTTTTGTTATCTCCTTTAGCATTGTCCAGATTCTGCTCTTCCTCTTCTCCGTCTTCGTCTTCATTATCTTCTCTCTCAGAGTTCGATCCATCGTTTTCACTATCTCCTGCTTCTGAAGGGGGAGATGTAGTTGTGGTTGTCGCTTGTGGGGAGTCCTAAAGCAAATGCATAAAACTCTTGTAACAAATTTTAAATTAGCTTCAAATGGTTAACATTTTGGCAATCAATCATTTACCTTGGTCACCACAGGTTTAACTGGAGCACCATGCTTCTTTGCTCCCTTTTTGTTCCCACCTTTCTTTGTTTTTCGCTGCTGCTTTAGCCACACAGGCCGCTTTGGCTAGAAAAATGAAGAGGTAATGTAAAAGAATGACCTCTGAAAACTGTAAGGAGATAACGAAATCAATGTTACCTTTGCATCCTCTTCATCTTTCTCTTCTTCCTCATCATCAAAGTTATTGGTGGTGCCATTAACTTCTGTTTCTTCACTGTCATCAGTAGTCATCATCACATCTCCCAAGTTGCGCCGGACCAATGTGACTGTTACTGTCACAGTGGCTCCAGCTGTGTAGAGTGTTGGGTTTTCATCATCAACAACTAGAACATTAAAAAAAGAGGAACAACAAGTCAATAAATCAAAATCAAGGCTGAACTTGAAAGGTGATACCATACTTATAATTTATTAGCTCATTACCTTCAGACCGCACTTTCAATTCAATATGAGGCATACTACTCATAACTTTAGTGACAATATCATACTGATCATCACTAAGGAAGCGTAACATTGACCGACGCTCCTTCGGCTTCATCTGGGCAAGATGCTGCACTGACTTAATACGCCGCTTGAAAAAAGAAAGAGTTCAGAACTCATGGTTAATTTTGCATTGAACAATGCTGTACTGTTCATCATTTCTCAAATTTCAATTATGTAATACCTTTTTGTTTAAAAAGTATTTGAGATGCTCTTCTTGAACAAAAGGGAGTTGGAGAAATAGGCTTTTTGTTTCCCACAATCCTTGAACAATCATTGGACTCATTTTCATGATTGCCTCTATAGTGAAGATGTTCAAGAGCTTGGGTACTGGAGATTTGAAACAATGACACATGTTAGTTGTGCTCAGTGCTTACTAAATTAAAATTGAGCACCTGTCACATCATTACTTACCACGTCTTGAATATGCTAGTAGAACAAGGGCAGCAGCACAATGGACCATTTCTTGGACTAAATAAGGACATTTCTTTATAACCTGCATTCTATCAACCTCTAGGGTATCAGGTTTCAATGGGATCCTACTCAAATGAGCATGAATGAGGGCACGAGCTTTAATTGAATATCTCCAGCACATTGGGGGCTCACGATTTTTCTCCCCCAAATTAGGTAGCTGCTTAATAAGCTGAAAAATGTTAATGTCTCAATTAGTACCTCATAATTTTATGGGATATTGAGAATTCTGATACATCTGAAAATTTACCTGAGGGACTTCCTCATAATCACTTGCACGTTCGATAACTTCACTGTTGTGTTTCTTGTCAAACTCAAATGAGGCTGCCAAAATCATAAGGCATCGTTTGAGAGGTATTGTTGATGAATTCTGCATTAAATAGTAATACAATTCTGTAGTTCCTAACAAAACCTGTGAGCAGAAAAAAACAATGACAGATGAGATTACATATTTACCTAAACAGGTAAGAAGGGTAAGAAGTGTAATAATTACAACTATTACCTGGTCGCCTGTGTAACGAATACTCCGGTACCACCACATCCCTACCACTGTTGGCATAGCTACCATGAACACCAATCCGTAAAGCCCAAGGACCCAGACTGAATTCTCCTTTTCAACAATCCAGGAGGGCAAGGCAATACCAAAACTCATGGCACCTGGCCCATCAGGGTTGCCATACTTTTCCCAATTACTTCGGGCTTCATCGTCAGTCAATGCTTGATGAGCTGAAATAAAAATTATGATGATGTGGCAGATTGTAACAGAGAAGTAACTAAGATTTTTAAAAAAGTAGTTCATACCTTTAACTAATCTCATAAATGCTTTAGCATCCCCAGTTTCTTTTTTATCAGGATGCAGGACCTTGGACAAGCTATGGTATGCCTTTCGAATGGATGCTTGAGATGCACCCTGTGAAAATAATAGCAATATTGTAAATCAGTAAAATATTTCCAGTCATGGTTTCATGGTCATTTTCATGCAAGACTTACAAATGGAACACCAAGAATTTCATAGGGATCAAAATTTGAGTACTCATAGTCAAACTGTGAGACTTTATAAGCCAGGAAGAGAAGCATTACCCATCCAAACACTATGACAATTTTTCTGAAAGAAAATAATTATTCAAATTGTCAGAAAAAAAGCAATTAAGGTACAATGATCATAAAGTCACATAAAAACAACATACATCAGTGTTTCTTTGATTCCTCTCCATGGCTCCCTTGATTGTAAAATTTTCCTTTTCTTGAGACATCCTGTGCAGTTACATTGATTCTTAACAGCCTCAGGATCTGAAATGAAAAGATGAAGCATGAGAGCAAGATTATAAACGTGAATATTTTAATAGACTTGCATCAAAGAAGAAGTGTAAGAGTGTGGCGTAAAATTGAAGAGCAAAACACGAAAAATTTATCGTACAGGCATATGAAAATAATTGAAGAGTTTAAAGCGAGACTAAAATTTGTGTCTGCTACATAGCAATGACTGTGCATGATGTAAACTATATAAATAAAGATTAAAATTTAATTTGAAACTGACATAGAAAAGGGTCGAAACACATCCTCAGAGTGACTTTCGTACATAAAATAGAAAATAAAGACGTAAGCTGCTGACCAAAACGGGAAATAAGTGGGTTATAACCTACTTCAAGATGACGTTTACATACCTTCCTTGCGTCTCCTCGGCCAACAATAGAAAGTGCTGGGAATCAAAAGAAGTGCAAGAAAAGACAAAACAAAATAGAAAAAAGTTCCTCCACTTTCATCGTACTGAAATTTCTGGCCCCCCATTTTGCTGCTGTTGTCAAACGGGCCAACCAACCGCTCACACCGACGTGTCCGGTGTCGGTCTGCTGCAACCACACATTCCGATTCCACATTCGTTTCCGTCGCTGGGTGCTTTTTCGAGGCGGGGCCAGCGTGCAGAGAGGCTACACTGATGTATGAGAATGCGAGCCGCGGGGAAGTGCCACTGGCGCAGAGTGCGCGTGCGTCGCGCAGCGCAGGGTCTGATTAGTCCGACGATCGCGGTTTTTAATGAGAATTTGTTTACTTAAGAGATGTTTACTTTGTTGTGTTCTCTCGGACTGCTCGCCTTGTGTCGACAATTCGTTCGAGGGGTTCATGTGAGGCTGTTATAGGGTGCTTCGCGGGAAAGTAAAACAGCAACAACACTCCGTATCTTTTATCAATCTTTATGTATAATATTTCAAAATAAAAAAATCCTGCGTTTTTAATCCTGGAAAGTGACTGGCTTCCTGGCTTGGGGCGTGTCCCCCGTGGTGAAGTAGCGGTCGTACAGCGTCTGCCAGAAGCGCATCCGCGCGCCGTACAGCTCGTACTTGACGGTGAGGTCGTTGCCGATCTCCAGGTAGGGGTAGGGCGCGCCCAGGGTCGCCGGCAAGCGGGGCCACCGCACGTCGCCCAGGTCGGGGTCGGCGACGCCGGCCGGTGTCGGGTCCCTGTGGGTGCCATAAACCATCAGACATCCGCGTCGAGTGTCAGTGCCCGTCAGTGCCTCAGCCGGCCGGGTTCCGGTCTCAGGGCGGTAGCTCTTTGGCAGGGTGCGTTCACCCACCCGGTCTTGACGAAGTTGGCCATCAGGCCGACGAGTCTCCGCCGCGTCACCGCCTCGATGCTGTCCGGGGCGACAGGCTTCTCCGGCCCGGGAGCCGTGGCGCCGCAGCCGAAGAAGTACCCCAAGTCGTCGGTGTGGACCACAACGCCTGGTGGGCCGGAAAAAAAAGAAGGACAAGATGAGCTCCCCGGGCAAGCCAGAGGAGAACAGAAGGAAGACATATTTACCCGGCAGGATGTTGTGCCTGACGCGGCCCCGGTTGAAGGCCGCCTCCACGGCGAAGCAGTACAGGTAGGTGTCCGGCTTGGCGGGGTGGGTCGCGTGGTGTCTGGCGGACTCGATCATGCCGCCCATGATGGTGGCGTCGCTCATCCACTGGAAAGGAATGGTGTTGTCATTTTTGAACGGCATTTTTCCGTATTTCGATGCGGGATTCGAGCAAAGTACTTCATAGAACTGGTACAGTGTCGGGGTCTTGGCGTTGCCGAAGTAGAGCTGCTGGATTTCCTTGGCGACGGCCTCCCGTTCTGGGGAGCCGAGCGGCAGGTCGAGGTCCCACGGCAGCATGCGATCCGCCTTGGGGCCCCGCTCCGGCAGGTCCTTCTCCTCGGTGTAGGTCCCTGCGCAGCGCCGCGGCGTGGCGCGTACAGCATGGCGTACAGCGCGCAAGTGCTGTCACGTTTCGCTGAGCTGCGCTAGCTGCGCTGCAGGCTCATTCCGAGAGGGAGGTCTCTCTCTCTCTCTCTCTCTCTCTCTCTCTCTCTCTCTCTCTCTCTCTCTCTCTCTCTCTCCCACTCATGGGGCGTCCTCGTATGGGAGGGAGAGAGAGACATGTCGATGGTACTCGGAACCAGCCTGCCGCGCTCAGCTCGGCTAGCTGCAGCTAGCTGCAGCCGAGCGTGAGTCATGGTCGCTCTGTCTCTATCGCACTCGTAGAGCCAGCGTGGAGCACTCCGTGCGGGTGCGAGAGAGAGAGAGAGGGGGGGGGGGGGAGAGAGAGAGGGGGCGCACTGACCTGCCCAGAACTTGGTGAAGTCGCGGAACACGTGGCCCTCCTCGCGCGCCACGCCGAACAGTGTGGGCACGGCGTGCTGGCGGTGCTTGCGCATCAGGGCGATGGGGTGCTCGGGGGCCACCGCGTTGCCGCGGCCCGCCACCGCATCGATGACGGGCATGAAGGGCGGGTTGGGCCTGTCGGCGGCCTGGGGGCGAAGCGAAGCGCGAGGTCCCGGTCACATGGAGCAGGCCCAAGAAGGCGGCAGAGGGACGGACAGGGGACTTACGGGCTCGTCCACGACGTCCCACGCCTTGGCGAAGAGCTGGTCGGCCGGCGCGGCCTGCAGGAAGGCCAGGACCTCCTCGTCGTTGGTCGAGTGGCAACCCAGCAGCCTCGCCAGCTTGAGGCTGCGGGCGCGCATCACGTCGGCCGGCACGAACCCGAACTGAGGAAGCGAGTTGCAAAAACATGACGACGAGTTCGGGCCGGCCCTGTGTCCGCCACTGCAGAGGCCTCGGCAGAGGCTCGATACTCACCCACGAGTTGCCGATGGCCCCCGAGAGGCTGATGTTGCGGTGGAACAGCCCCTTGCACTCGTCCTGGTACTGCATCAGGTTGGCGATCTGGCCGCCGACGCAGAAGCCGGACACGGTGACCTGGGCCGGGTCGCCGCCGAACGCCGTGATGTTGTCGTGCACCCAGCGCAGGCCCAGCATGCAGTCCTTGATGCCCATGTTGCCCGGCACCGTAGGCGAGGCCAGGCTGAGGAAGCCTGATCAAAGGGATCACCTCGTGACTTCACCCAGGCCGCTTGAAAGGTAGGCAACAAGTCGAACTTTGCCCCTGTTGGTGGGCAGGGCAACTTTGGCACCTCGCCCCATCCGCCCTTGACGCCTGCAGAGGGTGAGATAGGCAGTCCCGCCGACCTTGTACGTCCACAGGATGCCTACCTCACAGGCGCTAGGGCCAGCGATTGCGACTAACGGTGCCGGCGCGCTGCGAACCAGGCTCACTGCCCTGCCTGGAGCGCCGTTTGCCTGCACGCTCTATGTTCGCCTCCCACTCAAACGCAGAAAATGAAGGCTGGCAAGAACCTAACCGAAGGCCGTGAGCCGGTACTGGATGACGACGACGACGATGTCCTTGGCCACGAAGAACTCCGGGCCGACCTCGTTGAGGGACGAGTTGGACAGGGTCCACATGCCGTAGTGGATGTACACCATGACGGGCTTCTTGGCGTTCGGCTGCGTCCCCGGCGGCCGGTACACGTTGAGGTACAGGCAGTCCTCGGAGCCCACAAGCTTCTTGGAGTTGTAGTCCACCTGCAGGCACAGGTCGGGCTCCTGCACGGCGTCGCGGACCCCCGTCCAGCCTTCCACGGGCTGTGGAGGCTGCAAAGGCAAGCACCGTCGTGTAGCCAAACAACCGTGTCAGCCCCTTCCGTTCCCCGGAGACTCATCACAGACTCACCATGAAGCGCAGCTTGCCCGTGGGCGGCTTGGCGTACGGGATGCCCAGGAAGGCCTGGTAGGGCGGCGCGCTGTTCGTGGGCTCCACCACGCGGCCGCGCACCTTGCCGCCCCAGGGCATGGCCACCTCCAGCCCCTTGGCCACGGCGGCAGCATAGCTCCGGCAGCTCTGCCACCAATCACAGTCAAGTCACAACCAACTTCAAGCAAGTCACTCTAGAACAGCGGTTCTCAACCTTTCTCGGCTCGCGACCCCAAATTTGTAGTCAAAAATTTCCGCGACCCCCAGGAAAAGTTTCGCGACCCCACGGGACCCCTCCTTTAGCATGCCACTGCGTCTGATCCGAGGCGGGCATTTTGCTCCCTCAACGGGCAATTGGTCTTTGGACCTTCCTTTAGCATGCCTCTGTTACGGAGTGCGATTATCAGTCTTAGTTTGGGAGCAGTATTGTCTCAAAGTTGGCCAAAACGCTCAGAAATGTCTTTAAAAAATCATGTTTTGGGTCGATTTTAAGCAGCCACTGCGTCTGATCCAAGGCGGGCATTTTGCTCCCTCAACGGGAAATTGGTCTTTGGACCTTCCTTTAGCATGCCTCTGTTACGGAGTGCGATTATCAGTCTTAGTTTGGGAGCAGTATTGTCTCAAAGTTGGCCAAAACGCTCAGAAATGTCTTTAAAAAATCATGTTTTGGGTCGATTTTAAGCAGCCACTGCGTCTGATCCAAGGCGGGCATTTTGCTCCCTCAGCGGGCAATTGGTCTTTGGACCTTCCTTTAGCATGCCTCTGTTACGGAGTGCGATTATCAGTCTTAGTTTGGGAGCAGTATTGTCTCAAAGTTGGCCAAAACGCTCAGAAATGTCTTTAAAAAATCATGTTTTGGGTCGATTTTAAGCAGCCACTGCGTCTGATCCAAGGCGGGCATTTTGCTCCCTCAACGGGCAATTGTTCCTTGGACCTTCCTTTAGCATGCCTCTGTTACGGAATGCGATTATCAGTCTTAGTTTGGGAGCAGTATTGTCTCAAAGTTGACCAAAACTGGCACAACGATTTTTCAAAGACATTTCTGAGCGTTTCGGCCAACTTTGAGACAATACTGCTCCCAAACTAAGACCGATAATCACACTCCGTAACAAAGGCATGCTAAAAGAAGGTTTAAAGACCAATTGCCTGTTGAAGGAGGACGAAATACCGCCTCGGATCAGACGCAGTGGCTGCTTAAAATCGGCCCAAAACACGATTTTTCAAAGACATTTCTGACCGTTTTGGTAAACTTTGAGACAATACTGCTCCCAAACTAAGACTGATAATCACACTCCGTAACAAATGAATGCTAAAGGAAGGTTCAAAGACCAATTGCCGGTTGAAGGAGCAAAATGCCCGCCCCGGATCAGACGCAGTGGCTGCTTAAAATCGGCCCAAAACACGACCCCAGCTACCTCGCCGCGACCCCTTAAAGTTTTTTCGCGACCCCACTTGGGGTTGCGACCCTAAGGTTGAGAACCACTGCTCTAGAAGAACCCCACCTCCACCAAGGGCCGCCAAGGGCCGACGGCACTGAAAGCAGATGATACCTCTGGACCTCGCTCTGGACCGTGCCCGATGGACAGGCGCGACGCGGCGCGGCGCGGTTTCCCCTACACCATAGTTCAATGAAATTTTATTACTATCAATTGTTATAACAATACTAAACTTGTATATAATTTTTTAACAGAGTGTATTTACTCTAGAGAGACAAGATATATCATCTGCTTGATAAACAGAAAAGGAAGGCTTAGGGCACAGGGTCGTATGAACACCCTCTTGTGAGGTCACTGCCACCTTCCAAAAAGGAATGGGGTGCCAAAACAAGTCGCCGGGTCCTACCTGAGACGCCCCCATTCTAAAAAAGGCCTTTGCGAGCACGCTTGGGGCCATCACTACACTTCACCGCAACGCCGAATCCTCCACTGGACCTGGCGTTCCACCAACTCGCGATTCCCGCTCTGCGTTTGCTTTCTGCAGTATTTATGAGCGGAGCGTCGCGGTGGGGCGTTAGCATTGCAAAACGCAGTGTGAACGGCTCCACTCTGGCGGGTCCATGGGTCCATCTGGCGACTTTATCCGTTAGCTTCTCCACGTCGATGAGGGGAGTGTTGTTTTGATAGGCCCACTCTGCACCCCTTCATTCCCGCCCGCCGGAGTTTGTATGACGTCGAGAAAAAAAGGGGGTGGGGGAGATTTGTGTGTTTGTGCTAGAAACTTTCTGGTTGCCTTTTCCAGATGCCCGTCTCCAGGAGCCGCTGAACTGACAAGCTGACCTCGAATAATTTCACTTCCTTTGTCGCTCCGTCTTAAATATGTGGGAAGTAAGATTCTGCCTGAAATTCCCTGAACATGCTCCCATCACATCGTCTTGGACGAAGCTGTCGTATGCACAACGAACGAGCTCATCACCTTGCTTAAAAAAGGACAGTGACACCTGTTCGAAAAACCGCTTTCGAAAGTTGTCTCGGTCAGTCGAAATACTGGAAGTGTTCGGTCATACATGCATTTGAAACGACGCGCGGTGCGGGCGCCTTTCTTTTGTTGGTATGCCTCAAAATTCTCATACTTTCTAACGTTCGCAAGAAAGCGGGTTCTCTGTTCTATTTTGAGTTGGGCTGAATCCAGTGAAAGATTAAGTGGTGGTTTTAATTGCTTTTGCTAGATGATTGATAATTTCAATTATGTCAACTCAATTTCAAGAACTGGGTAAGCATTTGTCTCTGATTTCTGTATGATGCATGTTTTTATTCGATTGATATAACCTATCAAAATTACAATCCATTGTTTTTGCCTTAGATGTTGTTGACATCCTTGTCGAATTCCTAGAAGTTTCCATTCATCATCTATTGTTTCTCAGGAACTTATATCCTCCAAGTATATTTGTTCTCCGGAAAATGTATAATGTCCCCGTGCAGGTTAGTATTTTGTAGGTTTGGTGTGACACTTCCTCTACTGTGCTGAGTTGATTTTATTATGTGCGTATTATTTAAGGTATCAAGGCATCCTGGCCTTAATCAATATATAACCGATTCTTTGAAAAGTGTAGCCGCTTTACTTCGTCGGAGCAGTTTGAGATGTGTATCATTATGTTTCTACAATGAGGATGAAAGACCTATTGAGCGGTTTGTGTTCGACATATTGGAAATACAAGAAAATTTTAGAACAAATTATGATTTGTAAGTTGAAGCCTTACGCCTTGGATTATACATTTTTCCCATCCCCTCGTTTGATTGCTTATAAAGTGGTGATTTTCTCCAAACAGTTCTGACTCCTATCTCCCGCGCTTGAGAGAAGGGTTTCGAGCTTTCAGCTTGAAAGTTGCCGCTGCTGACATGAAAGCCTTGAATGACAACTGTTCATTTCAGATTCATATTTCCACCACAGAGCAAGGGTCTCAAGCGCTGGCTAGTGATCCAGGATTTGAGGTAATAAATTGTTCTTTGTAGATATGTTGTGAATTGCCTATTTTCTCAAACTAAAATATCTTGCTTCTATAGGATTTTCCATGGATTGAACTAGAAGACAGAGATAGGGATTTATCATCTCCTTGTCTTTCTCCTATAAGGACTATTGATTCAGACTTCCTGAAGTTGCAAGTGTACAGAGAAATGGCCTCAAGATAATTTCAGCATATAAATTTATTTTGAATGACAATTTTATTACATAGAATTATTTGTATAAATATGTAAGTGTGATAGTTAGGGTCAGAAGCAAAACATTCTGTGATACTACTATCATCTCACTTCCTGATGTCGATGTGTGATATTCACCAATTTTGGAAGCATAGGCGATTGCAAATGCTACAAAATTCTGTTCATGAACTCCTGTGAAGAGATGCGCCATAGGACCTGCAAACAAGTAAGTTTGTGCTTGTTACCCTATTTCGTTTTACAACAGAAGCTAAATATATTGAAACTAAATTTATTACCTCTTGCATATATTGCCACATCTGACCCTGAATGATGTACTTCATCTGTTAGTACACCAGTTTGCTGTGAATATAGGAAGTCTGTGGTGTCACTATCTTTTGGGTTTTTTCTTCGTAACTTATTATCAACAATCTCATACTGGTAGTTGCTTGCGTCACCAGTTGTATATAGTAGGGATGTGTAGGGAATGCTGTCAATTTTAGAATTTTCAGCAATGCCTGTAGGAAATGAACATAAAAATTAATGCTGTTAAAATTGAAGAAAATTTGTGGAAACCGTTTGAAAGAAAACTAACCCAAAATATCGGCTTCTCTTGGAGCATAGCCAGAGAAGGCCATGCCCTGATCATGATCAGCAGTGATGGCAACCAAAGTGTCCTTCTCATCAGTCATCTCCAGAACAGCAGCAACTGCATGGTCCATTGCTAGAGTTTCATCAAGAGCTTGCCTTGCGTGGCCCCGATGATGGGCCATGTCGATCATGCCACCCTCAACCTGGAAAGAATGCACACCAAGTTCGCAAAAAAAGGGAGAAGAGAAAACTCCAAGTATTGAAGCACCTAGGAAGGAGACAACAAATGCATGCCTCCAACTTACCACCAAGACAAATCCGTTTGGATTACGCTTGAGAATGCTGATTGCCGTTGTAGTCATGTTTTTCAGAGACGGCATTCCCTCATCCGATTTATCACGATTCCATTCCATTTTCAAGTGCCCATTCGCAAATACACCTATAGAACACACGCAATTAGAAAACTCAAAAGTACTGACAAGAAGTAAGCTGAGGTGAAATGATAATGCCCTGACCTAGCACGTAATCAGCTTCCTTAGTGTCTGCTGCCAGCAGGGTCCCGGTGTTCCCCACAAACTTGTGCTTGAGCTTCCTGCTCTCCTTGTCGTCCTTCCACGCCTGGATGAGGTCCATGTTGTCCTTCCGGCGGCAGGACCACGTGTCGATGGGGTCGGCGTCGGAGTCGACCACGTTGGACTGCAGGCACTGCCTCCCTCCACCCATGATGACCTGCAAACCACAGGGACAGGGTGTGTCACCAAGTGACTGTGGATTTAGATGCCGCCGCGTCAAAACGCAGCAGACTGATACTTCGGTTTGTCTCGCTCGCCCCACACGACACGCCCCGTGGGCGCAAGAGTGACAGATGACTCACGTTGAGGCTCTTGCCGGGCTCCTCCTCGACGAGCTGGCGGCCGATGTCCTTGCAGCCCTCCGTCCCCTTGGGCATGTTGGCCTCGCACTCCCACCGCCTGTCGGGGCAGCGCGAGAACAGGGCGCTGGGCGTGGCGTGGGTCACGCGGGTCGTGGTCACGAAGCCTGCAACAGGTTCATTCTCAGTGACGAGTTCCTCCCTGCCTGCCGCTGTCCTCCAGACTCGCAGACACAAGACGCACCGGTGGCCTTCCCCGCCTGCTGGGCCCACTGCAGCAAGGAGCTCAGCTGGTTGGCCTCCTTGAGCGAGGCGGTGCAGTCGGCCAGCTTGACGTTGGCGTCCAGGCCCGCCACCTCGTAGTTGGTCTTGACGCCGGTGAAGAGCGCCGTGGCCGTGCACGACGAGTCGGGCACCTTCTTGTCGACGCCGTAGGTCTTGAGCAGGCCCGTCCAGGGCAGGGACTCGAAGTGCAGCTTGGACGCCTCGCCGCCGCCGTAGATACGCGCCGCCGTCACCGTGCTGGGGCCCATGCCGTCGCCCACGAAGAGGACCACGTTCTTGGCGACGCCCTCCACGGGCTGCCGGCGCAGCGCGGCGTCCAGCTCGGCCTTCCCCACGCTCCGCCAGTGCGCCGCGTCTGGGAACCGGAAACCACCAAGTGACAGGAACCGAACCCGAGCCGATTGCACCACCCTCAACACTTACCTTCCGTGATCGCGGCGGCGGAGGCGAGAGCCGCGAGAAGCACCACTACCGTGCGAGACTCCATGCTGCAAGGCGGGCAGAGAGCGAACTGACTTGCCCTAGGGCCCAAACTAGGTTTTTGTATCTGCGAAATCAGCCCGGCAGCCTGGCCGGCGGATCACTGCCTACAGAGAATCTTATCTTTTCGGGCAATCGCGACTGTCTGCTTGACAGGCATAAACTCCATGCATCGGGGTTGCGAGCCAATGGACATGAGTCTATTCCGATCCCCTTCCCGCAATCTGGCATTCATTGAACGGGGGCCCTTCTCTGTAATGAGGTAACGAGTGTTCCGCCGAAGAGTGCTCGATGGCGAGAACTGGACGTAGGTAGACGCAGGTGGCGCAAACCCATTCCACTCGACGCGCGCGCTGAGCGCCCGCCAAGGGCGAGGTAGGCCACCAATCGTACACGAGGGGAGGACGGGTTGCCTACCACCTCTAATGCTGGGCGCGCGAGGGGCTTTAGCGCGACCTGCGCGCTCACGTCGCCGTGCACTGTACACTTCCCTCGCGAGGCGAGCCAACCAGCCAACCGGCACGTTGATGTGCTGTCAAGGCACGGAGCAAAAGGAGGCGGCTTTTTCAAGCGCCGACACACAGAGCTCACTTTTCTCTCGCTTGCGAGCAGCTCGCAACGACAAGGCGAAAACCCCTTCGTTCAAGCTTGGAGTCCCGGATCCCGATCACATGCTGCACGTTCCACCGTTCCGTTCCACTTGTTGCACAGCTGTTGTACTGCAGACTGCGCAACCTGAGCCTTATGAGCCCACTAGTTGCGGGTAGTCAAAGTGCAGTCAAAAGGACCTTCATGAACCTGATCGATCGACGAAGGACTTAAGTCAGATTGGTTTGTCAATGCGTTAATTTGCGTGATATTTCATTTGTGTTTTTTCCCGCTTCCTATCTTTTGGAGTTTCGTTCTGTTGGCAAACCCGTGCCTGTCCGCTTTTGTTTTTGTTTTTATTTATTTGCAGTGGCTGCACTTGTGTCGTCTGCATTATTTCGGGGAAGGATCGCCGGTTTCTGAAAGCAGTCTTTACAGTCTATCTTCAGCCTGACAATGTCAGAAGAGAACGTCCTCATCATTGAGCCATTGAAGACGATTCCGGAAGAAAGTGGAAAATCCACCGGTACTGTGATATTCCTCCATGGCTCAGGTTAGTTCGATATGTTTTTAACTGACTGCACTTTGTTTTTCATTCCAATCCATGTTTGATCATGACTCAAGGTGTTGATACAAACTGATAAGGGTTTCTTTCTTTGTGCATTAGGTGATACTGGTCTAGGAGTCTTTCAATGGGTCAAATCTCTGCACAAATTTTCTTTTCCACATGTGCGAGTACTCTTTCCCACTGCTCCCTGTAGACCGTTTACGCCCAATGGTGGCATGGTATGTCGATTCCATCTATTAATTTTTCTATCTGAGATTTTTGTTTGATATCGTGGCAATTTGACTTATTTTCTTACAGCCATCCACTGTTTGGTTCAATAGACTGAAACTGACACCTGATTCTCCAGAACATTTGGAGACAACGGATGCCACTGCCAAAGAACTAGTGAACATAGTTAACAGTGAAGTTAAAAGGGGTATACCTCTCCATAGAATAGTGATAGGTAAGAGGAAATATGCTATGCTTTATTGTATCTTTGTGTTGAAATACTTCACAGGTTTCTAAGCCCGAATATGTTCCTCTAGGTGGCTTTTCCATGGGGGGAGGCATGTCCCTTCATCTTGGATACCGTTATTTGAGAGGAATTGCCGGTGTCTTTGCCCTGTCATCATTCCTGTCCACAACATCGTGTGTTTACAAAGTAAGGAGGAAGCGCCATTCTTTTAAATTGACTGATGACTTGAGGATTAGTGCTTACATTATGTTATGTGTCTTTATTTTCAGTCTCTGGAACAAGAAAAGTCCCCCAAACTTCCTCCACTATTTATGTGCCATGGGTCTGCTGACGACCTTATTCCTGAACCTTGGGGTAAAGAAACATTTACGAATCTTACCAAACTCGGAGTAGTGGGAGAATATAATCTGTTACCTAATGTGTTTCATGAATTGGACAAGAAAGAACTTGCAAAATTATCATCCTGGATTCTAGAAAGAATTCCTGAGAAGGATGACTAAATGATCTGTTTAAAAAATTACTGCTCTAGTGATGTGTCGATTGTTTGTGACCTCTCTCTTCTAAGCAAGGATAGGTGAGTGAAATGTCTCATATTGTCAAGGTATTTGGATAACGCATTATCCTACAATGTTGAGCTTATTAGACTCAAATAAATGTACACATGATCACACTTTTAAAATTTATATATTTTTTTACCTAAAGAAAGCAATAAACTTTCAATGTATAACAATAATTTCAACAACAAGTAAACACCTAAATAAAATGTGACACAAAGATTGGGTAGAAACCTCAAATTTACTATGATGTGAAAATCAACAGAAATGAACTGACTAGCAGGATACAACAAATGGTCTGTTGAGGTTTTCAGCAACTAACTGAAATGATATCTAATCAGTATGACATGTGGCACATGGCTATAAAAAACAAAACCTGATTATCAACTGTACATGTTATGTTTTTATTTTAGAGCAAACAATTGGACAAGATGAACCGCAGACTTTCCAAAGAATTCAAAATGGAATGAAAGGGGCTTTTATGTAGCAGGGGTGGGGCTAAGTTTAAGTCACTGATTCCTTTTGAGGAACATACAGGCGCCTGTTAGTTTGAAGATTTTAAGATACAATAGGAGACTTAGTATTATATTGATATAGAATTTTTTCAACTTTGATGAAGGTTTATACTAGAAGAAGGCAGCGGAGCACATTATGCAAAAGCTAAAAGAGTACATGTGGACATTAAAAAAATTAGACTGAAGATGCAACATCTGAGAAAAGCTTCCGTATGGTCTGGCACGGGCACATATTGTACAGGCAGCTTGGTGTTATGATCCTGGGAGTCAAACAATTTCCTTATGAGACTACATTTTATCAATTAAGCGGGTAGAACCATGAGACGTCTCTCAAACCTTCTCTGCGGTCAAGCTAGCTAAGTGTTTTACCCTGATTCAGGCCTTTGTTAAAAAAACTCTTTAGAGCCCTATGTGGATGCCATGTATTGTATGGCACTTACCTAGTTTCAAAATAAAGCTTCTGGGAAGCATTTGTCCAAGAGCAAACAAATATGTTGTAACAGCCGCTTTTTTTTATACTGAGTATGTACAGGAGAACATTTTAACAGAGTATCACATTTTTAACAACTCCTCTCTTAAGATGGCAGTCCTCTTAGCACACTTGCTTCCTGTTGTGAATATGACTTCTCCTTGAAAGACATTAAGCAATTAAGTTACATGAAAGATTCACTGATGCCACATCCAGATTGCCATAGTGAGCCTGTGTCTTTTTAACACTCATACAAAAGCGAAGAGGTAGAGAAAACCTTTCAAGAAATGAAAGCATTGATTAACATATGACACATTTAAAATCACAATAAATTTATGCAAAAATACCATTTCTGCATACAGTCATGTTTTGAAGATAACATGCAGAGTAATTACAAACGCTACCATAGCAATACTGAAGATGCACCACTGTTGGAGAGAAGAGATAATCCAAAAATCTTTAAAGCTATTTGCGCGTTTCCAAGAGAGGAATCAGCACTGAATAAATCTTATTACTTTACAGAGATTACAATTTGTATTATTTATTAGTTGTTTCTGCTTACTTAAAATATAAGTCTGAAGGGCTTGAAAAAAGAGGGACATTATGAAACAATAAATGCTCAATATTAAGTTTTGTACTTCATATTGTATGGCTTGAGTTAGTCGCAGTGATTAGAACTATGTTAGCTGGCAAATTCTTTTATTTCTGCATGTAGCGGGATAGGTGTAGGAAAGAACTAGTTAAAAAGGCATTAAGGTGTGTCAGTATCAGGCTAGGTGATGTGTTTTCACATGCGAATGTATATATTACAGCTGCTTTGGCCCATCATTCATGTGTTAAGTGAAGAGATAAGTATGACAGAACCCTTTGCTCACATGAACTCATGAGCTCTTGCAGTAATTGTTAGAGAATTTCAATATTAGTGGGCCAATTTTGTTCATTAGCAAATTTTTAAAGGCCAGGTCCAACTTTGTTGCAACAATCAATTGGTTCCATTTTTGCTTTGTTTCTTGAATGTAGAAATGTTGACAATTCTCCAAATAATAATTTTAAAAAAATTGTTCACTGAATGGATTTTTATCTACTGTAGTTGCCACAGCCAATCATAAATCTTAGTTTTCACATGGAACTGCTTAATTTTTTAAAACAACAGTGCAAAATTAACAAGGAGAAGGCAAAATGCCAACAGCTAAAATGATGTTAAACATACAATAGGCTATCTGTATTCTTTTTATTATTTACAATCAATACTGATAATATTGTTTATTTTAAAAACTTTTAACACTTTAATTAACCATGAAAGCATATTAAGAGAAAAGGTGTCAGAGGTTACAAGATGTAGAATGAACTCCTCACAGACATGTTTTAAACTGCTTGGAGGCAAGCACTTTGAGAAGGGACTTCAGTAGGGTTTTAGTTATAAACACACAAAGATAGGGGGAAAACGCATTTCTCATTGAATCACAACAGTCCTGCTAACTATCTGCTTTGTCTACGTTACCCTGCTCTGGCACACTTCCAGCGTGTCTAAAATTTCACAGCACATTTGCTTAAATATACTTGACTCAGATGGTCACTCTCTCAACACCACCTATGAAAATGTAAAGTTTCATGTTGAACTACTACCAGACAACCAAGATTTCAATAATCATTTAACACAACTGGTAAGAAGATGCATGAGATGACATCCTCCATTTAAAACATGGTAGTATCACTAACAACAGTATGTACAAAGTTGACACAATATTAAGTGCATGAATATATACAATTGATAAAGTACTCAAAAGTCTTTCATAAGTTACAAAACATTGGATACACATATCAATGGACTCACCCTATTGCTTAAAGTACACAAATTGAGAGATGATCATGCAAGATTACAAGGCATTAATTTCTCCCATCACAGATTTGAAGGCTTATGTCAAGCTAGGTCAATCGTCAAGAGATAAAGCACCACAACATAAAAAATATACTAACTTAGTTGCAACAATAAAACAACCTTATCAGATTTTTTTGGTTGCTACATCCTCCTGGGGTTAACCTGACAATATTTTACAACAAATAGACATTTAAACAAATAGTTCTTGAAAGACCTCAAACTATCTGGTACATTTGACCAAATAGCCAGTAAAAGAAAAAGCAAGCAATGCTCCCGAAAGCTATAATTTAAGTACAGAAATATTTGTCCGATTTATAGAAGGAACATTGATCATAAAATGATAAAATGTTAAGAAGAAAAAGATTGGGTATTCATAATTAAATTGGACATCTCGAGGTTGGATATCCATAACACATTTATGAAGAGAGCGATAGAAATAATCAAAAAACTAAAAGGACACCACTATCAAACAAGTGTCTTGACTCCATTGTAAAGCCTTGAAGCAAGAAATAAAATAGATAAAATTCCACAGACAGATGAAAATTAAAGTACACGAGCCATGCGTTGTGAATATGCATCTCCCTAGAGAGCCCAGTCCAGCTGAGCTCTATCAAAATGAAATGATTGCCTTCTCTCTTTTAAAAGATCATGAAACCATATCTCAAGACAGAATTGTTTGTTTTTTTTCACACCATTTCACCTTCAACAGATTAAGATTGGAAACATTTGCTACTTTTTTGATTGAGAAAATTTCAAAAATAATTAGAGAGTGGCAGGTATGCTACAATGGTAGTTAAGAGGACGGCTTAGATGAAGAGCTAGGCTTGAAAAATTTGTCAATATTGAGCAAGTTTCTAATCTGGTCTAGGGGAGAACGGCTAGTAGTATATGGAAGATCTATTGGTCGAGCTGGGAGGTGCACTTGCAAAGGATCCCGCAACTTGGCCAGCATTTTTTCTATTTGATAGGCAGAGGCTTTCAGTTCATTGTAACGAGTTACATCAAGTCCTTTCCTTTGTGCCAACCTATGGAATGCCCTCAGGAAGGAGCGGCTCCGATATCCCTCATAACCGCATTCCTGTCAATCAAGAGAACAATATTATTAATCAATAGTAATGATGGTGGCTCCCCTCCGGACTTCGATAACTTCGCCAAAGAGAACTCTTACCTGACCCGTTACAAGCGAATACGCATAGAAGCCCATGGCAGTGAAGTAAGTTACAAAATAAGTAACGGGTTCCATGATATCCCAGCTGTACTCCCACCAAGTCAGCCTTCCGAGCACACCGAATTGCACTCCCATGAGGAAGAGGAGGAAGAAGGTTTTCATCACCACCCAGGTTTCGGCTTGAGTAGAGATCTCGCGAGCAATCTGTACCTCAGAGAAACAGAGACTTTAGTACACTTAATCCAAATAAGTAAAACGTGAGACAGGACCGCCACCCACCTCCTCCATGGGCGCCAGCTCGGTCTTGGTCTCCTCGAGGCGGGCCAGGAGCTCGCGCTCCATGAGCAGCTGGTGCTCCTGCACGTTGAGCGACTCGTAGAGCCGCATGACCAGCAGCCGCACGTCGGACATCTGCTGCGCCGTCTCCTGGGACAGCCGCGCCACGCTGGGCACCCGCACCGTGTACTCCATGTCGTTGATCTGCAGCTTGAAGTTGTCCTGCAGCAGGGACTCGATCGAGTTGGCCGAGCCCACCCGCACGCCGGCTGAACACACAGAGTCCGCGTTAGAAACTTTTCATTTTCTTTGTCACTGCTTGCCGGACTCGAACCGAACGAGTGACCCCACCAATGGATTCCTCGTTCGGAGAGCTCTACCCATTGGCGGGGTCACACGTTCGGTTCGAGTCCCATTTAGCGACTCTGGAGCTCAAAACGCGTCTAGAGTTTTGTCCGCCTCCACCGGTCTTCTGGCCCACTGTGCGACGCATCGTGCCTCACCCATGGTCCTGATGGTGACGCGGTCGATGCCGCGGTCCTCGTGCTTCAGCATGTGGATGAGGTCGCCGACGACGTGCGAGACGGGGCGCAGCCTGAAGGAGCAGGCCTCCCTGCGCGAGGGCAGCTCCACCACCAGCTCGGGCAGGCCGCCGCGGTACTCGACGCACACGTCTGCAACAAAGATACCGCCAATGTCAAGCCTGGTCGCTCCGTCTCTCTCGCACTCATGGGACGTCCCGTAAAGGTGTGAGGGGGACAGCGACGAAAACGACTCTCGGATTCAGACTACAGGGAGGGCCCGCGCGGAGCCGTCATTGTTTGGCGTGGTAGGGTTCACCCCCAGCGCCACGCGCCACGCTCCACCAAGCAGCCGCCAAAAAGCTCTGGCGCGCACTCACGACCGGCGGACGCACGGACAGGTGCACGGCAGTGCACGGCCACCCTGACCCTCACCTCCTTTTGCCGGCGGGCCGCAACGTCCGGTCAGGGATATTCGGCATTCGGTCCAGCCAGGCCGAGCCAGGCCGAGCCAGGCCGAGCCAGGCCCATCCTGGGGCGGAGGCGCGGTGCTCTCGCCGCTCCGTCTCTCTCGCGCCCCCGCGGCACGCACACGGCACGCCCCACGAGTGCGAGAGAGACAGAGCAGCCGGTTCAGAAACAGGCTGGCTGGACCCAAGGCCCTGGCGGCTGGCGGCACTAAAACGGACAAACCCCGCCAGGCCGGTATCGCCCTGCCGGTAACGAAGATCCCTCATTACGCCTCCACTACACCGTCAAGCGCCCAACCAAACCGCGGCTGCACGCTACACTGCAAGCGGCTAACGGACACGCACGACACGCAGGGACACGTGTCGCCTCGTGCTTCGCCTCGTGCTTCGCCTCGTGCTTCGCCACCGCGACGACAGTGCGGCAGTATACGACGGTGAGGCGGTGCCGGGCGGTGCCGCTTCTTTAATGTCGTGTCGCACTTGTCCGCGGCCCCGCCATGGCCCTGCGGTACCCTGGTCGAGCAACGGGAAGGGTGGAGCAGCGGAGCAGCAGCGGCAGAAAAGTACGCTAGGTCCAGACACGCCAACGGGCCAACGGGTCGGCCTACATCAGGGCCGACCCCCGGCCACCGACAAATTCACCGCACCGGACCACAAGTTTAATTTTTCACAGGACAACCCTTTCGCCACTCAGTTGGCCGGCGGGTGCGGAGTTGTTCGGTGGGTTTGGAGTTGGTCAGTTGGTCGGAGTGGGCCAGCCCGGCGGCTCGGGGGTCATCGGCCTTCATCAAGTAGTTGACAAGCGGATCAATCGTCGGCGTCCTCACGGGCCGGGCGGCCTGGCGCGGTGGCGCCGCTGCGGGCGGCAGGGCCGGGCGGGGCCTGGAGGGCCCCAGGGGCCAAGCCAGCCAGGGCAGCCAGGGCAGCCAGGGCAGCCAGGGCCCACCCGGCCACGCCGCGCCACCGTCCGTTCCACATGGAGGCGGTTTTAGGTGAAGAAACCGACATGGATCCTGGGCTGGAGCGGCTGGAGCGGCTGGAGAAGCCTCGCTGCAGGCACCCCGCCAGTGCAGGGCTGCGCGTTGCTCAGAGAGGAGTGTGCCTGTGCGCGGGCCTGTGCGCGGGACGCGAGTGTGTGTGTGTGTTTGTGTGTGCATGCGGCCGCCACCATAGGGGGCAGCCAGAGCTCTCGGTACGGCAATGCCGGCGTGGGTCGCAACAGCGACGTGCTCCGGGCCATCGACGCCCTGTGGCTGGAGGCGGCGGCCGCCGAGGCGCGCGGCCTGTCCCAGCCGGGCCCGCCGCCATGGGGCTCGAGCTCGTCGCCGTGGGGCACGCACCGGGGCGTCCCGGGGCCAACGCCGCCGCCGTCGGCAACCCCCTGGGGAGGCCCCTGGAGCGCCTCGTGGGACGAGCTGGAGGCCGACTGGGGCCGCATGGGGTTGGGATCTATGAGGTGAGTCACAAGCACTCTTCGGCTGATGCTAAAAACGAAACACACAAGAGCGACTTCTCGAGGCGAGACTCTTGATTCCGTGTTCGCCGAAGTGCCGTCGGCAGTGACGCGCGGGGCAGGGCACTCTAATCGGATTCACACTTTCCCACAACTAGATAGGGCACGGCACGCGCGGCAACGGGGCGCCAGTCGTTCTGCCTCCCTCGCGCTCACGGCGCGTCCCGTGGGTGTGCGAGAGAGACAGAGGCGTCACTCGCACCAAGTCAAGCGGCGTGAGCATCATGTAGGCCGACGGCGTGCAAGCGAGCGCGTCCTCGCATGGATCGCCACGCCACGCCACGCCGCCTCGCCCACCGAGCGTTGCGCCGCTTTCAGGGCAGTGAGAGCGAAAGAAGGCAGAGGCCGCGCCGAGCCACGGCCATAGCGCACGGCCACCGCACGGCCACCGCACGGTGGGGGTCGCAAAACGGCCTCGGCCTCGCCGGGCCTCGCCGACCACCGGTCATACATCACACTTACAGCCAACGCCTTAAAAAAAAAAAAACAACAACAAACCACACCACACGATGTTCATTATTTTTTCACAAGAGCATTTTCCCGTTTAAACGATTCATCAAAGATAAAGCGAGTCCTCGCGGTCAGAGTCCTAGTGAGCGCGACATTCCCAGAACAAGCTTTTGGCCACCCGTCACGCCGCGAGCCTCACTACACTAACAAAAACACGTGGGGAAAGCGTTTAATTTAATGCTTAAAAGTGCAGAAATTGTAAAAAAATGCGCCAAATTTCATGCTTATTAAAAATAAACGGCAGCAATCTAATGGCGGACGCGACACCTTTCGGCCTTCCCCCTCCAGCTAATTTGCATAGGCGGCGCCATTATTCGCGCGTACCCACCCCTCCGGTATTGACCGAGTTTCGCAAAACAACTCGTTCTTTTTTTTAATGCTCGCAGAGGAGAGGGCGGAGGGGGAGGGGGGCGTGTGTGGAGCAGTGCAGCATCTAGCGCAGCCTGGCCAGCCGACCAGAACAAGCCGGGCCACGCCGAGCCAGTCGGTACGCACATCTCGTATTCCCATCTTACATTTGAATTCACTTTCATCACACACACATACATACACACACACACACGTCCACACATACGTACACACACACACGCGCGCGTGGAGGCGCCATGGCTTGACACGGTGGCGCCACCTCCGCGCCGCAGGGCGCCGGGCTGCCGAGCGATTCGGAAGAGTCCGTCGCTTCGTCGCTCTGTCTCTCTCGCACTCGTGGCGCTCTCGGTAAGGGTGCGAGAGAGACAGAGCGACAAACCGGTCTTCTAAATCGCTGGGCTGGGCTGGTCGCCATGACGACGAGCTAGACAAGACAGCGAGCTCTGTGCCGGCAGGCCTTCAGCCTGCCAGGCCCGGGATAGGCAACCCCACGACAGCGGTGCGCGGCGGTCCGGCGCGGCGGCCTACCTCGCAGGCTGCCCATTACCATTAACACTAAGGGCCAGACCACAACCGGCCGCGCTCGCTGGCCTGACTGGGAGGCTGGACCGCAATGGATCGTATGCCATTCCGGGCCCGGCAACTACCCCGACCACGCTGGCTGTGTTGACGGTGTTGACGGGAAGCCTGTCAACACGTCCGCCCCCTGGTCCAGCCGGTCCAGCCCGCCCGGCGGGCCTAGGCGGGCCGGGGGGGTGGTGTTTGCGCTGGTTGCCGCGCTGGACAACACGGACCCCAAGACCGCGCTCCGTCTCTCTCTCGCACTCTTGGGGCGTCCCGCACAGGTGCGAGGGAGACAGAGCGACAGAAACGACTCTCGGAATCAGTCTGCACTGCCGGCTCGACTCCTGTCTCACTTAGCGCTCCTAATTTCCCTCCGTCTCGGCCGCCTTGGCGTGACGGCAGCGTGACGTCTCCGTGACACGGCGTGACGCGGCGTGACGAGCACCGCTAAGGCGATACTGTTTGTCACGTCAGCCGCTGCTGCCGCTGCTCTCTCCCCGCCCGTCTAGCATGACACACGCGCGGCGCGGCGGCCATTCGTTCGGATTCAAATCCCATCCCGCGGCACGCCACGCCACGCCACGCCGCGCCACGCCACGCCCACACCCACACGCGGCTTTCAAGTTTTCTCCCGCGCACTCGCCACCGCGGCCACTCCGCGCAGCGCGCCGCGGCGTCTCCCTCGACGGCCGGGGCTCCGCGGGGGAGAGCCGCGTAGCCGCGTAGCCGCGACCAGAGCGAGTGTTTAGCTTTGCGTGCGTTATTGCGGTTGCATGCGTGGCCACGCCCTGCCGTGCGTGTGTGTGTTAGAGAGCGAGTGTAATCCGCGCGTTGCACACACCACACACCTTCCTCGATAGCGCGGGCGTCGCCCGGTTCCACTGAGGTTCCGCTCGACCGCCGGGCCAACGTCCAGCAGGCTCTGTCTCTCTCGCGCTAGACAGGACTCGAGGCGAAAGTGTGACCCCACCAATGGATTCCTCGTTCGGAGAGCAATCCATTGGTGGGGTCACACGTTCGGTTCGAGTCCTGCTTAGCGACTCTGGAGCCCAAAACGCGTCCGAGATTTTGTCCGCCTCCGCCGGTCTCCTGGCGAATCCACAGTGCCTCGGCCTGCCTGGGGCAGGGTCGACATGAGCCCCATCCCGATTGAGCCCGGATGACCTGAGCCCCGGCCAGAGCCCCGTTTGAGCCCGACTTGAGCCCCGACTCGAGCCCCGACTGAGCCCCTATGGCCAGAGCCCCGACCTGAGCCCGGTTCGAGCCCCGACCTGAGCCCCGTTTGAGCCCCACTTGAGCCCCACGCCAAAAAACTTCCATTTTTGAACTTTTTTAGTGAAGATATTGCAACTTTTTGGCGCGGGGCTCAAATGGGGCTCAAACGGGGCTTAGGTTGGGGCTCAAAACGGGCTCAGGTCGGGGCTCTGGCCATCGGGGCTCAGTCGGGGCTCAAGTCGGGGCTCGAGTCGGGCTCGGCCGGGGCTCTGCCGGGGCTCAAGTCATCGGGGCTCAATCGGGACGGGGCTCATGTCGACCCTGCCCTGCCTGGGCTGCCTTGGCTGCCCCTGGCAGTCAGGCAGCCCAACACGCAGCCCCGCGCCGCGCGCTGCATTACCGCCGCCGCGGGGGGCGGCAAGGCGAGGCAGGGCAGGGCAGGGCAGGGAACCCCAAAACGAGGACGCCCCGCGGAGGCAGCCGACGGGGGAGCCTCGTCCGTGCATAAGAAA